TTCTAGCTTATATTATGGAAAAATCGAACAAGTCTTTTTTTGAAAAAACTCATGACCCCGGACCAGTAAAAAAGTTCAAAAATCTGAAAATTTTGAAAAAATTAATTTTGACTCGAAACAACCTGAAATACGTGAATTTACGTTCCGAACAACATTTGAAGTGCTTTCGATGAATTTCTAGCTGATATTTTGGAAAAATCGAACAAGTCATTTTTTGAAAAAACTCATGACCCCGGACCTGTAAAAAAGTTCAAAAATCTGAAAATTTTCAAAAAATTAATTTTGACTCGAAACAACCTGAAATACGTGAATTTACGTTCCGAACAACATTTGAAGTGCTTTTGATGAATTTCTAGCGCATATTTTGGAAAAATCGAAGAAGTCATTTTTTGAAAAAACTCATGACCCCGGAACCTGTAAAAAAGTTCAAAAATCTGAAAATTTTCAAAAAACTTTTTTTGACTGGAAACAACCTGAAATACATGAATTGATGTTCCGAACAACATTTGAAGTGCTTTCAATGAATTTCTAGCGCATATTTTGAAAAAATCGAACCAGGTCATTTTTTGAAAAAACTCATGACCCCGGACCTGTAAAAAAGTTCAAAAATCTGAAAATTTTCAAAAATTTTTTTTTCACGCAAAACAACCTGAAATACGTGAATTGATGTTCCGAACAACATTTGAAGTGCTTTCGAAGAATTTCTAGCGCATATTTTGAAAAAATCGAACCAGGTCATTTTTTGAAAAAACTCATGACCCCGGACCTGTAAAAAAGTTCAAAAATCTGAAAATTTTGAAAAAAATTTTTTTGACTCGAAAAAACTTGAAATACGTGAATTTACGTTCCAAACAACATTCGAAGTGTTTTCGATAAATTTCTAGCTTATATTTTGGAAAAATCGAACAAGTAATTTTTTGAAAAAACTGATGACATGGAACCTGTAGAGAATTTCAGAAATTTGAAAGTTTTGAAACAAATTATTTAGTTAAATATAATGAATGTGATATACATACCTTTCTTTATTTACTTGAAAGTTTTGTTTTGAGCTTGAATGTGTTATCTGAAAAAAATGAGACGGATGATGAATTTCAAGCTCATATTTTGAAAAAATCGAACAAGGTCATTTTTTGAAAAAACTCATGACCCCGGACCTGTAACAAAGTTCAAAAATCTGAAAATTGTGAAAAAATTTTTTTTGACACGAAACAACCTGAAAAACGTGAATTGATGTTCCGAACAACATTTGAAGTGCTTTCGATGAATTTCTAGCTTATATTTTGGAAAAATCGAACAAGTCATTTTTTGAAAAAACTGATGACATGGAACCTGTAGAGAATTTCAGAAATTTGAAAGTTTTGAAACAAATTATTTAGTTAAATATAATGAATGTGATATACATACCTTTCTTTATTTACTTGAAAGTTTTGTTTTGAGCTTGAATGTGTTATCTGAAAAAAATGAGACGGATGATGAATTTCAAGCTTATATTTTGGAAAAATCGAACCAGGTCATTTTTTGAAAAAACTCATGACCCCGGACCCGTAAAAAAGTTCAAAAATCTGAAAATTTTGAAAAATTTTTTTTTGACTCGAAACAACCTGAAATACGTGAATTGATGTTCCGAACAACATTTGAAGTGCTTTCGATGAATTTCTAGCTTATATTTTGGAAAAATCGAACAAGTCATTTTTTGAAAAAACTCATGACCCCGGACCTGTAAAAAAGTTCAAAAATCTGAAAATTTTAAAAAAAATTTTTTTGACTCGAAACAACCTGAAATACGTGAATTGATGTTCCGAACAACATTTGAAGTGCTTTCGATGAATTTCTAGCTTATATTTTGGAAAAATCGAACAAGTCATTTTTTGAAAAAACTCATGACATGGACCTGTAGAAAATTTCAGAAATTTGAAAGTTTTGAAACAAATTATTTAGTTAAATATAATCAATGTGATATACATACCTTTCTTTATTTACTTGAAAGTTTTGTTTTGAGCTTTAATGTGTTATCTGAAAAAAATGAGACGGATGATGAATTTCAAGCTCATATTTTGAAAAAATCGAACAAGTCATTTTTTGAAAAAACTCATGACCCCGGACCTGTAAAAAAGTTCAAAAATCTGAAAATTTTGAAAAAATTTTTTTTTGACTCGAAACAACCTGAAATACGTGAATTTACGTTCCGAACAACATTTGAAGTGCTTTCGATGAATTTCTAGCTTATATTTGGAAAAATCGAACTAGGTCATTTTTTGAAAAAACTCATGACCCCGGACCTGTAAAAAAGTTCAAAAATCTGAAAATTTTCAAAAAAATTTTTTTGACTCGAAACAACCTGAAATACGTGAATTTATGTTCCGAACAACATTTGAAGTGTTTTCGATGAATTTCTAGCTCATATTTTGGAAAAATCGAACCAGGTCATTTTTTGAAAAAACTCATGACCCCGGACCTGTAAAAAAGTTCAAAAATCTGAAAATTTTCAAAAAATTAATTTTGACTCGAAAACAACCTGAAATACGTGAATTTACGTTCCGAACAACATTTGAAGTGCTTTCGATGAATTTCTAGCGCATATTTTGGAAAAATCGAACCAGGTCATTTTTTGAAAAAACTCATGACCCCGGACCTGTAAAAAAGTTCAAAAATCTGAAAATTTTCAAAAAATTAATTTTGACTCGAAACAACCTGAAATACGTGAATTTACGTTCCGAACAACATTTGAAGTGCTTTCGATGAATTTCTAGCTCATATTTTGAAAAAATCGAACCAGGTCATTTTTTGAAAAAACTCATGACCCCGGACCTGTAAAAAAGTTCAAAAATCTGAAAATTTTGAAAAAAAAAATTTTTTTTTGACTCGAAACAACCTGAAATACGTGAATTGATGTTCCGAACAACATTTGAAGTGCTTTCGATGAATTTCTAGCTTATATTTTGGAAAAATCGAACAAGTCATTTTTTGAAAAAACTCATGACCCCGGACCTGTAAAAAAGTTCAAAAATCTGAAAATTTTGAAAAAAATTTTTTTGACTCGAAACAACCTGAAATACGTGAATTGATGTTCCGAACAACATTTGAAGTGCTTTCGATGAATTTCTAGCTTATATTTTGGAAAAATCGAACAGGTCATTTTTTGAAAAAACTCATGACCCCGGACCTGTAAAAAAGTTCAAAAATCTGAAAATTTTCAAAAAAATTTTTTTGACTCGAAACAACCTGAAATACGTGAATTGATGTTCCGAACAACATTTGAAGTGCTTTCGATGAATTTCTAGCGCATATTTTGAAAAAATCGAACCAGGTCATTTTTTGAAAAAACTCATGACCCCGGACCTGTAAAAAAGTTCAAAAATCTGAAAATTTGTTTTTTGACTCGAAACAACCTGAAATACTGAATTGATGTTCCGAACAACATTTGAAGTGCTTTCGATGAATTTCTAGCTTATATTTTGGAAAAATCGAACAAGTCATTTTTTGAAAAAACTCATGACCCCGGACCTGTAAAAAAGTTCAAAAATCTGAAAATTTTCAAAAAAATTTTTTTGACTCGAAACAACCTGAAATACGTGAATTGATGTTCCGAACAACATTTGAAGTGCTTTCGATGAATTTCTAGCGCATATTTTGAGAAAATCGAACCAGGTCATTTTTTGAAAAAACTCATGACCCCGGACCTGTAAAAAAGTTCAAAAATCTGAAAATTTGGAAAAAATTAATTTTGACTCGAAACAACCTGAAATACGTGAATTTACGTTCCGAACAACATTTGAAGTGCTTTCGATGAATTTCTAGCTCATATTTTGAAAAAATCGAACCAGGTCATTTTTTGAAAAAACTCATGACCCCGGACCTGTAAAAAAGTTCAAAAATCTGAAAATTTTGAAAAATTTTTTTTTGACTCGAAACAACCTGAAATACGTGAATTTATGTTCCGAACAACATTTGAAGTGCTTTCGATGAATTTCTAGCTTATATTTTGGAAAAATCGAACAAGTCATTTTTTGAAAAAACTCATGACCCCGGACCTGTAAAAAAGTTCAAAAATCTGAAATTTTCAAAAATTTTTTTGACTCGAAACAACTGAAATACGTGAATTTACGTTCCGAACAACATTTGAAGTGTTTTCGATAAATTTCTAGCTTATATTTTGGAAAAATCGAACAAGAAATTTTTTGAAAAAACTCATGACATGGAGCCTGTAGAGAATTTCAGAAATTTGAAAGTTTTGAAACAAATTATTTAGTTAAATATAATCAATGTGATATACATACCTTTCTTTATTTACTTGAAAGTTTTGTTTTGAGCTTCAATGTGTTATCTGAAAAAAATGAGACGGATGATGAATTTCAAGCTCATATTTTGAAAAAATCGAACAAGGTCATTTTTTGAAAAAACTCATGACCCCGGACCTGTAAAAAAGTTCAAAAATCTGAAAATTTTGAAAAAAATTTTTTGACTCGAAACAACCTGAAATACGTGAATTGATGTTCCGAACAACATTTGAAGTGCTTTCGATGAATTTCTAGCTTATATTTTGGAAAAATCGAACAAGTCATTTTTTGAAAAAACTCATGACCCCGGACCTGTAAAAAAGTTCAAAAATCTGAAAATTTTCAAAAAAAATTTTTTGACTCGAAACAACCTGAAATACGTGAATTGATGTTCCGAACAACATTTGAAGTGCTTTCGATGAATTTCTAGCTCATATTTTGAAAAAATTGAACAGGCATTTTTTGAAAAAACTCATGACCCCAACCTGTAAAAAAATTCAAAAATCTGAAAATTTTCAAAAAATTTTTTTGACTCGAAACAACCTGAAATACGTGAATTTATGTTCCGAACAACATTTGAAGTGCTTTCGATGAATTTCTAGCTTATATTTTGGAAAAATCGAACAAGTCATTTTTTGAAAAAACTCATGACCCCGGACCCGTAAAAAAGTTCAAAAATCTGAAAATTTTGAAAAATTTTTTTTTGACTCGAAACAACCTGAAATACGTGAATTGATGTTCCGAACAACATTTGAAGTGCTTTCGATGAATTTCTAGCGCATATTTTGAGAAAATCGAACCAGGTCATTTTTTGAAAAAACTCATGACCCCGGACCTGTAAAAAAGTTCAAAAATCTGAAAATTTGGAAAAAATTAATTTTGACTCGAAACAACCTGAAATACGTGAATTTACGTTCCGAACAACATTTGAAGTGCTTTCGATGAATTTCTAGCTTATATTTTGGAAAAATCGAACAAGTCATTTTTTGAAAAAACTCATGACCCCGAACCTGTAAAAAAGTTCAAAAATCTGAAAATTTTGAAATTTTTTTTTTGACTTGAAACAACCTGAAATACGTGAATTTACGTTCCGAACAACATTTGAAGTGTTTTCGACGAATTTCAAGCTCGTGTTTTGGAAAAAGCGAACAAGGTCATTTTTTGAAAAAAAAGATGACCCCTGGACCTGTAAAAAAATTCTAAAATCTAAAAATTTTGAAAAACATTGGTTAGTTAGATATAATCAATGCAATATACATACCTTTCTTCATTTACTTGACAGCTTTGTTTTGAGCTTCAATGTGTTATCTGAAAAAAAGAAGACAGACGATGAATTTCTAGCTCATATTTTGGAAAAATCGAACAAAGTCATTTTTTGAAAAGATCCATGACCCAGGATCTGTAAAAAAAATAAAAAATCTGAGAATTTTGAAAAAAATACTTAGTTAGAAATAATCAAAACAATAAAAATAACTTTTTTTAGTCACTTGATGATATTATTCTGATCTTTCTTTGGCTATCTGAAAGAAGTTCGCCAAATTATTAAAACTTTCAGCCTGAACATGAAAAGGCTAGAAAAATTCCAATTCTGAGAAAAAGTTATTTTCACCATAAAGAACCTAAAAATCCAGATGATATGTTCTAAACTCCAATGCAAGTGTTTGCGATGAGTTTCTAGCTCATTTTTTTAAAAAATCAAATAAACTCATTTTTGAAAAAATCTATGACCTTGTACCTGTAAAAAAACTCAATTGTAAAAAATTTTGAAAATTTTTTTGACTCAAAAGAACCTGAAATACGTGAAATTACGTTTTGAACAACATTTCAAGTGTTTTCAAAGAATTTCTTGCTTATATTTCGAAAAAAGAATGAACTAAGCTATTTTGAAAAAAATCTGACCCCAGACCTGTAATTAGAAATGTAGTTTGAAGAAAACTGAAAATACACCATGGCTGACAGAAGTATGTTCAAATACAACTTAACACTGGAGTAAAATTCCATCTCAGATCAAGTACATAAACTTTCAAATGTGACTAGAGAATGTGCATCAAACAATAGTTCAACTTGCTTTTCAAAAAGGATAGCTTGGGTTTTTTAAAGAGCAGAAATATTTTAAACAATATTGAACTACTAATCAATTTTAAACTTCAGTCGGTTACATTTGGTGTAATGAAAACATCGTCGTCGCCATTGAGGCATTGGGTGACAGTCCGCCCAAGCCGCAATGCTGGTTGGAGGCACAAACTCAGATGGCTGAAATTTCCCAATTGTTTCGAAATCAGTGTAATAAAACTACGATTCAGAGTCCCAAATCATTGAGAAAGTCAATATGTCAAAATAGCTACATTCACAAATTAAACATTTATCCGCAGCATTTTCCTTAAGGTTTCTATAGAGAAAGACAATACGTGATGAGAACATATTGGCCCACTCGTGACGGTTTTAGCCTCAAGTCTCAAATTGTCCTAACAATTGGGTTTTTCTCAAATGAAAACGTCTGTATTTCATTAACGGAACTGCAAATTAAGGTTACGGTAAACGTTTTTGACACGAAATTTGGTTTTTTCTCCCTAGAAACCAAACTATTAACGGAAACAGATTATACATCATTCGATGCACAAGAACGTGGCGATTCCAACAATATCAAAATAATTGGCAAATATGGTTAAATGATGCTTTCCAGGCAAATTTATTGCTTAAATGAGTGTACCACCTTCAGAAGCTATTTTGTACCCTTGCGTTTGAGGTATCAAAATCTGACTTACATCAGCAGAAAACGCAGATCCTAAGCTACCAAAGTATATCTCAGATTTTTCAAATTCCTCCTCCCCTTGAAACTGTACCCTTTCAAAAATTGGCAAATAATTTTTCTTCCCTCTCATAGCTGTATTTGGAAATACAAAAATCTCAAGGAGCAAATACAAAAATTTTGAGAAACATTTTGCTTACCTGACATCTGTCCTGGCCGTGTGCAAATTTTTGAGCCATTCGATTGGCTTCTTGGGTACAAAATAGCTTTTTCGTACCTGTATGTAGAGGATTTGTGAGTCCGGAGAAAACGGGATTTTACTGACCTCGCTTGCAAGGTACACTCGTGAACCACAGTGTAATCCGGGTCAAGACACTTGAAGCATTAAGATCAATAAGCCTGTTGAAATAAACACGGCCGTACACGGGAAACATGGATGTGCCATGCGATATTGTAAATGAGATATGCGACCACAACAGTAAAGCAACGATAATCGGCTAAACAGGTCAAGAGATTTTCAGGCCTCAACTCAAAGTTCTGATAAAGAAATTATGGAAACCTTCGTGTACATGGCATTTTTCCCTTTTCAAGATTTCTGTTAGTTTCATTTTTGGTATCATTTTGTGCCTTGAAAGTTCGGCTACTTGAATATGAGATAATCGAAAAATGGATGTTTTCATCCAGAAAACGTTTACCGTAACCTTAAACAACTTTTCGGTACCGGAACTTTCTTGTCATAAAATTCCAATAAAGCCAAACTTATTTTTGAGTGTCAGTTCTCCTTTAAGATGTGTAAAATATTGTTAAGCTCGCAATGTCAATGAAAGTCAAAAATGGGTGGCTTAAAAATGTCTTTTAAGGTATTTAGCTGAGCCCTGAGGTGCTTGCAGGCCATCAATCAACTCAAACAGCAACGTGTGCATTGTACCAAATACATTTTTAGAGGTTTGTCTAAACAGCTTTGTCAAGATTCAGATTGTAAGCTTTAGTTAGAAAGTTTAATTTTGGCAAGTGGAATCAAGTTAGGCTGGAAGCAAATATTTGCCAACCAAATCACTTTAATTATAAACTGACCACATTTATAAGCTGTCCTTATATTTTCAGATAATCAAATTTCAACGCAAAAAAGAAATTTCAGATAATCAAAAAATAGTCATAGAATAGATAACTAGAAATTCAGATGAAGAGATTTGTTGCTATTGCTGCTGCCATTGGCATTTGCAGTTGCTTCATTTACACCATGCCAAAGCAATTCAAAAAGCATTTAAATTTAGCAATGGATCTCAAATTTGTAATACATGCACACACGTTTCCTTCATTCCACCAAATGTATCGCATACAACACTGCGTACAGAAGTAGACACAAGGAAATAGTGTCAAGAAAGATAAAAAACATGATGCTTGCGTTGGGTTTTAATTTTCTTTATTTTACAACGAAGGCATCAAATCTTAAACAAATAAAGTATGGGACACCATTTAAATTTTTGACATTTACGTATGGTCGCTTATTTTGAAATCTTTGATCAGAAATATAGAAAGGAAGTCTTAGAAACCAAGATATCATCATTTGGAAAAATATTTCCTTCATTCAATTTGCCATCTTCAAAGATAACCTTTATTATCATAAACTATCAGTATTTTAACATCTTAAGAATTACAACCTGAAATGAAGCTAAAAATAATTGTGTCTTAATAGTATTAGTCAACCAGAAAAATGGCAAATAATCTAGTAGGGTTGTCATGGGAAGTGCCAAAAACACTGGACAATCATTGACAAATCAACTTTGGGATGTTATTTGAACCTGTCAAATAAAAAGATCTGTAGACCATGTTTCAGTATATTCTATGTTTATTTTTTCTATTTTGGAACCCTATTGCTGCCCTAGCTATTAAATGAATGTATTTTGAATGAATATTATGAAGTGCCAGGATCTAAATTCCCTTAACTTTCTATTCTTCCAAAATGACATATTGCTTTCTGCAATAATGAGGGAATGCTATGTGCTATTGTTTGGACTTTCTACTCTGATTGGTTGTATGATGGAGAAGTATATTTTGATTGAATAGCATAGATATCCTCATCACATGGCAAAATTGTAAAAAAACATCCTCCAGACAATTTATTGCAAAATTTTTAACATCTGCCAACCATTAACATTCCCCCCATCCACCACCAAGACACACCTCATTTAAAGTTATCTTTACACTGCCCCCCCCTCCCCCACCAAGATACACTCTATTACACTGTTTAAGAAAATAACTGTTGCAAATTAAAGTTTTGCTTTGTCCCCTTCCTTGTTTGCATGTGGTTGTGTCACCATCCTCCAATGAACCATTAGGCTTGCTCCTTGCATCATTGATTCATAAACCTTACAGTTACATCTAGTGAAAGGTGATGCTAGACATGTTCATGCCAACATATGTTTATCATAATAAATAATTGCATGAGCTTTTGCAAGACAAAAATGTATAACTCAAGTTTAAATAAAAAGCTGAAATGGTTTTTGTGATTGGGCCAATCCAAAAATTTGGTATAGAAGCAGTGGCAACCTGGCACTTTTCGCCTAGGGGGGCCAACATCAAAATGGCGCCCTCCATAACTAACACAATTGTCTTTTTCCTGACAATATTGGCAGTCTGGAGGCGGTGCCAAGAAATTCGAAGTGAGGGAGGGGGCTTGAGTTGATAGCTTTATTTGACTAAAAAACCAACATTGGGAAGGGTCGGCAAGAGGTTGCTGGAGGCTCTTGGTATAACTCTGAACAGAGGCTTTCTTGCGAGCGTATTGAGCTGACAATTCATGTGACTACGCCCTTTAGATAAGCTTAAAATACATTTCAAAATCTTTCTTGCAGTCATTTTCTTGAAATCGTTTAAAAATTCTGCTATTTTTAAGGCATGCTTTTAATATGTTTGATTAATTCCAGTCTTGAAATGGATTTCATTACTTTGTAATAGGGAAAAGAATCCACCCTATCATTGTATTGTCAAGACAAATTGGTCCTTCAATGAGAAATGAAGCAAAGAGACAAAATCTACTGACCCCCACATGAGCACAGGGACGCAAATAAAATAATCTTTCATGGGGGTGTCAGGACAAGTTGTACCGACTCAGGTACAAAATTGACTGTCTCTAAGAAGCCAATCCAAGCAGATAAACTAAATAAAAATGTGTCAAATACATGTTTGGGGAACTTTCAAGAGACCCTACGATGTGGTAGAATGAGGGTTCTCTTTGGAACTTTTGTGTTCATTTGGCACCTTGGAGGGAATCCAAAGCGCCAGATAAAATATTTACCTTTGTTTTGCTAAACTTGTAATTTGGGGCAGCTAAACAAACTCAAAACATGCATACAACTCAACTAACAATCAATGTGTAGGGGAGTGTAGGGGTAACAAATAATGGAAAGAGTTGGTCCTAGCCAATAAGTGGAGGATTCCAGTTACTCATAAGGCTAGTAAATGCGTTTCTAACATATCTTTGAATGCATAATGTCATTTGATACAAAATGAAGTAAATACTCCATTGAACTTTAAAGAAATATTATCAAAGGCCAAGCAAAATCCAACCATTGAGAAAATCAGGCCAGACCCAACTTTTTCGTCAAAATCAATGCATGCCTCTTGAAAAAGAAGCCTGAAGTATCTACGCGTTAGAAACGTGAAGTCAATGTTTTGAGTTAAAAGTCATCTGCTTAATTTATCCTTTATGAAAAATCCTAATAAGAGCTGGTTTCATTATGTTTTAGCTTTGAATGCACCTTTCAGCGTTATTTCTTGTTATCTTGTGCACTTAAAACGGTACATTCGTGGAAGTGACTTGAGATATAACATATGGACTAATCTAGGATGAAGCAATTAAACAACCAAATTGTCTGTTAATTAGGTCTCTGAAGGCCAGCAACGCCAAAGAGACTCATTGAAAATTAAAATTTTCCCTGGAAGGGGGGCATGACTCCGGACACCGTAAACACAGACTGTCCCCTGACACCCTAAACACAGTCTGTGTGCACTTTAAGGGCTGTGTTCTCCACACAAAAGAATTTAACTGTTAGTTGCCTGACAATCCTCTAAAAGATTGATTAATTTTTTCGCCCCTGGGAACAGTACAAATGTTTTGTCTGGATAATACAGTACTGATGGGGCACAAAGATATGCCCTTGAAGTGAGACAGTTCTAGGGGGTATGGCGACGTGTGCCCTAACAAAGTTTTGAATTTCATGACATCTTCTTTGTCTCTGCTGACCTCCAAGAGACCTAATAATCAGACAAGGCAATCATTTAAAACTTTTTTCGAGTTTTCTGTGCCCTATACAACCTTTGGCACCCCTATAAAAAAGTCAGCTGGGGGGCCCCTGCCAGGGCGCCACTGTATAGAAGTAGGTAGATACCGTATATACGGCTTGAAAGCGTATACATCATATTTTTGTTCTGGTTATAAGGTGGAGATTCTACAGTCTACAATTTACAATGTTTGTCTCCAAAAAGGCTTAGCCCATGACGGAGATACACGATACTCTCACTACAACAAACCTACTTTACCTAACTACATATAACTACACATTTTATTGATTAACGGATTAGTAGTTTTGCCGCAAGGGCACTTGGTCAACATGTTTTACTTTGTGTGAGAAGGAAGAACCTCAGGATAGGCTGTCCGCCGGATTCTGTGAATCTTGCAATGAGTATAATATAAATATGAGGATAAAATTCAGAGATAAAGCAAAACGGCGACGAGAATCCAATGTTGTGAGATAAATTTTCCAAAATAAATTAAATTGAACAAATACTAATATTTTGCCCTGCTATACAGGGGTTCGTCAGAGTAAAAAAATGTTGTACTTTGGCTGCATGGCAATGCAAACTACAGTTAGTGATAATACAGCTATAACAGATTAATATCACATTAGACTTGGATAGATTGAAATTTTATATATCAAGGAGAGGAATGCATGAAACTAAGCTTCTGGTTTTGTTGAGCATCATGTTAACGGTTTTCAGTATTATTTAGACTTATACCTGTTTTCAACTGATAAAGAAATTAATGAGAAAAGTTTCACCATTCCCCACAATATAAGGTAAACTCTTGCTTCATTCCTCACTCTATTTCAAATTTTTATCAAGATTGGCAAAACTGTGTTATGTTTAATCTGCTTTTTCGACATTACGCATGGATGTCCAATATTACCCACAGAATGTGGTTCAGTACTAATTTCAGAAAACTTCAGAATCCCTTCTCATCATGAAAACAAATAAACCAGTCAATATTTGATTGATCATTAAATTTGTTCAATGGGGAGGATGGAATAAAGGCGTGTTTTCAGGCCTAAATAACTAGGCCTATTTAAATTTTGGCGTAGGAAAAATTAGGCCATGGGGACATTTTGGGGGAAAAGCTTCAGCGCACAGTGACTGTTACATTCGCCTAGGTTGAACAAAAGCCTGACACAAAGTTACTGGAAAATGATTAGAAGTTAGGAGTTACACTAGCTGAATTATGGTATAGTTCGCATGTTCTTGAATGAAGTGTGGGATGTAACTGCGCTTGGCTTACCAACATGTGTCGTCGTTTGCTGTCAAAGGTAAACACGTTGACACAAGAAAAGAAACTATTGAGATACATAAAAAATGCAAGATACCTTTAGATAAAGATGAATTCCTCCATGCTAATGCCACATTCAACCATCCTGATGCCTCATCTCCGTCGTCCGATGCGACGTCTCCGTCTGGTCAAAACCCCGATTGTGCCTGAGCCACTGACCTGAGCCTGTTCCCGCCATACTGTTTCGATCACTGGTTTCGATATGGAGTCGGTTGAAATTGGAATCGAGGCCAAGCTGGGCGTGGCTTGCGATATTGAAGACCATTTTCGCTTCTGTTTTTTCTTTTCTATGTATTTGTATTTAATTACCAACTAATTTTAAGTAAATACCAATTTTGCTAACTTAAACAACCTAAATATACTCTACTTTCTAGACGTTTTTTCACAAATTTGCAGAACATAGAAGCTTGAGCATTCGAAATCATCATGACAAAACATTAAGAACGCTTAAGGATAATACTAAGGCCCTGTTTCTGTACACAATAATCATATTTTATTTGACAACAATTTCCTACATGTGTAAAATGTAATGTTGGTTAATAACATATCAAATTATGACCTACACATAAAGGTGAAGTTATTTTGCTATAAATCCAACAAAGGATTGTTAGAGATTCAATTGCTGCTGTTCATTCACATTTTTACATAAGGTTTGACTGTTTTTGAAAATATTACAAAACTTCCAACAACTGAGCCGGAGACTGAAGAGCAATAAGTTTGTTGCAAATAAACAATTCAATTAAATATATTGTGTAATTGGCAAAGTATGACAAGTTACAATATATTTCTGCTCGCGTCAAGTTTAACATTTTAAAAATCCAAACCTGTTCACGAATGCTTTTAAATTGAAATCCTTAGGAAGTTAAGAAGAGTTAAGCCCTACTGATATAAACCAATATCTACAAAATCAAGTGAATTAAAATTTAATTTGTAGAAAAAAGACTGACTTTTTGCTGCTTGAATGAAAAATGAGGAGGGGGGGGGATAAAAAGCTTTTTCGATCCTTGGATCAACGGTTTTGGAATATTTTGACTTTGCGGTCAAGGCAGTTCCCTTTCGGTTTATTTTCAAGGGTAGACTACATGGACAATTGCAGATCCTAATCAATTGTTGTATTGTACTTTATCGTTGGAAATATTTTTTTTTCAAGCAGCGTTATTTGCTAGAATACCATGAAAAGCAGTCATCCTTGATTGTTAGGTCTACTGTATCTAAATGAAAGGACAAATTTGAATTAATGATTCGGTCTCTTAAAACGTTGTCTCAGGCTGTAATACGCTCGTGAGCCTGACATTAGGTTGCCATTATTGCCTTAATCCTTGAAGGATATGGTTTAGCCATAGAAAGTAGAATTTTACTTTTCTAGAGTTTGTAAAGAAAGGTTAACTCATCTTCAATATGATGACTTTCATATAGGCATGTCTGCCTGACATCAGCCTCAACCTGCATGCTATTCTTTGGTTGAGCGATGAAGCAAGTGATTCTCGAAGAAGGTTAAGAAAAATACAAAAGAAGGTAAATATACAACGTTTATCTAGACAGGCATATGCAAAATGCAGACAAGGCCTTACAGCCTGGCAAGGAAAAACTCATTGGTTGAATTTTTAACAAAGAAAATATTATATTTGGCTTATTAAAAAGGGTCCTGCCCTCTAGGCATTCTTGTCTAAGGGTCGGACATGACGTTATGATGACAGTGAGGTATTATCTTAGATACTACCAGCGTGTTTCTAACCATGCTAGATGCACGAGCCATTGAACTGCCTGGACAACAATCCAATCACTGGGACTGCGCTATACATACGCGTGTTTCCACGACGGACAGCTATGGTGCCATGGCCCATGGAGTGTCACGAGAGCGGGGGGGGGGGGGGGGGCAGTTTATATTGTTAAGATGATTGGAGGGATTTACTCTTACTTTAAAAGAATCGTTGAATTAAAGTTCAGGCTGGCTGTTTGACTTTGAGTAGAAGCAGTAAAACCAGAGAAACTAATAAATCTTTGAAACTGGATTGTTCTTAATTTGATCTTAAATTGTAAGAGTGTAATCAGTGCGATCGCCACAAATTGTGCTCAAGGGGAGTGTTCTGGCCCCATTTGCAGACAAAGTTTGAAAATTCACCGACAAAGTGCCCCTAAACAGGAAAAAACTCCTCGTTGAAATTCTTTGTATAGAGGTTTCACAACTTTGTTCAAATTACATTTTTAAGAACTTCCGCTTATTCTAGTTTGTTCTTAACTTTTCACCATTTTTGAGCTCGTGTTCTTAAAAAATTGTTTTTATAAACGATGTACTGTACAAGTGAGGCAAGGCAGACTTCTGCATATCAAATTTGTGTAATTTGAAACGCTTTAAGGAAGTTTTTAGACGAAAGATGTATTTATGATTTTACTGAGGGATTAAATTTTTGACGCACATATTTTCATTCCTTTTGACGAACTTTGTGTTTTCATATGGAATGAAAATATTTTACCAACGCAACAAGTTCAACACAACAACACAGCTCCAAATGTCAGGATCTATTTTGTTATGAAACACAGTTTGTGTAGTCAGATTATAAGCGATAAGACCCCCATAAGATTTGAGGAAACTGTAGAAGGGAGTTCCTTAAATCTATCAGCGATCATTTTTATAATTTTCGGCAATTTTCTGAGATTGTCGGGACTTTATGTTTTGCTTCTGGAAACTTTCTTGATCTCAGAGGACAATGGAGTGGACAATTCAAGCCACTTACAAACGTAGTGGACATCGACTTGCAAACCTATATACTTGGTAAGGTCATACTATGGGGCTTGCACCTGCTACTTATTACCATTCCTTACGTTTTTTACGATATCAAGTGACTGTGTTATCCTTATGCCAACTTCTGAGGGCTTCAAGGTGAGCATTTATTGCTGCATTGATATCGTCAATAGAAAGAGAGGATTAAAATATATGATTGGTGTTGACAGTATATATTGCACGTAAGCTGTCTTTAAAGAGCAGGAAGCCTTGACAAATCTCTGAACACCCTTACCCATGAACTAGAAAGTGTAACGGTCCTAGACAGGAACCCTGTGGAACTCCACAGTCTTGTAGTGACCATTGTCTAAACGTAATCATGTCCTCCATTGTGTCTCTGTCATTAACACTTTCCATTGTCTTCGTATCCACGTAACGTAATAAACAACACATTTGTAGCGTCCCCTTGTTATATGTGTATACGCCCTAAATTGTAATTAGTCAGTCAGTAAATTCATCAAGACGCAACGGTCACGCAATATCGTCTCTTGCTGGCTCCGTGTTTTCTGCACGTTAAATCAGACATAAAAACGACAGCATTCGCAACAACAAAACCAAAATTAAATATAGGAACTTCATCAATCAGCGTACCTATAAATGGTGACCACGACGTGACCGACTGGTAGGTTCTGCACTGTCGTTTTTATTCGTTTTATGTCCACCGTCTCAACGTCAACCACTCGCAAATTCCTGGATTCATCACGTTACAACTGCCATCACGCATACGTTCAACGCCTACGCTGGCTCACAAACAACGTCCTGTTGGCTGTTCCGATGCACCCTGGATTTGTGATGTCTGTCTACTTATTTCAACCCGTTTTGCGTACAATGTTTTAATTCACCTCATCAACTAACCCCGTTCCGCCAGCACACTCGACCGACACCATCCTACAGCACAGAAAACTGTCCAACAGCACTACACCGTACATCGCTTCGCTGAAGTACACACAGAATCACACAAATGCCTTCGTCAAACACAGCATCAAACAGGTTCGGCAGCACACCCTACAAAAAGCTGGTGCAAGGCAACACCGCAGCACTCATCACCCACAGTGCCATCACCCGCCTTGCAAGCATCCAAAGGTTCCTGGTCACCCTACTCACAAAACCTCGCCTCGCATCGCATCGGAAACATCGTGGTTCCTGGTCATCCTTCTAAAACCTCGCAGACACAAAGGCACGATTCTACAACATAAAGACACACGAAGCTTCACGAACATCTACAGTGATTTGAACATTTAACACAACTTTTCTTCCGGACATTTTATTAAAATTTTTTCAAACATTTTAGATAACATTTCATACATTTTATCGTTCGCCTCGCTTCAACCCACTCGCTCTCTAGGGGGGGGAGCTCTGTAGTGACCATTGTCTAAACGTAATCATGTCCTCCATTGTGTCTCTGTCATTAACACTTTCCATTGTCTTCGTATCCACGTAACGTAATAAACAACACATTTGTAGCGTCCCCTTGTTATATGTGTATACGCCCTAAATTGTAATTAGTCAGTCAGTAAATTCATCAAGACGCAACGGTCACGCAATATCGTCTCTTGCTGGCTCCGTGTTTTCTGCACGTTAAATCAGACATAAAAACGACAGCATTCGCAACAACAAAACCAAAATTAAATATAGGAACTTCATCAATCAGCGTTCCTATAGTCTACCTGTTCAGTAACACATTGATTACCGTTCACTCTTCCAAACTGCTTCTTGTTGACAAGATAAGAGCAAAACTAGCTCAGTATTTTACCCTTGGCGTCATAGAAGTTCAGTTTGTCCACAAGGATTTCAAAGTCCTCAGTATCGACGGTTTATTCTTTGCATGCTTTTGACGAATATGGGAGACGAACTTCTCATTAGAAGACTGAAGCTTGTTTGCCTCTACAACATGTCAACTTGAGGTTGCATCGGGGAAATCATGTATCAATCAGCGGTTTAGGTGTCTTAGATCTTTGGATGAATATCGCTCAGCTGTTGGAGGTCTAGATTTTTTGCTAACCATAATAGGTATAGGGATATAGACTGTCGTGGTATACATGGATTTTGCATCTTGAAATAGAATGAAAAGTTTTTCTATGTCGAGGACATATTGTTGCAGCGAAAATTATAGAAACCAGGCCGTAAGATATATTTTCATATGTGCCACATGGTAGAGTATTAGGCCTTGACAGTTTGTTTGTTACGCAGATGGACCCTTGACGTCATACAAGATATTGCAAAGATGCTTGCTGACGATAATAAATTGCTCGTGGACATACCAATAACAGGGAACAGTAACGATTTCCAGGCTAGGTGATTACACAAAGGAGTTGAAGCTTTGTTCAAAAATTTATAAGTTCAAGGATATGCATTTAGGGGTTACCAATTCCAAAAAAGATTATGTGGTTAAAAACAGGGAAAAGACATGCACTCCGGAAGTATAGTTTTAGAGAATAACGTAGGAGCAAAAATCAGTAAGAATCTCAAGTTTCATAATCATATAGAGACTTATGAAACACAGCCAACAAAAAGCTGGGTAGGACTTGCAGATCTTACATGTACCTAGACAAAGCAAGCAAGGCCGCTCTTGACAAACCGCTTGCCAGACCAATACTGGAAATATGCATGTTATAAAACATCCGAAATATGAGAAAGTCTAAGGGAGAACAGAGAAGAGGGATTGAGATAGTACCACATCTACCTACATGAGAGGAAATTACTCTCTATGTACCATCGAAAGGAAAGAGAGGGATACATAACCGAATGCTACAAAATAACTCTCAATTGGCGCTAACTAGAGCCATTCCAATAACTTTACACTGATACCAAAGGGCATGGGCAGCTTTATATGTGTTTGGCATCGAACTGTAGAAAGTCACTTCTTATCTAAGAATGTAATAGTTGAAAATCTTTACCAGATTGATGGAAGGCAGCAACTGTTGAAAATTTCAAAACAGGCTACAAGCCCCGGCAGACTTCTTAAAATCATGTGATGGAAAATGTGATAGAAACAGCACTGGTAATGAATGATGTTATTGCCTATTCAAGACTTATTATTAAAAATAAATTACAGAACGCTGTTAAAGAATTATTGAGGAATGGACAAACAAGCAGCTTTCTTTGCCATCTTGAAAAATTTCTGCAGTGTCCACGATGCAAAAGAAACAACATCAAAGAAGATATCTTTGCAATGAAAGACAGGTGAACCAAGTCCTTAACTACAACTGAACAATGCTAGTAGCAATAACAACTGATTACATTGGTTACAACTAGACTACTAGGTAGAATAAAAAAGATCTAACTTTAAAACTGGTTGATACAGACATGTTCGTTGACAGGCAGCATAATCGTTACTAGCTTATAAAATATGAGTTCAGACTACTTCATACTACCTTTAGGAAGAATTTTCAATAACAGCTTGTTATGGTAAACATAGACAATTACATTGTAATTTAGTTACTCTGTCTATATCTGTTTAGCTAAAGAAGATATGGTCGGAAAAAAACAGTAGAAATCTGTTGAAAACATAAATGTTTTGCTAATATTATCATCTGATGCCTAATTGTAAAGGTTTTTACGAGACCGCCCCTCTTCGACTAGGACCTTCGTGCCTTGCATTTCCTATAATCAGCAACAAAATGGTAGATCAAACTTAAGGTTCAATCTTCCAAATGTTTAACTGCCAGTCTATTCAATGTCGTATGACAAACTAAACATAAGAATTGACTTCGATAGTCTCGCTTGAAAGGAAGCCTATCAATCTGGCACTGAGGGGCTGTCGGATTTTGCAATTTTATTTCGGTGACGAAATTCATGAAATCAATTGACACAGTTGTTGGCCAAAGCCCTGACTGGGCTGGCCTTGTCCCCTGGTAAGCTCAGCATCGGATGTTTTTAAGTTATTTGCAGATATAAAGGAGCAATTTAATCGCAATCTTTGTAAATAAAATTGGCGTTAAGGAATGGTTCGCTATAACGGAGAGAAATTAACACAAGAATAAAAGAAGTCGATCTATGATCATGTAAGAGTAAACGAAAAGATACTTTGTTAGTGTCAAGGATCCTGTGAATCCTTATAAAGGTAAGACCATATAACCTATTTCACCTCAAGTCTGTGGAGGCCAAAATGACACAAACAATTCCTACTTGTGTGAAAACATGACGCGTAAACGAAGCTGGATGAGGAAAGATGAAGAAGAAATGCAATGATAAAAATCAGGTAGCTTGATGCCGATCAAAGCTTTACTAATCTTCAAATAAAAAACTTGCTTATCATAAAAGCGACAGTGAAATTCGCTCCGTGGTGTTCAAGTAGCTTTTCTAATAAAACACGGGAGCGAGGGTCAATTAATGGAGGGGTTCAGGAAATGTTTAGGGGCCTCACAAAGACAACAAGATGAAACAGGTGGACAAACTGAAAATATCTCTCAAATAGGATATCAAGGTTAAGATGGCTATTTACGTTAAAAAAAGGGAAAATGCGAATACGCTAAGAAAATATTCTACAAGAATCCAGAAGAAAGGTTGAGTTGGTTTCAAATTATGACTATTCTGGCTAATCAAAAATACTACGTTTAATAAAGAATAAGATTATTAACAGCTACACCTAAAACCATTTTATTCCAATAAGATTTTATGTACATCTGTCAAATACAATAATTAAAGATATTAAACAAAATTGGGATTTTCATATGAGAAATTTTTGAACTCTTCTTGGGAGATAGATTTAATGACACTTTTATCAGTAGGCGTCAACTTTGGTTCTTCTCTAGTGAAATCCTTATCAAAGTTATCGACATCAGTGCTTGATTTCTATAAATTAGAGTAATGAAAAGTGTGATTGGCGACATTGGTAATAAAATTTGTAGATTGTGATGGCGACAATTTCAAAAAAATGGTCCAAAGCATGACAAAGAGCACCTTAAAATTACAAGGCCATCTTTCAATTAAACACACTTCCAAATAACGAGTAACTTCTAAAACAGATGTCTCCTGAAAAAGGACACCCTCCGATACCGGATACCTTCCATGAGCGAAGATCTTTCAAGAGCGGACAACTTTCAAGAGCGGGAACCTTGAAATAAGAGGCAACTGCAAACAACAGATATCTCTGAATAGATAACAATGTCTAGTAGCGGACACCTGCCTATAGCAGACAACTGCCAAAAACAGATATCTTCAAACAACGGACACTGTCATAGCAAACAGCTTCCAACAACAATGTCTCTAAATGAAGAGCACCTTTTGACAGATGCTTTCTGATAACGGCCAACTCCAAACAACAGATTTATCCAATAAAGGACACTTCCCAACAGCTGGCAATTTCAAATAACACTCCACTCCCAACAAAAAAAAACTCTGAATAAAGAAAATCTAACAAATTACAAAGTCACTATGAAATTCTGAGATGACCTTGAGAACTTTAAAAAACCAATATGCCAATAGGTGGATCACGAATTTGAGTATAACAGAGTGAAGGGCAATCAATATATCATAACAATAGGGTGTAATCACATTCTACGTGGATGTTTTAAAGGAAAACAGAATGCAAGGCAGATCACCAAAATTTTGATAAATGGGGTCAATTGTAGGTGAATATTATACAAAATTTTTAATGTGCTGAAAGGCACAAAGACCCAAATAAAAAGAAACAGACCGATGTACCAATATCACAAAATCGGATAAACTTAAACAATGTCAAATAAAAAGCTACTCACAATCTGGGGTTGAAATGGGGGTCTGACTTGTCGCGCTTCTAACTTCCGCCAGTCAACGTATGCAAAAAACGGATGCTTATTAATCGCCACTTCGCCAATTCCAGGTACGCAGCCAAGACGTCTGTCTGGGTTCTTGGTCATCAACTAAAGTTCGAGCAAAATAGTTTTCAGAACTTACTTAGCAGCATTAGATGATAGCACTGAAATACACTTGTTAAGTTCTCGAAAGCTATTATTAATATTGGAGGAAGGCTTTACAACACCCATGGCAGACTGTTTGTGCAGAAGCGCTTTAAAACTTTTAACCTAGAATTGAAAGGTATGTTCGAAGTACTGAGAAAGCCTATATAGCAACGCCCATTTCGATGTGACAACGCCCTGTAATACTAAAATAGTTTCTGCAAGGTTGCAGGTAACGACCCGAAATAACTTGGCGGTAAAAGAAAACAGCATCTATTCATATTACTTCTAAAAATGATAAACAAATTTCATTCTTACGAGGTTAAATCGATGTGAACTAAGTTAAACAGTGAGCTAAGATTAAGTTGAGTAGATTACGGCTAATGTTGTGAAACAATCTCATGAATAAGCATTAGATTTACAAATATATTGTTTGCACTCGAGGACTTTCTCATGAGCAAAGAAAACACAAAGCCAAAAGTACATCTCATAAATAAAAGTAGACGTGCTATACAAAATGAGACAAAGTTTCTTTAAAGCTCAAGCATTTATACGTCCTGATCAATACTCACTCCTTTTAAAATGGAGACAGCCTCCTTTGAAAGCCATGCAGGGTAATCAACCTCTTCGTGTAAAATAATCTCAAACATGTCGTCTTCATTGTCTGCTTGAAATGGAGGCTAAAAATATAATTTTGAAACAGATATGGATCATTGAAAAACATCCGGATCGATCAGGGTATTAAAATAGAATAAGCTTTGAGAAACAGATATTACAAAGAGTTGCTGAATACATCGACTTTCACAGGCGTCGATTATGGCCAAAATCAATGAGCGATTGCGGCTAAGATTGCAAAAACGTAAGACATACAGTCACCAAGTTTATAAACAAGCTTGACGTAACAGGCACATTGTGTATATCGCTCTCTCCAGGCATTGAATAGCTTATTTATTATTGCCTTAAGGCTATTGCGAAACTGATTCACATACAGAGAGAGCCAAAGTAACAGAGAAATTGATTCACATACAGAGAGAGCCAAAGTAGATTTATGCACAGTAAATTTCTTTTCTTTGCGCAGTAAATTGTAAAGTAGATTTATGCACAGTAGATTTGAATAAATATAAAAACTAGAACAAAGTGTCACCCATTAAGGGAATTTATCGAAGTGATACGAAATGACAGGCTCGAGCAGGAGCTTGCATAATAAAGAAAATTATGTCAACTTTGTTATACTACATTCTTGGTTTATAATCAAATTCTAGTTTGTTAAAATTACTAGCTAATTGAAACAACCCCGCCCCCAGGTATCCCCCACTGTAGTAAACATAGTTAAAGACGTTTCAGCTTAAACAGCTACCAGTTTAGTATACTTGATAATAATATTTTATCTCGAAATAAACGTCAAAGTCTTACCAATCCTGCCATCATTTCATACATTAAAACTCCAAGTGCCCACCAGTCGACCGAGGATCCGTATGGTTCCTCGCGAAGAATCTACAAAAACAATATTTGAACTAATTCAAAACCATTACTCGCGTGCAACCATTGCAAATAGACTCAGAAAAACGAAGGGTAATAAAAAAAAGCCTGAAGGGTAAATTTCAAAACTGAATTGATTCAACGTATGAATTTTACATTAAAGGTTATCACAGTGATCGACTTGGCACAATCAGCTGTTAGAACTGAACAGCTTATACAAAGTAGACATTCGTTTCGCGTTATTGATAGCGAAAAGAAAGCTCTGTGTAAGATCACCAAACTGGTACCATTAGAAACATTCATTTTCCTTTTCTGTATCGAAGAAATGCAGGCTCTTCCGAGCTTAAAGGTCGAGGAAACCGGCTGGTTCATATAATGCAAGAACAAAATCGTGTTCACTTTGGGTTGTTTTACATCTACGCATTGCTTCTAAATAATACGCCACTTATAGGGTCCCCTATTACAAAGGACATTGTAATGGAGATCCCCTTTGATTACAAAGCACCCCAAACTTATTATTTTTCTACTCTAACAATACGGTATCTTAATAACGGCGTTTATAAAGGTCCTATCATGGTCATATGGTCATAAAACAATTGCCTGAGCGATAGGACAAAGAGGATGACCGAAGAAACTGACACCAGAAATAAACCGGCACGAGCTACGTGCAATATTTGGAAGGAAGGAACACAATCAAATAATAAATTGTACAACCTAAACAAAAATAGCCAACCTCTGGAGCGATATAATCCGGTGTGCCACAAAAGGTTCCCGTTTTGCCGTTCTCTTGCATACCATCCTTGCACATTCCAAAATCAGCTAATTTCACGTGACCTTCGTGATCCAGTAACACGTTGTCGAGTTTTAAATCTCTGCAATAAAGGGCACATTACATCTATAGCAGTGCGTTTTAGGGGATGATTTCCAAAGTTGAAAGCAATGATTTGAAGGGGAAACATTGTTGTTTCGTGCTAAAGAGAGACAACGTATACCGTGAAAATTTTTTAAAAATGGAAATTTGAAGGTTGCTTACCTATAAATAATACCCTTGCGATGAAGGAATTGCAGACCAAGTGTAATTTCCGCACCATAAAACCTAAAATTTGGAAACAAATTATACGTCGAACGTTTAGATAAAAGAAAATACAACATACCATAAACAAATGCATCGCAAAGATCAATTAACTTTTTAATAAAACTTGGGATTCCGTTATCTTTTCCATCATAAGTAGGAAACATGATTAAATAGAACATAAAGAATGGAACAAAGACAGTCCAAAGAACAAATAGCGGTGTCACAAAAACTGGTTGCAACAACGTAAATAAAGGGAAGGCTGAAACATGAAGAAAGTTAGAGCGGTCTAGTAAAGTACGTTTACAAAAAAATCGAAAATGAATAAGGAACACCGTAACAATTTGTAAGAAAAATATATTTTTATAATGAATCTGTACGTCCGTTGAGAGGCAATCTGTATGCCGGGGACAAAAGATATTGGCACTGTTTTAATGTTATTCAATCACCAATGCTTTTTAATATTACGAGTTGGAATTGTTTTACAGTTAGTGCATGGTTGAAAATTATATCTCACCTTGATCTGGTCTCGTCGAATTTGTTTGCTTTTTGAATCTGGAACATTAAGTCACCCCCATTTACGTACTCCATGACGAAAAACAGTCGGTCCTGTAGCAACAAAAATGGTCGATTTTACGAAAAAACAATAGAGGAATGAAGAATAGTATACCCATGGCGTCTGATGTTTCTTTGAAACCTCACTGACGACCGAAGCCAGCTACAGTGAAGTCCTACCTTCAAAAAACCGCATTCAACCGCATTATAAGAAATTAAAACATGATTTTGCCAAATAAAGCTCCTCTATAAATAATTTATTATATGATCAATAAATGTTATCTTCTAAACAGGAATATAGTGTATTATATGGTATTTACTGTTTACAAAATCTTCACTGGCTAGAATTAATACCTTGTTGGGCTCATAAGCAAAACGGTATGATAAATTTGCACTTTCTAATGTCATTTACTGATCATAAAAATTAACCGGGCATCTTTTATTGTGGTACTTGCGCCCTGTCTTCACAAAGTATAGTTTCAAAAAATAAAACCAATCAGACTGACTTTGTGAAATAGGTTTCGTAAAGGTGGGACTTTACTGTACCACTTTTAAATTTACAAGGTCACGAAAAATGCTGTTTTAAATCAACAAAAATTTATGCGATCAATTGAGATATACCCCTGATTTCCCTGTGCTAATGTTGAATGATATAGTCGAAACCTGATAGTAATTCGAACACGTAATGGAAAGCAAAATTTGCTGCCATTAATGAAAGGTGGAAAAATAAAGAGATGGCCTAAAAGTAGGGAAGATCGATATGATCCCAAAACATCTTTTCAAAGGTAGGTTTTAATCCAAGCCTAGTAATAAACATTGCTTTGGATCGAGAGAGGTGGAAGATCATTAACCTCAAAAAATTTTCAGATGGGGAACATGAAGAGAAGAAAGGGCACCACGTAAACAATAATTTCATCTTCAAGGTTCTACAGTTCATTTCAATTAATTTAACTACAACAATAAACTTTTATTCGTACCGCCGTTTGAAAACATGAGTGCAGTGAAGTAAGGTATGGGTGCTCCCCCGCAAGTGCAAGGACTCGTTTCTCTGTTAGGACACAATCCATGTCGTCGTCTTGAATAATCGCTTCTTTTTTTAAAACTTTTATTGCATAATGTTCGCTAGTGCCTCTCCTTTCAGCTAACATTACCTGCAGGATAAGAAAACGTTTACTATTTGCTCCAGCAACGATATCCTCTGCCGCAAAAAGGCGAACAGTTACATAGTTCATTTTTAGCTTCTTTCTTCTTTTGCCTTTTTAAAATTGTCAAAGTTTCCTTTGTAAGTCGACATTTCCTCTAATTGGAAACAAGTTACTTGGGAGGACGTTTGGAAGTTCAGATTTATATCATAAATGGTTTTGTCCCCTATGGTAAGCATGAGCAAGTTGACTAATTTTTGTAAGCTGCAGAACTAACTTTTGATCAATACTATCTGCTTAAATATAAGATCTTCATAAAACGCAATGTAATGGAACAAACGTATAGCGGTAAATTCCAGTATCCGACCTCAAAATCACGTTACGCGAAGGAGTGGCCTGTTCAAAAATAACTACATCTACGAATTGTGTGAAACACTTTCATCTTTAAGACCAAATTAAAAACGTCCAATGTTGGAAACTGTTTTCTTATAGGATAATAGGCAAAATAGAATCTAGAGCTGCGGGAAGTTGAGTCGAAATCTTAAATGGCATTTTTAGTTTTGGGACCTTAGGCTGCTGGAAAATTATTGTGCCAGCAATCATTATTTATATGCAGTTATGTTTAAGTATGCCTTACAGTGTATATTCATTGTATCCCTGCGGAGCCAAAACAACAGTACATCGACCAGGTATTTGCGCTAATGGCACTAGTAGCGGCTTTGCCTAACTTACCTTGCCGAAACTTCCTTTCCCAATAACTTTAAGAAACTTAAATGAACTTAGGCCGAGTTTTGACTGTTCAATTAACATCTGCTTTCGTTTCTCTCCTGGCGACATAGACAGCTGATTTTCCGATACTTTGATCTCTCTGTCTCCTTGATATGAGATATCTAGTCCATTTCTGTGTCGCTGAAGATTGCCAGGTGCCGACTCGGTACTGACTTTTCTGTCTTTGCCACCTTTAGATCCCTAGCGAGCAAAACAAGTCAGTTTTCAGAAATTTGTAAAAAAGAAAGTATAGCTTTCTTTGTAACGAAAAGAACCAGCCAGATAAATCTAAGGATAAGCTTTTATAATGATACTGAAAGAACCATATTCAACATCAGTTCTCAACATATGACCTAGCTACAAGAACTTAAATTAATCTGCTTTCATGAATACGAACTTGCTTGGTTCTTTCATTACATATTTGAACAATACTACGGCACCAACTTACCGACGACAAAAACACAAGAATCAAATTGGTGACACTGTATGACAAAGCTTGACATTAGTATTCAAATAAATTGTTATACAGTTTCATCCGATAACTCGAGCCTCCAAGGGAACTACGAAAAAGGTCCGAGTTAACAACAGTTCGACTTATTAGGGCTTCGAGCCTGCTGGGGAAGATTTAACGGGAATGAAAAAGAAATTCGAAACAAAGAGAGTTTGAGTTATCCGGGGTTGGAGCCAAATGGGGGAAGTTTGAAGAGGAGAGGTGCAAAAGCAAATTGAGTAGTCGGTTACGACAGCCCTTAGCAAGAATATATCATCTGGGATTAGCATCTATTGCTAGGTATGCAACATTTCGATTAAGTTTTTGATAAATGTGCAGTTAGCTTAACCCCAACGGAATGAAGACAAAGACTTAACCCAAGAGCAGTACATGATCTTTTATTCAATCCTACATAAAATCTAGCAGCGAGACCAAACTGAGGGGGAAAAAATGTAGATTGCCAAAACATTATGTATCCAAATTTGGGACAAACAGTAATATATTGTTTGCAAATTCAGTATTTTCTCTTATATAAACTACTCTCTTTGTTAACAAGCTAATGCACCCCTGGCGAGCGCAGCCCTAAAGGTGATGGGTGCTTACGTGCCTAAACCATTAAAAATGCATTGGATGGGTGGAATTACAACCACACGAAATATAAACAAGAAGGAAAAACGTAACAAAAACGCGAAATGGGATTTTAATTATTCAGAATCTTAAAAGAAGTAGCATGCGGTAAGGAAAAAGCTCGATTTTGGTAAAAGCGAAAGGCTTTGAAGCAGATACTTGCTGAAACAAGTTTAGTTTGGGCACTAACGAAGCAGTGAAGATGAACAGAAGTGCCTTGTCAGGCAAAGATGGACCGAAGAAGATGCATCAGACGAATGAGGCATTTTCACTCCACAGGCAAACAATTATGAAAATATGATAATTGGACGGTGCTACAGAAATCACAGGGTGGATGTAAATACGATGTTAATATCACATGAAAAGGTAAATGCTTCATTTACAAATAATAATAATACCAGAGCTTACTTCAGCCTTATTAAAAGTGTTAAAATGAACATAATCGACAAGATAAGGATATTAATATCCTTACTAGATTCTGGTGCAAAACAAGCGATAGCAATCTAAGTAATGAATGTTTTTAAAAAATATCGAAATATTACTTTGCCAATCTGATCGAAGATTACTTTGAACTAAGATATACATATTTGATCAAATATGGTCAAAATCTTCACAACTGTATGTTGATAAAAACTGCAGGAGGGATGCTCTATAACCCTAAATAATAAAAATAATAACTTATCTTACTCACCGGACTAATTACTGATATTATGTTGCTGTTTTCACGGTTGAGCTTGTCACCCGAGAGGCCTAGTTCTGCCAAGTGTTTCGCCATTTTGGCTAAATCGACACCACAGTTGTTTGGAACAAGATGATGACATCGTTTATGAACGTTCATTTCACATGCTGGAATAAAAGACGAAATCTAACGTTTGTCATCCCATTTTCGATAAAGATTTGATTCCTTCAATAATAAAGATTTGATTGAATAATAAAGATTTGAATCCTTCAATAATAAAGACTTGATTCCTTCGATATAGTATCTAAAGTAAATGTAAAAAATTGAACCCTTGTGGAAGGCACTAAATTTCGTATGAAAATCTCCTTGAAGTGGTACCCGGTCATTTCAATTTAACGTCAAATAGACGAATTTAAACGAATGGCTGGCAGCAGAGAACGATTCTGACCCTACTTTCGGCAAGGTAGAAAATCAAAAGACAATGAAGACCATTACAAAACAACTGAAGCCGTGAGACGAAAATGATACGTGAAATATTCAAAAACAAGCAGTGTAAGATAAAAGCAGTGTTTCTTAATGGATAAAAGGTGTTTCTAATTTACCATAAAATATTGAACATAAAGTATGAAAATTACTTACAAGAGCATTTCATGCCTTGCCTCATGAGTCCATACAGAAGCGAGCCACAGTGCTCACAAAAAGTTGGTCTGAGGTAATTGTAGACGGCGAACTTATGTGGAACATCGATAGAAAATCCTGAAGGGATGGCAGCGTTTTTCTGTTCAAAAAAATAACTTGAATTAGCTGAAGAGAAATCAGCTCACTCACTTAAAGTAGACAGAAGGATTGACAAACTATTAATTGAAAGTAAGAAAACAATTTATGATTTTGTTGGGAAATTTTGTTTCGTACTGTCAATCAAAACCCACATCCACCATTCTATTACATTTCAAACCCACAGACCACCATTCTAAAAAGTTGCGGGACAAATTAAGCAAACATCGATTTTCTTCTTTGAAAAGAGGAATCATTTCTAAAATTGAGGGGTACCAAGCCAACTTCAGTTATCAAAAAGAGATGGACAACTTACAACAGGAGTGTTAACCTCCAAATTCCAGAAAAATGCCGAAAGAACCTCTTTAGTTCAAAATACCTGTGACTCAAAATGTTGTGCCTTTGCATGGTCAGTTTGATCAGTAGTAATGCATACACGTTAACGGAAAAATAAAGCAAATTGTGTATATTACACTTAACACAAATCTAAAACTGTTCTTATTTTTTGTCAAAGGAAAATCTTTTATAAGAACTTTTTGAGCCTCGATATTGTTAAAAAATTCATTTTTAAAAACAATAACTCTCTTATTATGTAAATTAAGTTTGCAAATTCATTTTGACATCAAGTGACTCTAGCTGCTATTTAAACCTATTCCTCAATTATGGCAGCCACAACCTTACCAAAATTGTTTGTAATAAAAGGGGAAATGAAGCACGGGGAAACAATTGCTATTGTCATCTATTGGTAATTATGTTACGATTTTACTGGTCCAGCCCATATGACATCTTGTTAGAACGAAGGTGGCCCCTGAGCAAAAACTGGTCTGACCACTCTCCTTTGAATCCTGTTAAGGAGCCAACAAAAGACTGGATCTATCACGTTTCTGAAAATATCAGTTTTCTATCTACCTCTTGCTTTGCTCCGGAGCACTGAATGACAACATCTTTATGACAACGCTTGTGAACAACACAGGAGCAAACTACAAAATAAAAGGACGGTCGTCAACTTAATTGAAGTATTCAAAATGCAAACTGAAAACAATGAGGAAATCCGTCGGCAGCTGGGAGGAAATTACTCACAGAAACCGGCCGATTTGCTTACAATGGGATCACTTGATATGACAAAAAATATAGCAGTGTAACCAAGTTTTTTCTTTCCAATCCAAATTGGGTTAGGCGGCAGTCTCCTCGGTAAGTTGTGAGTTGCAGAGAGGATATATTCGTAGAAAGGCTCCCCGAGCAAGAAACCGGCTTCTTTGTAAAAATCATGCATATGTGCTGAACAGTAACAACTCAAAAATGACAACTAAATGACAATGTGGAGATGACAGCCACTTAATAAACATGAAACTGTGAATTCCATTTACATACACAATTATTCGAAAATTTGTCAGACCGATATTTTTTGTATGAACCACGCATGCGCAATGCTTGTTGAACGAAAGCTTTAAACAAATAAGTCTTCAAAAATTTGACAACAGTTTTTCCAAGCTGATTGCACCATCAGTTCAAAAAATAACATCGTTGTTCTCGTCGTATACAAATAAGTCACCAAACTGAGAAACTGAGCCATTTCGGTACTGAAAGTTTCTCAACATTGTTACATTTTCAATATTCAGAGATTCTTCAAAGTTCCTTGCTAGTTCGATAAGAATCTTAAAAATTATGTGTGAATAAATAACCTGATGGGACAATGCTTTAAGCATCCATCCAAAAGACTGGTCAAAATTTGTCCGAAATTTATTTGAATATTTTCGCCCAAGTTGATTATCCGAAAATTTATCCGGTGAAAATTTTGTTTAACTTAAAGTGACGCTTCATGAATTTGTAGTACACATTTTCTACTTCCTTTAGTACTTGGTATATTGGGTACACATTCGTGTGGTCCCTGAATTTATTTTGTTTTCAATGAACTCCCTTGATATCCTAAGTCAAGCGAAAACAGATTTTTCTCTATCTTGGTTCTCGTAACATCAGCCTTAAAGATCAAATGCATGATTTTAGACCTATCTTTTAATGTTTCTTTATTGCAATAGATTGACAAAATGTTTGGAAAAACCAAGATTGTGGCTGTGATTTTTTATCTCTGTATTGGCGCGTAGTTAGTAAGCAAACTCTTTAAAACAAAGCGTTATGTTATATAAGATCAAACGGAAAGTGTTTCACAGCGATGTTATCGCAGTGGAGAACAGGTTACAGTCGGGGCGAAGGCGCCAAAAGTTAGTTTCAAAGATCTTTCTCTCTCATCATTTTGTCTTTGGCGGTTGCGACATTGTGGCACCAGCAACAAATCATTCACAAATTTTGATAAAAGAATAACAAAGCATGGCTCAGGAAAAAGAGAATCTACACTTCCCTAACTTATTATTCTTATATTCCTTTTCGAGAGCTCTATCGAAATTTTCCAAGATGCCGAAATGTCCATCCACAATATTTTCCCAAGTTTTTCGAAAATATAACCTTTTAATAACACTTTTAGTGATTTCCGTCACAGTATCTTAAGATTTGCTTCATTTGGGTTCAATTCGTTACTTTGGGTTTGCTGATATGCCAAGCCATTTCGATATTAAAACAAGAAGTTGATTTATCAAATTCGTTTGAAATCTGCGTCCAATAAAAGTTCCTGTCCCACTTGGCATATGTAGCTGATAATGAGTAGCCTTATCTTAAGACTGCTAGTTTATTGATAATTTCTGAAATAAATATAAGCTTCTGATGAACCAATGCTTCAAACTTCAAACACGATAAAATCTAATTTGAAAATTTCTATCCTACCTTGGCACTGGTAGCCTTGTTTGTTGACTAACCCACTAGAAAATAGATACATAAAAGTGTGAATACTGCACAATATACACAAGTTTAAAAGACAAAGGCATAAACACGACCCTACTTTATAAGACACCGCAGCTTGCCTACCCAACTGGTAGGGGGCTAGGAGAGTGGGGGGTTAGAAGAGAGGGGGGTTAGAAGAGGGCTATGAGGTGATTGACATTAAGCCTCCCACCATAAAGAGGGCGGAAAATGTAAAAAAGGAATCACCTAATTCAGTTCGGACGGAGATCAACTTTTGGTGCAGGACAAAAAACATTCTGCACTACATTGCGTTTTGTCTGTTTTCTGCCTTGAAAATTCCACTCTTTGCTTCATATGCTAGCCGATGGACAACATTTTATAAACAAGGACCCACTGTGATTAAACTGCCCAATGAGCCCGTATAGAAAGAATCTAAAAGTCTAAGATGTGTTCTGAGTTCTTAACTAATTATTAGATGTTGTAGTTTAGGCACTTTTTTCTAAAAGACCAGTTCTGGGGCACAGTTAGGTGACAGCTAGGTACAAAAATTAAACGTAACGAAAACCGTTAAACAGAACTTTTTCGAAATATTCATCATTGGCCATTGTTGGGCCTCTGTTTCCGCAAGAAAGAATATTTTTTTCAGGTTGCCAAACGTTCTTATTTTTTAGTTGATTTTAAGAAAAATCTTTTAAGCATTAGTTTTAAACGCATCGTGTAAAGGACTGAGGTTACACTAAAGAGGGGAAAATAACTGTGTGCAAATTAGACAAAAGGTTATTAGTGTGACTGACATACTGGAAAACACAAGACTATGAAAGCACGCTTACTAGATGAAATCGGAACATTGGGAACAGAAGGTAGGCTGTCGTAAGTAAGTTGCCATAAATTTGTGCCCATTGACTTGGTGTACTCTTCTCCGGACAGCATTCCGTCTTTTCGCCTTGCGACCAAAATAACTACTTGAAGGGTTAAATGGTTTCTTCTCTGGATCACCTGCAAAAGTGAAGTCAATTGCAATAAAAGCGCAAATAACAACGTACCTTGGAAGTAGAGCTGCAAATTCAAAAGTTTCTATATCAACATGAAATAGCTTGGTAATGATGTTGTGCGAACAATCATAATTTCTGTATCACATCATCATTAGAGAGGCGAAAAGTATATTTCACTGAAACTTTTCGGATACATTCTTGTGAACAGATTTGACAAAAGAAATTTCAATGACGTCTTTCGCTCGTTATTTCCAGGTGATGCTACATGACTTAATTTCAGCAGGCATGAAAGGCACGAAAAATAATAATATCGACTATTTACCTTGGTGTCCAGATTTTAGTTCAATAAACACGTGAATTTTGCCCGCAGGCTCAAGAAGAATCTAGAAAGAGAAAAATCAATGTGATAATGAAACACAGAAGTCTTTGATTGGGCTGCTCAACTTAAGGTTCATGTTTGCGTCTTACCAAATACAAATCAAATCATCCAAACCTTTCTTACAATAGGCCACTGACCTATTTTCTAAAATTTTGTTTGGTATATCATTATGTTTTGGGCAAAGAAGGGAAACGCCATTAAATATATCCTTCGAGAGGGAAGCACAATTTTGCACCCTGTAAATTTTCACTGTTCAACGTTCGAAGCTCCACTTTTATCTCCAAAGAAACAATAGTGGAGCTAATAGTAGTGGTTATGTGAATAACAGTTTTGTGTGTTTTCCGCAGAGCCAAGATAAAATTTGTCAATACTTTTAAGGCATTGAAAACGAGATATATTTTGATGACTTTTAGGAGCTCCCACCTTCAGATACCAGTTTCACCTTTTGGCACCTGCCACCATAACAACAGAACAGAAAATATGAACTAAATACAAATGATACTGAAAATTCTAGGTAAAAATCACAATATTTTATTTTCACTGTGACGAAAAAAAATCATGAAGCTTCCAGACCTTCTGCAATCCAAGGCAATTAAGATAAGATGTGATGCGAGGTATCGCAAATAAATCCTTCAAATACCTGCATTTCATTCTCATAATAGAAAAGATTGACGCAAGTTTTAATGTTTGAACAATATAAAAAACAACAATGGTAGTTTTCATTAACTATTAATGGTTGACCACCTATTATCGCAATGCTGAACATATATACCAAAGGAAAACTGATTGGCTGTTCCTGCCACAACGATGAACAGCGTAACTGTCTGTAAGGCAAGGAAAGGGTTCAATTTGCGAGGAGAAACCTTTCAAAAGATCCCAAAACTGCCTTAATGCCAGCAAACTGGCCATATTTGAATCGGTGAATTGTTTGAATGAATTCAGATTCACATCATCTCTAACATAAATAGAAGCATATTAGGTGTGGTTATGGTACTGGGCGTGGCTACAAAAAGTTGCCCACAACCATCCCTCCTAATATTTTAGGATGGCAACCATTGTTTTTATAGCGAAGAACTACCCGGAAAGAGGTCGACCGTAAACGAATTTCTCTGGGTACCTTCTGTAGTAGTTTCTATCGAGGAAAACTAGAATTTCAGTCAATTTTCAATTACGTGCAAGTTCCAGTTAGCGAACTTTATCAAACACACACAACTTACATTGTTTTCATGCACGGTTCAACATACACCGCACAGTTCAGGCACAGGTGCATAGCGTGGGAATTGATATACATAAGCAGGGCTGGGTAGTGCTACACAGCAGGCCTTTTGGGTGCAGGCTTTCTTTCATAAAAGAAGGCACAAAGCTGTACTATCGGAGGCCAATATGTAAATGAAAATAGGGGGAGGTCCCCTCTTTAAAGAGATAAAGTGAGGAAACAATAAATAGAGCCGTTGCAATTAAGTACATTGAAATCTAGTGGGTGAATTCACGACACTTGAAATTTCCAGCAGAGTCGCATAACGGATAATGTTCGGACATAGGGACCCACGTTTGCCAATCAAAATTTCGTAGTAAAAACTGAACCTGTGGTTGCAAGCATCTACAAACCATTCAGTAAAATTTAACCTGTATGATAATTTTAATAAATCTTGACACGATACAAGCAGTTGGAAATACTTGTCTTTTCATGTTATTCTTCAAATTTCAAGTCTTGGACCGCCTTTAAAACTTTCAATGTTACTATTTTCACATCTAAAGGGGAAAGACGGGCAGAAAAAATAGAAAGAGGGGACAGGGCAGGCCAATGGAAAATCTTAGGCTCAAACCCGCTGCCTGTCACTTCATCCAATAGACCCTTTTCACAATCTATCGGACAAGAGGACGAATAACAGAAAAGAGACAGTTGTTGTTTAAACATAACTCTCTCATCAGAAATATACTGTGACTTATTTGTTTTGTATGTTCGTTGCTTTGGCACCCAGAGTACTCTTTTGGGTACTACAACAGGCATCTTTTCATAATAATAGTTGTCTATGATAGAATAATTGAAAATAAATCATCACACACATTAGCTTTTCTTCGATAAAAAACAAAAAGAGATTGCTTAGAATTTTTGTGAAAATATAAAATATTAGCTTCCAGTGTAAATCTTCTAGAGGCTAAAAGAACCTAAAGGAAGAAAATGGTTTAACTTCAGAATGGAAATGTCTTTTAGTCTAAACTTAACTGGGTAATGCTGATAATAAGGATTTTGATGCATAAATTACAAATTTTAGATACAAGAAGACTACAAGTTGCTGGCCACTTTCCGAAAAACCATCAAAGCTGTTAAGAAAATGTGTTTTTGAGGCTCAGACTCAAACCACGGATAGGGGGCTGGAAACAAAAGGCACCTATCAAAACAGTACTGTCAACCATGCAGACAATCAATTAACTATGGCTGCGGTTTCGCAAAGATCTGCAGTGATTCACATAGGACATATTGCAAGGCACCAGATCCTAGGTGCTGAAGCAACAATAACCTTAAACAATTTCTGTTGGTTTAGCTGTTGCAGCCTGCCTTACAATAAACCCAAATGATACAGTTAAATACAATATGTTACTTTAGGCTCAAAGCCAGCTAAAAATTTTGATCAATATCTTACATTGGTAGTTCAGGTGACAACAGCAAATGTTTTCTTTGCCTAATTAAGTTGAAATAGCTTTAAATGGATGCTTAGAAAAAGTGATTCTACTTCATTTTGCATTCTGAGTCTCATCAGAAACCAATGGCTTTGTATCAGAGAAGGGATAACTTCTGAAAAATCTTCCCCATACTGAAAGGCAAGGGAAATTATTGTTGATTTAGAATGAGGCTAATTCAGTTCCAATATGACAAGCAATATCAATTTGGCTGAAATTAAGAACTATTTTAAAGTGCAGCAGATACAAATACCCTACCTTCAAAATTTTTCCTTGAAATCAAAACTTACTTGCTGGTTAAAAGACTTACCCAGGGGATTTCTCTCTTTGTCAAACATTCAATTACGAACATATGTTAAAATAGCTTTCACATTGAAGAATTGGTGCGACCAATGTAAATAATAAATTTGGCAAGAATTTATACTATATATCTTTATTCTAGACTAGTCATACAACAGTCATACTAGGCTCAGTGAATTATGGGTACCGGTACATGCAATAGGGACTTTCAAGAAAAACTAGCTTAAACTTAAAGTGAAAGCGAACATACAAGCATGAAGCAAAAAAATCAAAGATGTTGCTGATGCCAGAAACTTGGTTACAAACATCCAAATGTTCAAGTCAAATGGACAATTCCATAAAGGCAGAAATGGTAAAGTACTACAGGAGGTTGATAAAAGATTTGAAGCTTAAGGGCAGGTATGTATGCCTACAAAAGCAAGTATTAAAGACAAATAAGCCCAAAATTGATCAAAAAGAAGGACATTTTGGGCATACTTCTTTGTTAAAAAAAACTCACAAACTTCAACCAAAAGTCTTCCTGTGAAGTTCAACCAGCATTGTGTGCATATATAAACTGATTTTTTTACACTGATTAATTTAGGATTAACGGGCAGTAATCATAAAAAGACGAAGCTTCATGCTGTTATCAATTAGCAAATTATAACACAGCAGGTTGAACTACCTGTCAACGTTTAGAACAGCCTGCTTCTGTGCAAGTATGCTAAATATTAATTTCCTTAAGAACAAAATTTCTTGTAAAAGCAGCATACTCTAGTCAAAGCTAAAGTATTGATAAAGCAAAAATAATCATAACAAGACAATCTGTTTAGAATTTAATTTTTCTGAAATGCCTATAAAATCTCTTCATAACAAGAGGTTCATGTTGAGGTTTACCATAATTTAAGATGAAGCACTTATTCTGAGTTCTGAAATTGTAATGACATGTACAAAAGTAGGAAATTTGAAAAAACATTCAACTGCAACTTAAAATTGATATAGATTGTTAAGTTCAAAAATCATTGGTTTTCTAGATAAAAGCATGACATTAAACTATTATTTCTTTTAAGAATGATTTAATAATTTGATTCAAATTCATTATTTTTCAGATAAGAAACCCTTCAGCAATTACAAACAACTTCAATGAGAAACAACACTAGCAAAACTCTGTAATTACCTGGCAATAATTGAAAATAGAAGTGTTAAACTTCATAAGAATTGGTTTTTGCTGATCATGGCACTTACAGTCACATTTCACATCAGAAGCCAAACTATAAACAAATAACTTGATAAATGAAATGCAGTGACACATGCTTTGTTGGCAGATTGCTCCTAAAAGACGTATGTCTAACAAACAGTACAATTTTTAGATAAAATTGTATGGATAAAAAAACTGCAAATTAATAATTTGTAACAAAAATAGCCAGTTGCAACAATTGGAATTTGTTTCCTTGTTACTCATTTGTAATGTAAACCAGAGTTTGCAACATGTAACATAAACTTAAGGACAAGGTCAGCTTGAAAATTTGAGACAGGTGCCTGAAATCACACACTGTTACTGTATTTCTCAGCGTATAAGTACAGTTTCTATTGCCGTAAAATACATGTGAAAAGTCAACCTTGCTTTCTATCCAAAAGTGTAGTTTACAGGAAACTTATGCAGAAAAGATTTCCATTTCAACAAAAATATTTCTGTTTGAACAACTTTTGACAGGAGAGTGTAAACTGTTGTTTGATTAAGTCTTGCAAGTGTCGTGATTTGAAATGCTTGGTATTGCTAGAAGTCTGAAAATTAAGATTGACTTATATGTCAACTCAACTTGTACCCTGAGTAATATGGTAGATGATATAACCTAGGGAATATGTGGGGCAAACATGCAAAAGTCGGCAGATGGGAAACTTATATGGATAGGCAATATATTGCAGGCCCTTGACAAAGTTTCCATTCTGGGCAATTGGTTTTCTACAACTCATTTTTCCAAAACAAAAATTGAGAAGGCAAACTTTTCTTTGCAACAAATTTCAACAAACAAACAAAGAGCACACTACCAAATGTCTACACTACTAAAAACAAATGAAATTTTGTGACAAATGCAAAAAGCTCACCAGACAAAAAATCGTTGCAAAATCTATAACATTATGACGTATGACAAGATAGAAACAGGAACTATCAAAACTTTTGTCCTATCGTTAGAAACTAGGTTGAGGCAATCTGGTTGCAAATATATTGGTTTATCTCGAAAAATTCCCAAACAAAATTCGTTTGAATAAAAATTACAAATGTAAACAAAGATTGCATTCTCACGATTGTATAAGTGAAACAAAATATTTTGATTTTGACCATGGAGGATAAATACGAAAACTTCGTCTGGTAACACAAATGGGCAGTTAATTTTTTTTCTCGATTGTAAATCTTATTGCTCTCTTCAATAGCTGACCGAAAAGTGTGTCGTAATGAGAATTTATTCAGATTCGGCAGGCAAAAAATGCGTCACGCCATAGAGGGTTATGCGGTTTCAGGTTCCACATTTTGGGCCTTGGATAAATTTTGAACATAACTGACAACAAAAAATATAAAGTGGACGAGTGTCTGCTGGATCTTGCTAAATGGCAGTGAAGAAAAACACCTTGTAGAAAAGATGTGGTTAAAACTAAAGTTGTTTAGAAATAAATAAAATAAGTAAGCGACATTTACGATAGGGGGCTCACATCGTGCTCAGGTGGATAAAACAGTGCAGTTAGAGATGCTATTTGTTTCCTGCTTTTTGGCAGGTGTTTCCGATTTTTCGTAATACAGAACTTTATGAATTAGACGTGATTATCACCAAAAGTTGAAAACACATACCCACAAATCCGGTTGGCCTTCTTGATGTCGAATAATTTCTTGCAATGGCACGCTTATGTTTGCAACGAATGGGTCAGGCCCTACTACCGCACTATGAAACACTGTCAAACTCAAGCACTTTGCGTTATGAAGTGTCGCTGTAAACTCTTCATTCCAGAAAGGGGATAGTGTCCTTGACTTGGCTGCAGTCCTTGCAATATTTTCATCGTCAACGTTAACCTGAAGGAAAGGATCAATTGAGGCGAGTTTTCCCTTGCCGAACTGCGAGCGGATGTGCTTCAAATCCAATTCCAAGGCCTCTATGACCCGTAGTTTCATAACACCGCTGAAGCCGGCCATCTCTTCAGTTCAATTATAATCGATTCTTCACTTTAACAAAACTGCAGCTTCGCCAATAGCTAAATGGCAAACATATCTTTTTATGTTTGTTACACTACTTGATCGGATAGTCTCAGCCATAAACTGCATTCCACAAACGGGAAATGCTGACAATTCTATCCCAGATCTCTGCTCCAACGCAGTTACGCAAGAGCTGTATATCCTCTGCGGTCTGTCACAACCTTGGAACAAATCACAACTTTTGTTGCTTATTTAAGATTTTTCTCCTTTGTCGTCTCTCATATATGTCTAATAGATGAGAGCTGAAAGTCATCTGATTTAGGAGTAGCTAATTATTTCTAAATAAACAATGGTCAGGGGGCTTATGCCCGCCAGTGGCGTCGCCAGCTCAAAAAATCTGGGGTGGACAAAAGCAAATTGTCTCGGCCACGCCCTTCAGACTCTTGGAAAGGTTTTCTTTAGTGTTTTTTATCTATTTCGTAATGTAGTACAATAATTTATCTTTTTCTATCTTTGAGCAAACAACTTTCTCAAGCAGCTTTCTTTACAAGTTCGAAAGTCAAAATCGATCTGATCAACTATGGATAGCTTACTCCTATATCATAGCAGTTCTCATTGACTGGGAACCATTTTTGTTCTTTTTCTAGGTGTTTTATCTTGTTTGATGATATGATGTATTTTCTTACTTGGTAAGCTTGGTATTTTATTACCCTCAGACAAATTATATCTATTTCTATAGTAATTGATATATTCTCTTAACCAGACTGTTTATAAAAATTCAGTAGAAATAAGCAAGCATTTTCTAAAAGGGGCGTTTTCCGGCGTTCTAGAGGGTGTGGCCTGAAAAAAAAATTTCACACCCATTTCAGCCCCTCCACTTTTAGAATGGTGCGCGGTCCCTGCAGAGCTGTGCATGCTTTTAGTATAAAGAACAGGACGGTTTTCAGTTGATACTTTTGTGTATCACGCTGCGATCATCCGGCAACTATTCATGGCAAAACAAGGAAGTAAAATATTCAACGATTAGAAAATTTCGGCATAATTTTCTTGGTACGTGCTTGTTGGAGGATACATACACTAAAAACATTTCTTGGTACATGCAATTTCATCTTATATTTTTCTGTCAGCAGTTTTGCACAACCTTCGTCGGAAGAAAGTTAAAATGAGGACTTTCTATACTTGCCTCTAGCGCCACCTCTTTCGAATCTAGAGAACCGAGTATAAATTATAGCATCTTCTGCACTTTACACCCTTGGCCGTATTTTTAGCCAGGAAAACAAACTTCACTCTGATGTGTCTAGCTTTTACAAATACAGACCATTCATAGATTTTCAGTTAAATTTAGCTATCTTATACATCTGAACCACGCTTAGTTGTTCCTGGAGCTTCTGCTATCTTGAATCTCTTTCCGTTTCCCTTGCTTTTATATGCTACGTGTTTTTACTTTTGCGACTGCAGAAAAAGTTTTTACTGGTTATGTAAACAGAAGGCTTATGGACAGTACCGCACAATAACGTTCTTATTTATTATACCCAAACTTTATGTCTACTAAATGGATCGTTTTAAAAAGTTATCTTACATGGCGGGATATTTTAATCTTGAAAAAACATAAAAGTCTATACAATGGTGCATGGATCATTTCACGAGGCGCGCGAATGCCGGATATGGCATCTTCTACATAGTTTCTTACAATACCGACTTCCAGATGCTGATATTACTTGAACAATGTGAATTATGAAACTGGACAAAAGATTTTATATTGGAAGGAGTGAAGGGAAACATCTTGAAAGTATAAAAAACTTAGCAGCTTTGCTACGGGACAGCAGCCTCTTACGACAATATGGAACTAGCTGCTGACGATCACGGTTAATACCTTTTTTCAAGGTCCTACGGCAAACCCGTAAATAACAAAGTGACTCACGCGAAATGCATCTCGAATCTGAACAAGATTTGTTTCGAAACCGCTGTCTGTGGGTAAATCGCTCCAAAATCTGTTACCAGGGAAATGATTACATGCTTACAAGTAACAATAAGGAGATTATTAGAAAATTCCCGAAAAAATTCAGTCTTCTATTCCTATCGAAAGGCGGACTTTGATGAATTAACGAGAGTCATCAGCAAGAAATCGAGAGAAAAGTAAATTCAGCTTTATTATTTACACTTTTAACTTGGCTACTTACAAACACAATAATTACTAAAAGTCGATACGAAAACATTTACGTAAAATCAAGGACATAATATATATAGGCTGCTTTTTTGTGAGCACAAATCTTCGGAATCATTTGACACGGCTTGCAATTAAAGCAAACACGGTCAAAACAGATTTATTGACACAATTATGTTATGTGCGGTATCCCCTGCATGGCACATTTGCGGTTCGCAACTTGCATTGAAGGCTTAAACAACACACCGCTGCCAAAGGCGACCAACGATACGCAGTGGGGTGCATGCGGGGGTTTCGTGAGGACAATGCCCCCTCCTAAAAAAATGTTCGCCCAATTTTTTCGAGAAAAATTTTCTATTATGGTTAAGTGCTGGTTTTTCAAAATATCCTCTAAAAGTTATCAAAGTTTACATGTCAGTTATGCGATGCATGCATTGGGACATACACTCCATGTCAAATTCATTTGGTCATCTCAAAAGGCCTCGCCCCTGTACTCATTTCCATTTAACTCCCTCATTTAATTAACCATGGTCACGCCTTGGTAATTGCAAGATAAAATAAGGAACAAGATAAATTATTCCTTATTTTTTCTTCGTAATAGAAGATGTATCAACGAAACATAAGATGGAACGCGTACTGAGATGAAAGTTCAATTTTATTCTTCCAACATAATTTCAAGTTCTTCAACAGGAAGACGAACCCGGATTTCCTTCTCTTGCATGATGTCCAGGATATTTTCGAACTCATTTCCATGTACCTTGATGGCATCGAGGTATATGTCCTAAAGAAAAGCCAGGTATTAGTCAAATGTCCCGGACAATAAAAGTATGTTGAAATGACGTTTTAGGAAATAGTAGAAGTCTAGTAGCAATATGCAAAGGAATATTCATAAAAATGTGGCAACCACGCCATGTTGCTTTCAAGAAAGGATCTGGAATAAAAGTACAAATTTGATAGCAAACAAAGCATAGGAAATCTTTAAATGTAGAATAATCAACGAAGTTTCTACCGAATTGAAATGCATAATAATAAAGCATTTTGTTCAGGGAGATCTCACTGATGGAATCATTTCTTAATGTTTCAAAGCTAGGCTGTCGATATCTGATGGGTCAAATTATTTGCAAGAGAAACCTACAGGGAGCATTAATGGTTAAACAGATAAATAGCAGTAGAAAGTCAGTTATAGCCTTGTTGGGCCTCTGTCTGAATTTCCAAGAATGCTCCTATCTCATCTCGCTTGACAATCCAAATTTATTTCAATACATTGGTGCTAGAAGCACCTAATAAAGACAAGAAATTTTCACCGCGAAAAATTGACTAGGCATGCTTCAGCAAGATCCATACAAGCAGCATAAAGAACATGATGCAGATTGCAACTTGGCTAAGGATATGATGCAGCATACAGATGAGGTCTTCTTTATTTACACCGACTAGTTAAAAGAGCCGGTTCTGTATTAAAGGATTCTCAACACGCTTGAGGGAATTCAAAGTGGCCACTGTCCATTTTCCCCAGTGTAAAAAGCTATTTAGTTCAAACTAAATCGGAATCTTCTGTTATTTTAAGCAACAGAATGAAAAGCAAAAATGCAACAGAATGCAAGACTTTTAAGCGTAAGAACAGCAGAGTGGAGAACATCCTCGAAGGGACAATTTCTACAAATAAAAAAGAAAACATGAACAAATTATTGCAATGAACTTGTTAAGTGTCACTGACAACTCGCAAATTCACAATCAGGAACAAATCGCAAAAAAGTATGAAATCCTACTTCTCATCTCATTGCAACATACCTTTGACCAAGGGCAATTCTGTACTGCAGCATAAAATACATTTATCGACCTTCTTGAGCCACCATTTTCTACCTAAAAAGTAAAACTGTTCGATAAAAACATTATGCTCCAAAAATGACAATATCGCAGCATAAGATAGCCATATATGGAAACAATTTTCCAACAAACATGAAACAAAATATAGCGTTGAAGTTAACGATGAAGTAAACAAGTTTTCAGATGTCATTCTGTGCTCAGTATTCTGAATTTTGATATTTTGAAATATATGTAGAATAAAATTTGGCAGTAATTTCTTGAAGTGAGCCTTTAAAGCTTCTGGCATATCAGGTACGAGTTAACAGTTCTCGCGCTATAGGCTCTGGTTACGATAAAATTCAATGCATATGCTATCTTAAAATATAACTTAATTAGCTATTCAGAATCGGAACTTCAGAAAAGCAACTCCAAAGTATGCGTTTACATTTCTAACTTGAAGGCAAATTTCAGAAACCTGACTGTTTCTAAACATGATGCCTTTGGAAAGTCTAAAATCTCAGCCAAAAATTTGATCTAACAGTGACATAGCTTCGAATATCTTATGAAATATTGAAGAAAATGAGAACTTCTGAATGGCTAATGAACATTAGAGAGATTGCACGCAGTTAAAAGACCAAAACATCTGCAATCACATCTGCTCCACTGAGTTATAACATCTAGCAATGACAGGAAACCAACAGGAAACACACAAAAAGAGCACTAGTCAAGGCTTCTCGGATCTTCGACGTCGAATGTCAATGATCTTTTTCAATTGGCTTCGCTCCATCACTGAGGCTTGCGGCAGTTGCGTCGCCCATACGTTAAATCTTTAAGTTTTGATTCTCATGACATTTGCAAGGTTTTGCAGATATACAACATTTCACATGCGTTTAGCTACACTTATGTACAAAGGCCGTTTATTAGAACATCAGATTAATCTTGGTATTTTATGTCCACACTACTGCTTCCCCTCCCTTTCTTATCCCTAAAAATGACACTGGCAAAGTAGAGAACATTTTAAATAACACGTTTTGTTGTGTGCCAACGTCATCTGAACGTCATCATAACATTTAAAAACTTCTGGCAACAATTGTCAAATAAATCAGTCAGGGTATCGGTTGCATTATACTCGACTTCTGGCAACGATTGATAGTTATGAAAAAAAGTTGATAACCAGATATTATGTCTACGTTTACAAGAGAGTCAATTAATGCACCTCAAACTGGAAAAATCTTCGCCATAATGGAACAGATGACCGCCCTTCACGGCTTGACGTTGCCCTGTCATAGAGACTACGAATCCGATTGATGATGCCTGCATTTGGCAGAGTAGTAAACACGGTGTCCTGTAAACAAAATCATTATATAAACATCTTGCTTTAAGAGATTCAACGGGAAATGTTTACTCGATATCTAGAATAAAATACCAGTTAAAGAAATTTTGTCAATTTGGTCATCACTGAAAAGACTGAAAATGTAAGAAGAGCAAAATCTACCTTCTCTACAAGGAGAAGTTCTAGTAAATTGTTAGAAAGTCATTCAATAATCTAGCTGTTTCGCGTTTCTGACGACATCGAATTTTTTTCGATAAGTGATGCTTCCTCTTGCATCACCTTATCTACTAAACAAATTCCCCTTATCTTCAACAAACATCTTTGCACAAAATAAACACGTTGCATGTACGCATTCACATATATCTTAATGTATTTCTGCAAATGTACACAGTGAACTGATAAATAGTCATTATTTTATACTGATAGTTTTAATGACAATGGTTTTCATTAGGTCCATTTTCTAAAACAGATGAACTGTACAAAATGGTCGGGAGGACGATGAAAACGCATTAGCCATCTCCCGTGAGCAACAGTTAAATTGTTCAATGCATATCCTCTTCGATTGCAATGACGGGGGAATTGTCATTTAATCAAGATTTTCACTACTTTTTTTCCTCAGCAATATACATAAGAGAGGTGAAATGTAATTGAATGACATTGTGGAAAGTGCAAAAAAGTAGCATAATACCTGCTGGTGTTAAATATGAGTAAATAAAGTCCATAAAATCAAAGCGTATTGTAAAGGATCTCATTTCAGTTGAATGACCAAACTTAAGGTTTTTGGTAGACCATACGAAAATGAGTTCCAATAACGTTGATCTGGCCATTGATTTTATGGGAATTCAGACTGGAGTTTCACTGCTTAAAAGATAACAACAGAGAAAGAATATCTAAGAGTATCTAAAAGTTAAAAATAACTTAAAAAATTTGAAATCCTTTGTAGAAAAATGTTGAAATCCTGCTTTTCTACACCAGAAAAAGAAAGCTTTTCCACTTTTTAATACGGCTTATTTCTTTGAATGTATGATAGCTGCCAAACGTAGAGAGAAAGTGCCTGCAAAAACAATTAAACTAACGCGATTTTTGACGCATCCTGTTTGAACATTTCGGTCGATTCTACAGGTGGGCACTCCTCTGTGAGAAAATAAACAAAACCTAACCATTTTGCATATCGAATTGCTACTGTAAAATTGGAGCTGACAAATGACAGACAATTGTGATTACCAGAAAACTTACACTTGCAGCAATGGTCTTGTCCAAACAGCTGATATCATCAAGCGATATTGACAATTTCAAGGTCTTCAACCGCTGTTCTTCATAGTTTATAGCAAAATACCACAAAAGTAGACAATCTGCATTTGCTAAAATTCGATGGTGGTGCCTTCTGATCTTCAGCGAAGCAATGCTTTTGTTTTCTACTTCAAGCAATTTTTCGTTCAGCTTTAAGTCAGAAGGAAACCTCTCCACGGCATCCCATAATGCTTCTCGTAACTTTGGCACATTCGTACGCAGCTTGGTGCATGAATACTGTAGCACTGCTACCTTGAAATGCGTTAGCTCCAAAGATTTGTCTTCATCTAATTGAATATTGTTTTTGAGTTCTTCTAAAACAGAGTTGAATGCTTCTTTGCTCTCAGTAAAATACACAATCAACGCAAAACAGAGGACCCATTCAAATTTTTGCTGCTGAAGCTTGTGACGCATCGAGCCCCTGTTTGGTTGTTGTGATCTTACGTCATCAAGAATTCTGGTGAATGATTCTTTGAAGCCCTCTTTTATACGCCTTATTCGCAACGGATTTGCTTTCTCGTTCGAAATAGAACTCGATGAGGTGGATGGATCCTGTCCTAGAAGAAGCAATAGGTTGACAATCTTGTTTTCAACCTGGCCTGCACTTTCTGTTCCTTGTTCAACTGACTGCATTAAGAACATTGCATAGTTCCTAATAAAAAAAGAAGTAGAAAAAAAGCTGTTGAATAAGTAAAAATCATTGGCTTCATAACGAGCAAAGGGAATCCTAAAAAAGAGCGATCTCACTACTGTAGTAAAAGCAAGCGACTTTATCGCGCAAACTATTTGCAAATAAATCTGAAGTTATTATCTACTTTTCAGGCTAAGGGAGGAAAGAAGGCATACTGCTTCAAATATTCATTTTGAAGAAACCTCTCAAGGCGCGAAGGAAGAATGGTGGACAAATAGAAGTAGTAGATTATACAAGTGGGATGATCATTCAAGCAAGAACACGGTGGTTTGGAGATGAACAACCGTAAAGAATAATTACGTTTGAACAAAGATCAAGAGAACGTTCTCGGCTAAGACGTAATAGAGAGGAATAGTAACCCACAAAAAATGCGGGAAGCAAAAAGAGGTCAATTGTTAAATTTCTTACTAAGGAGGCTGCCGGAGGGCAGAACAATGTGTGTTTTTAATTAGGGTTTTTAAATTCAACAAGTTACCAAGATTCAATTGAAGAAATGATTCAAGTTACCAAGTTACCAAGACCAATGCTCAGAATTGGGCGCTATGCCCAGGCGCACAAAAAATGTCAATTGGAAATCGGCCTTTATGCTCCTTGACATTCATTTCCCGTCTTACTGCACGGCGCTCATTTCCTTTGTCCCCTCTCCCGCTTGCAGCAACACTCACTTTTTCTGAAGATTTTGTTATCAATTTCGTTTTGTAATCTAATATTGATCTAATTTTCCATTTTTTAACTATGAGAGTTGTTGAAATTTGTGTCAAAGGATCGATAAATTTTCCATCTTATATTACCGCGTCAATAAACAAAAGCAGACAATTCAAACGATAATGGGTTTTCATTGTCACGACAGAGCTCAACAGAAATCTTGATGGATAGCAACAGAAATCTTGACAGTCAACAAATAATTGTTGCGAACATCAATCTACGATTCCTTGGCAATCCCAGAGTCTCTATTTTAATTCAAGCGACGATGGCCAGGAGTTTGTTGGATTAAAATCAGAAGAAAACAACCACCGCAAAAGACCAGTTAAAAGCAACAGATCAGCTGTAATCGTGACAACCTTCACCAAATCCTTTCTTCATAAACAATTTGTTTGAAAGCAAAAAATTTTATCGATCAGTATAGTTCATCGAGCAGATGACAGAGAAATGTGCAGATGGTGCAGTTTAAATCAATTTAAAGCTGACAGAATAGCGTTTTTGTAAAACACATTTTAAAAACCACTACTTCCAACAACAAAAGGTAAAATCCTCTTGTTCAAAATTCTTTTGAAATTCGCATCTAGATTAAAGCAGCAAAGCGCTTAAAACAATAACTTTAAAAACAATTCACTACTTTTTTGGATAATATTTTGTTCGCGCTTGAGATAGGTTAGTGTGCAAAAGAGGAATTCATCTTTTTAGAGAATTTTAGAAGACTCCTCAATATAAGCCTTTGAGATTATGGCAATGGTCGTGAGATAAAAACTGAGCAAGTTTCAATCGCTTTTTAATTTTCCACTTTCCACTGGATTAAGCCACATGGGCAGACGGTAATTCATCCTAAAAAATCATTTATGGGAAAAAGCCTCTGAACATAGTTGGGAATCGTTGAATGAGGAAAATTTTTCACTGAAGAAAGCTCAATTTCGTTGACCTGAGCTGCAAAGTTTCCCAGTATCAAAATTTTTGCTTTTAGAACATGGTGCGATTAAAGAAGAATGTGGCAAATGTTCCCAGACAAACCAAGCCAGGTTATTTGCTGCACTGTAAGCACTAACATTTTTCATGGGACTTGTAGATAGAGGGTACATCTGGCTAGTTAATTCTGGTTATACAGAAAAAAAGCGGTTTTGATTGGTGAACATGATTGTCTTTCAAGCCAAATTGATGACAAGCTAGTAAATTTGTTACATTGCTTATCGCTTTGAGTTAGATAGCCATTACCATTAGATAAAAATTGCATTTGTAATTAAAAAATCAATGAAAAATCAATGTGATCTTTGAATGTTTAAGACCAGTGCTGAAATCAGCACACACAAAAAGGCCATCCCAAATTCTTCAACGAGCTAAAATGACGATTTGAAACTTTAAATGGGGGTGCCAATGCAGCGGCAATTACTGATTTGGTACATGTCAGTGATATAAAAACATACTGATTTCCATGAGAATATAAAAAAGTTACAATGTCCCTTTCATTGGTAAATGATCAAACCAAAACAAATGTAGCTATCTTTAGTTCAGTCATGCGACACCCTGTCCCTCGAAGTTCCGGCCAAACTTTTCAGCGGTGGAAATTGAGGGGATGCTAAATTGTCAGTTCAAACACAGTTTTTAGTACTTTTATCGGTAAATTTTGTTATTTGTCTGCAAATTCACTTGCTTTTGGAGGTTTTGCAAGTTTGGAGAGGGTGACTGAGCTTTATGGTCGGCTTCTACATTCAATGAAAATTGAGAGCATGAAGTAGAAACTCAAGCTTAAATCCACCGCTGCTCAATGAATTGCAAAACAGATGGAAAATGCAGGCTTTTAAAAAAGGCTCTTCACTTTCACCGCTCAATTCACTGCTTAAAAACATCGCCCCTTCATTTGCATCTTATTTTTGAATTTCTTATCAATGGCAGCGGCAGAACCATAAAGTGATAGGATTTATGGGGCCGAAGCTTCCATGATGTCGTTATCAAATTCACAGTTGTAGACAGGCTCTTGTAACTAGAAGGTCCAGCTGATGACTGGGTCAAACGAAAAAATATGTTGTTCGTCAATGCAAGTGATCCTAAAACGGGTCTGCAGCCTTGCGGACACGTCCAGAATTTCGACTTGGGCTTGCAGATTTGCCCGTTTTTTTCGGCGGTTTGCGGCGGTTAGTTTTTATGCTACTTGCATCCTTTAATGCAACTTTCAAGCGATATGCGTTTTTTGTCGTGTGGCTTCGTTGCGCAAAAAAACGGTCAACATATATATTTTATGTTAAGTTTTGGGACCATTTCGATAGTGGATTGCTGTATTCTGCCTCAATCCTACGCGGTTTGCGGCTTTTATCTCCTAAGACTCATCATACTTTTAATAATGTCAGTCCAATTAAAACAAAGTAGAGATGAAATACAGCTGCAAAATGCACTAAATTGGGCATCTGGTGATGATATACAAACTCTGCGGTCTCAATTCCTTTTTAAAACCTCTAAAGACGCAACAGGAGATTGAAATGGCAAATTCAATTGATGACGTCACAGCTTCAAATTGAAACTGGCAGTCAACATCAAAAATTCACTTGTCATGATCAATTGTCACAGTTAATTACTTTTCTCAATTATCTAAGTCCACTTCCTGCTGGTATTTACTGTTTCCCTGTTCTGCTTTCTCCATATATCCCTGTCATATAAGCAACTTCATCAAACAACCTTTTTTCTGTAATAACCGTTTGATTGAATTCGAAGTCGCACTCTTGGCGCTTAATTTGAGGTCACATTTCCCGAAAAAATGGAAGTTTTTTCAAAATTTTTCTTCCATGCAGAAATCATTGGCAGAAAAAAGAAAGCTGTGCGAGAGATCTTGACTTTTTGTGTCACTGAAAATTCAAATGAAACTTATAAAACATTTCAATCCTCTGAGCGAAAGGCGTCTCCTTGCATTTTCAAATTTATTTTATTTTTAACAAATCTAACATATTAGGTTCTTTGTTTAGATGAAGTGTGAAAAATTTTCGGAAAATTTGCAACATTGACTTCCAATAAAATATATCAAACACAGACATGCACCAATGGTATCTCTTTGTTACAAAGTTGATTGAGAAAAACTCAGCCTTTTTTCATTACTGACTAAGAAGCAACCTCTGTGTGAAATCACAAGCACTACTGGTTAGGTTGTACCTATCATACCATAGAGCAACCATGTGATCTCATCTTTCAAAGCAATTATATAGTCACAACAAGACAGTTTGAATAAGAGATGGGATTTGAATGCAGTGTAAACGAAAAGTTTACAAAAGGAATCCTGGGTGAGAGAAATGCTGTAAAATGGTAATGGTGAATCTTTGCAAACTAGTTTTTGTAGGATGCAAACACTAATAATTACCTGAAGATCCAAGAAAACTTTGAGGTATCCTTAGGCTCCTCTGCAATACACATTGCTATCACCATATCCAAAATTCTAAATGCTTCCTCATGTTTCCCAAAATCGTGCTCAAAATAAGCAAAAATTTGCCAAAGTTCCAGACAGTTTCTATTTGCCGTTTGTTTTAACAATGATCTGCCAAACTTCCTTGTTTTCTTCACAGCATCTTTGATCCCGCGACTGTCTTCATACAGACTTTTTATGCATAGGATTTTAAAAAGCAGAAGGCACTGACTAACTGTGTTTGAAAATTGCTGTGAATATCTTCCAGCCAATTTGAGTGATTGTAAGAAAACCTCCTCCACGTAACTGATGCGGTGCTCCTCTAATTTTGTAGCATTGTTGCTGCTGATTTCAAAATTCACTGGCGAATATAAGCAAACAAATTCTGATCCGACTGTATTGGAAAATATCTTCAAAAACTTGGGTGTAAATCCAAATTCCGAGAGCTTTCTCCAACAACTACTACTCAGAAATTCCTTTTTTACAGGGACGCCCAAGAATGATAAATGGAACAGTAAAATGCTCAACCTATCTTTTTCGGACTGTAGTTTAAACAGGCATGGAAGAATGTCGTCAGCAAGCACAACACGATCAGGGTCAACAAAGTCTTCCCTCTCCTCGCTCTGCCTCAAAGGTCTCCACATTCTATCCTGCCGCTGACACTCTATCATCAACCAATTGACCGACTTCATTTTAGACCTATCCACATTTTCCTTGCTAGCATCATTGTCTTCATCTACACATACCTGAGCATCTGCAGCCTCTCTGTGAGCAACCATTTCATCCACCACTTGATTATTTTTAGCATGCATCCAGCTTTCCCAGCCTTCAGCCATTTCTTCACCAAATCTGTTATGGTGCATGAAATTGAACATGATTATGTAAAAGTTGATAAGAGAAAAAACTAAATTACAGAATATAACAACAGCATCATTTATAGTGATATATTTCAAAAATATTTCATTTATTTTCCACGTCAATAGAGTTCCAGAAAAATCATCAAAATTATGAGGTCACAAAATTTATAATTTTTCAGTTTGGACCTGAAAACTTGAAAGAGCAATTTTGAAGACCTTTGAATCTATCTCCTCCATCATTCTCCATCAATTTGCTGTAACTCTGCTTTCAGCTTTATTCAAAGTAAAAGCTTCATTTTTGCCATACTCCAGTCAATTTTGGAAACAGATTTGGCTAATTTCAAACCTAGAAGAATATTTCACTCTATTCTTTCAGACTATTTTGTTGTCTGACATCAAAAAATATTGGCCCTCTGTCCACATAGAACCTATCCCCTGTTCTAAAGTAGGGATTATAGAGATTTGATAACTACAGAAAAATTAAAATAGAAAGGAGTACATTTCTTTATTTCTGGAAAGCATTAAAACATCTCCAGTTTCTCCAACTTTTGACCAGCTATTAAATTATTTGCAATACCATACTTTGCCGTGTCTAAGATGCATCTTTGCATAAGATGCAGCATTAATTCCATGTTTGAATTCTGAAAAAATAGTTTTTACCATGTCCTATCGTGTGTGAGACGCACCCCTTTTTCTCAGTTATTGTAAAGCATGTATCTTTCAGTGAAAAAATAAACTCAAGAATACTATAGACACTAATTCTGTGGAGGAAAATTTGTTCAAACTGCAATGTTTCAAATATTGCATTAGGTTTAACTAATAAGTTTAAAATCATCTAGCAGGAAGCTTAACATCACAAAATTATATATCATCATTAAATTTTAGAGGTTTTAAAATCCATAAAATTATTGTTCGCCATCCAACGATTATAGGGATCTGCCCTCCAATCAAGTGAATGTAGGGTACAACCCTTCCATTTGGGAGTGAAAAGCTTTTGTCAGATAATTTTCTATTGCAGTTGGAGAATTTCAAAGTTTTTACTAAATTTTGGTAAAATTGGGATTATTAAAATTAAAAGAAGATATGCTTCAAATATAAAAATATTGTGTCTATGAAATCACACTTTGCCTTCAAAAGGAAATGATGATGTATATATCTCAACAAACCTTGGCACCTCACTATCCAAAAATGCTTCAAAAAACTCTTTCTGCCCTGATGCTGGAATTTTGTCTAGGTCTTTTGGAGTGAAACAATTAAACTCAATCATTGCTTGCATGGAGGCAACTGCTTTCTCTGGTAAATCTAAAAAAATACATGACATAATTCTGAGGATAAATTAAGAAAATGACAATTAAGAAAATGACAAAATCAAACTAATAAAATTTGGAAAAGTCTGGTGAAAATTTTTGTTTGAACTGAAAACTGCGTATGATGGCTATTGACAAAGATGTTTCTAAAAAGGTGTTTCTATTTCTATTCTAGATAAATATTTTACAAAATTAATTGACTCAGGATGATTCTTTTTTTTTAAATAAGAATAAAGAAAAAAAGAGGTTCTTTTGGGACATCAGAGAAAAAGTTCATGCGGTAACACAAGAAACATATCCTTGCATAAGGTTAAAGTGACTGAGCAAAAATATATGGCCAAGCAAAATTAGAACATGACTATGACCCAAAGCATTTCCATACAAAGCCAATATGATGCATTTAAAAAGTCTTACCTGACTGATGCAAAAACTGACAATACTGTATAAAGATGCACATCATGTTAGATACATGATCATCCTCGCATTTGTGTGTCCTAATTGTACCATCTGCAATTGCTTGCATTGTTTTGAAGCACTTATGATAAGCTGATATCACAGCTGTTGTTGAAAAATTTGACAAATCAGACTGCAGAAACATAAGGTATCTTCCCCAAAGAATACCTTTGTTAGGATTTTTGAATGTAAAATTTGTCCATTTGTTATTAACTTGAGTGAAGTCCAAGATTTCTCTGCAGCATTCCATGTATTCTATTATTAGCAACAATGAGTCAGGATTGGATGAAAGTGCTCTGTCCAAGATTTTTAGCTTTTTTTCTACAATGGCTCTATAACTTCTATTTTTGGTGGTTTGAGCATTAAAAGTTGAAGATATCTCCAGCTCATTTTTATTTTGAAAAGCCTCATCTTGTAGTACTACCAGTTGTAACCATAAATCAACATCTTTTGGATTGTTCCTGAGACTTCGGTTTAAATATTCTGTCTTCTGGCTGAATGTATGTGCTTCACATTCTTGGTTGTGTTTTAAACTACTGGGAGATTGCTTTGCATCTTCTAAAGTGCTTTGGTTATTCTCCTCATTATTGTGAATGGTTATTTGCTGCTCATTTTCAATGTCAATATTTGCAGTTATACTTTCTTGCTTCAATTTAGTGAAGTATCTCTTTTTTACAGAACCATCTTTTAGTCTTTTCTTGGTACTTCTTTGATCAGTCCATTCAAAATATTGATCTTTTCTCAACCCAAGACAAACTATTTCACTTTTTCTTTTATAATTAGCAATGTCAAGTCTATAAAATGTGTCAAATTGAAGATTTTCTTTGCATTCTCTTTTATCAAATCTAAATGCTTCTTCAATTTTGAGCGCTGTCTCTTCTAGCCAAATTGTATCAGGTTTATTTTTATCATAACTGATTTTCTTATCAACTTTATGATGGTGTTTCTTCTTCTTTTTCTTTTTCTTCTCTTTCTTTTTCTTCTTCTTGTTTCTTCTATTTTTACTGTCTGTGTCTGAAGATGACAATTTCCGCTTTTTATTCTCTAAATGATCTACCTCCTCCTCTGAATTATCATCTAAGCAATCACCCAAAGCAGGAACAGAAGGACAACTTTCATGAGTATCTAACGCTTTACCGTCACTTCCTTGGCAAGAATTACTTACATTTACATCTCTAAAGCTGCTGAATCCTGACAATTTTTTGGATACTTTTTCAGTTTCCCCTAAAAGACAATGAAGATTATTGGCTAACAATTCATGGGTGAAACAACATTTTGCTACAAAGGTGCCAGCCCACTGAGGACCAAGTTTTAAGGATGACAAAATAAACTGTTTCAGAAACTAATCCCCCCCCCCCCCAGTTCTCAACAGATCAATTTTGTATTTCGTCTAAATCGGATGAGAAAATGTTGGGAGAGGGGTAATATTTTGGCAACATAATTTTTGTGATGTAATCCTATGATTTTCAAACTGCCTTTGCATAGCTAAAAGTTACATGGATTTTACACTGGTTTGATGTGCCTCAATTAGGACTAGGTTTGTTAAGTCTTAGAGAGGAAACGTTCATTGGCAAAGCTTTAGGGATCATACATCAAGTTTTCTAATGTTTACTAAATTATTTCTACTATTCGAGGGGCTTAACACTTCCCCACAACACGTCTTTCAGAAGCTATTTTACAGCAAAATCAATAGCAAAACAAGCCAATGTAAGGCATTCATTTTGAATAAGAATTAACTTACAAACAAACCACATAGTAAATGGTTTGGGATAAATACCTAGTGTACATTCTGTATCTTGCTTCTGATCTAATAACACAGAAGGGAATAGGAAAGACGGGTTTTCAGGAGTCTCAGCTTCCAGTCTACTACCTTCTCCCGCCATGTCTGCTACCTCGTTCGAAACCGGGACATTTGCAATAGAGGCTGGCTGGTAAACATTTTACAACGATTGCCGCTTGCCGGGGGTATTCCCATACCCCAATAAGACCTGACAGGGGGTTTAGTCGATTTGAGGGTCTTACCAAATGGCTACCAATTGGCCCGGTTTCGATAAACAAGATCTTATCTTCCCCGAATCGACAACAGTCAATGGAAAAGAAATTTGTCAAAGTAAGAGTAGGACCAGACGAGCGCAAAGAAATGGATGCTACCAAGGGCATAATTTTGGTTCTTATGCTACCACTTTAGGGTTATTGTCAAAAAAGACAACCAATTGAGAGTAAGTTTTCAGCACTTGAGCTTTGGCCCTCTTTGACCCTGATTGGAACCCCCTCCTGTCAGTCCTTAATGGGAGGCCCCCACGGGGGCCACTTGCCACCATTGCTTTTGCCATGAGCTGGAAACGAAATTTCTCGGCATGTAAACCCCCTTATAAAACACCCTATCCAGGAAGTGGGCTTTTTGGTCGGTTTTTTTTTGGCAAACTGTTTCCCGCCCACAAGATATCAGATGCTGTCTCAAGACGCTAAATCCAAATAGGCTCTTTCTTCACTGACGGAGGGAAAGGGGAAGGAAGCCGAGTCTTTCAACCCCAGACGGTGCTGTTGACCAGACGGTGGTGACGGTACATTACACGGATAGAAGGGAGAGGCAGATCCATGCCGGAAAAAGGTAAGCGGGTAAAGGATAGTGAGACCGGAAAAACACTCTTCCTTATGAAGCCAGAGATAACCTAATAAACATGCCAAATTTCAGGCGAATATAAACACTCATACCCATTGAGAGCCGGGACCAGCCTGGGGCCTGGGTCAAGCGGGTACATGAGCATATAACAAGCCAGAATTGCTACGAATAACAACAATCACGTCACGGAAAGTCAGGAATAACCCACTGATCTCTAAAAAAGACCAGTGGAATAACCCTGGTCCGAGTGGGCTCTTGATAAATAAGCACGAGGGTTGCCTAAAATCAAGATTATGACATAACATGAATTTAACAATAAAAAAAGAGTAGCTACTTTGAGCATCAACTATGCTTTGATCGGGATTAATAATTTTTGTGGGGTGACTCGCTCAATGCTGTAGACTTTTCTGAGTAATTAAGAAGACGTTGATGGATTTCGCATAGGTTCCTTACGTTGCAAGCTAAACAATCCCTTGAAGTACTGTTTTTTCGCAAGTAACTATATTATGTTGTGAAAAACATAGGAAAGCTGCAAAGGCTGCTGACATCATTTTCATAAAATACCACGCCCATTATTAATTGAATGGTTGTGAGAATTTGGATTGTGGCCGCGAATAAATTGAACATATAGATATAAGCATGTATATGTCATTCATATATTGTATGTACAAAATCTTTGTGTGTATATAATGGTAGCTCATCAGCTTTATAATAGTGCGTTTTGAAATGATGTTGAACGTGTTTGTCTATCTGAAGTGTCAATATATAAAAAAATATGAATAAAGGTTATGGAGAAAGGTGCGTTTGTGTATGTAAATGCGTGTTTGGTTCTCTTAACATAGAAGTAGGGCTCTTTTCTTGGGGGATTTTCTGTATTGTTTGGTCAAACCTTCGGTGTGGGTTATTAGATCTCCAATGTTTTTATGCTTTTTGATGCTAGTTTCGGAGGCTGTTTCCATACTTGCTTTAGCTTTTTATCTTTTAAAGTTATGTTTCAGTGGTCTTTTAGAATTTTGAATATATTTATAGTTCTATTGTCGTTTGGAATGACGAAAGGGAGGGTTGAGTTCCCCGATATGGTGTGTAAATTACTTGGGAGTTACCTGAGGCCCTGTAAGGGGTATTTTGAATATGAAATAATTGAGGTTCTTGGAAAGAAAATATAAACATTCAGATTTTTCAGCTTTGAAAATGAAATAATGCTGATTTCAAATTATCAAAATACCAAAATATGAAATATCAAATATCAAAATAGCGAGAAAACTTAGTGTTTTATTAAATCCTATGTGAAGATTATTCCTTTGATCAAAGAAGCCAGTAAAAACAGTGAGTATTGAGCTGTTCAGTTATTTGTCGAACTCAACACTTCGACAAAATGACGAGGAAATTCAAAGGCAATATTTTCTTTTCCCCAATATTTTAAAGCTTTCCTTCTCCACCATGTCTCGCAATTTTATCTAATTTAAAGTTGACACGAAATAGGAATGATAGGAATGATCTTGCAAAGTTTTAGAATAAAATTTTTAGTGCAGTGGGTAGAACTAAATTTTTTTATATAAAATCATGTCCCAAAAAAAGACAGAGATGAGAAACAAATGAAACTTTGGTTATAAATATATCAAGAACAGAAGGACATCAACAGAAAAAGAACTTCGGTAACACATAAAAGATTAAGCAGCTTTGTAGAGTTGAGATATGATTGTGTAAAATCTAATTGCAAAAGTTTTCGTCAATAGCGTGCTACTAAGGAAAATTATTTTAGAAAAAAGTTTTCAAACTTGTCTGGTCATTAACGATTTTTGATGGAATTCATCATTACTTTTAGAATTTCAAAGTAGGCACTTCGATAGTGTTCTATTGACTGGGAAGGACCGAGAATCATACTATATCCAAATCTCCTTCTACCACGGAATATTCATTTACAATTTTTAACTGTTGCCTTTTTTTGGAAGAACAGACTCGTCATAAATAAAATCACATTTGAAGCTTTCTTTTAGATACTTCCAGAGAGCAAATCTGCTGATTCTTCTTTTTCATGGTTTCTTCCTAGCATTTTCCTTTCCTTCAACGCCAATTACTTTTTCTTCTTGTAACGTATTTGAGAGTTTGTCCGTTAAAAAGTTACCCTGGGTACCAGAGCCGCAAAAATTAAAATTAAAAAATTTATGAGCCAGATTTAGACCATCTGTCATTTGGCTTTGGCGCCAACTTATTCTCGATCGGGTTCTTCTTCCATCTTCTTCAACCATGCAGAATGCACACATTCCACGGATCGTATAATGGTGGTTTATAGTAAGTGGCCTTTGAAAAGCTGTTACTCGCACAGTGCAAGATCGGTTTCTTCGATCAAATTCCCATGTTCTAGTTCCTCTTTGTTTTCAAACTATTAGAATGGTAAAGACGTAGTAAAGTATATTTATTTCTATTTTTCCTAGAAAAGTTTATTTGGCGCAGAATGAAAGCGGAGGCCTTGCCCCCAGCTTTGCCGACCCATACCTATTGTCAAAAGATGGTCCGTAAGATTCTTTCAGAAAACGAGGAGGCAGCTGAATATATTTTTAGGAAGGGTATAGTAGGAATTTCTCCGAGAATTGCTTGAAAGTGACTTTGTTAGTTGTTTGAGTCAAAGGAAAAGTTGGCGTTTGCGTAAAAGTAATATATCTTTATGCAAATACTCTTTCTTTGGTGGTAATTTGGCTCTACAAAAGACGGGAGGAAGATAGAAATTCTAAGTAGAAGGAAATTATATTTATTCAAAATATTTCCTGAGGGTGCCAAGAAAAAATTAAAAGCTGTTTCAAAATGATCAAACAGGTTATCATGACGTTGGCTAACATGGGATATAAAGAAGTTTTCTAAGCCACAGAAGGCGTGTCTTGTATGTGCTTTAGACCTCGACTATTAATAGATAGAGTGAGTAGCAAGTAGTTGTTGTCAAAGAATTGATAAATCCAATTTCTTAATCGGAATCAGGATGGACTTTTTGATAATTTTGAAATATTTGGTTTGTTAATTTTGATATTCTAAATAATAGCAAGATTTCGTTATGAAATATGAAATAATATCAACCCCCCTTAAAGGGTCACTTACCTGGTTGTATATCAATACTCAATGGGATTTCTGTAATCAGTTACTTTTTCTCTTTGGTAAAAAATTTTAAAAACAGCAGAAAAATCTTGCTCCGACAAAATTACAAATTTTCTTAGAATATGTTCTGACGGGTGGGCTAAGCAGCTCCGACGGGGAACTGTAGCCCCTTGCCTCCTCTGGCGCCATCACTGCTGTCTGCAAGCTTAGCGAAGCGAGGGGTAGTTTCAAAGGTCGAGGACCGGTCCGAGGTAGCATGGTTACACCCGCTGACACGTATAAGATGATGACTAAGGTAAACTCCTAGAAGCAGAGAGCTCTTGGTTGTTCTGTAAAAGTCACAATGACTTTGGGCTGCTAATTTGACGATTCCAAGAAAAAAAAACAAATCGTTCTATGACCTAAGGGCGGGACACCACATCACTGGAGCATCCATTAACTCCAGGCTGCTGACCCCTGACCACTAAAGCAGGTCACCAGAAACGCTTTCGTCCGAGGCAGAATCATGGCCCATGATCAGAATGTCTTTCAAGAAACAATTGGTTATAAAAAATTATAAATAACGAGCAAACATCAAAATGCCCATTGTCGTGGGAGGAAATTAAAAACGCTCTCGTCAAAGCTGGTTCTGGTCCTAAAAACACGGGCAAAAACACTCGCACAAGATGCAAACAATAACTTATAACTTAACGTCAAATCTCAGCAACATGAAAACTTTTAATTAAAAAAATAGTTTAATCTTTATACTTTGTTCTGGGAGTACTGATTTATCCCAGGCTGTCGTCTTCCAAGTGGCCGTTCAAAATTTACGTGTCCAAAATTTCCAACATTTTCAACTCCCACTTCTCTTCTAAATCATAAAAACATTCGAGACACAATCTGTATGGATATAGCAAAACAGCCTCATGACCTGCTCCCCTCGCCCTCACTTCCTTTTCCACCACATTCTCTTTCTTCTGCAGGCATACTTCGGTGATTGAATCCCAGCAAGAAACTTCTGACAACGAGCCTTCTTCTCCTCCTCTTACTAATTATCTACAACTAATCAAACGTTCTACGCTAGAAAAATTAATGCAATGGAAACATAAGCCTTCTTGAAAACTGATGACTCTGACCCTGAATATTTTTATCATAAACAATTTATGTCATTAGCAAATGGATATTACTGTTTACTGGTCTATGATAGAGGGCTCGATGCCGCATAGACAGATTTATGTGGCCTGGTGATCGCATTCAGGGTGAAACTCAGTGTAGCAACCACAAATATAAATTATAAGTAGACTACAATATTCAGTGATGGATAATAACTAAGACCCTGTTTACACGAGAGACAATAGAACGGTTCCAAAACTAGCCCAGATAGGCGTTGCGTTTACACGAGAACTGTTGGAACCGTTCAATTTGGGACTTTCCACCCGTTCTCTTTTGGCTCCGCTGCATTTGGAACCGTTCCGTTTGGTTCCTGTGTAAACGGGCAGAACCGCTTGGAACCGAGCCAAATGAGAACGCTTAGGAAAAGAGGCTTTCATGCACTGGTATACAGACCTTAAAAAATGATCTCTTTGTTTATTCAGTTTAAATTCTAGTTTAGACCAAAACATTTGTAGGTTTATTGTTTTTAGTTTCTGTTTCTGCGTGTTCTTGTCGAGAATAGACATGAATCATGCGATGATCTGATTTACTGATTTTGCCGCCAAAAACTGCGCACGTTACTCCTCTCTTGTAACAATTCTGGGACCCTGGAGAGAAGCCGTTTGGAATCGTCCCAAGGTTTCTTGTAAACGCAAGCATAAAATATTCTGAACCGTTCCATTTGGAACCATTTCATTTCCTCTCGTGTAAACAAGGTCTAAGCTAAACTAAAGCTAAACTTGTATGGTGTAGCGACAATGTTTTGATTAGGTTTGAACGTTCGAAACTTCAAAAGTTTGATGCAGAATGAAACCATTACAGCGTGGGAAAAGAAGAGCATAGGAAGTGATTTTTGGCGTTACGTAGAATTTATATGCTAAACATGAATAGAATAATTTGAACCAGACTCTACAGATAGATCTCTTTTCTAAACAGTCCTAGCGTGAGTAAAGCAAGTTTTCTTGCTATAATTGACAATTTCTAGGAAATCACGTTTTTTACTCTAAGATTGGTTTCATATAGAATGAACACGTCTATTTATCGTGCTGTTTCATTAAATCAATATACTGCTTGTTTTAGTGTAAGTTTGCTTGGAAACTAATTTAGATTGCGACGTAGTAGACAACTGGCAGGTAAGAAATTTGGTGGGTGACGTGGAACATAGTTTCTAAGAACAGTTTGCATATTTACAAGCACCGGTAATATGACATTGTTCAGACTGATTTTTTTGTGACACAAATCATGAATAAATTTACAAATGAAAAATTGCGTGAGCTAGTAGATCACGCCATAGTCCAAGCTATTTTCTTGTTTATAGAGTTTAAGAAAAAGCTCAAACTAAAATATTTTGAAATCACGAGATACCAGTCCGTTACTAAATAAACAAGTGATGATGTGAGGCTTCTGTTTGAGGAGACTGGACCTATCATAGTATGCATAAGCAACAGCAGAATTAACCAGTATCTAAAAACTTGCATCATGCATCAGTTATTGCATTACACTGGCAATGATGCCTAGTTCAACGATAAATGCTTGAAAGAAATCAAAGGCAGTAAACTGTCGAGAATTTGTAAACAAGGCCTAGCATTGCATGCCACGATAGATAGTGAATGGTTCTGGATGGATAGAGGTCGCTCAATTATTTGCTGGTAAATCATCCAGTAACAGGTGGCTGCTTGACTTTTGCACTCAACAATTACGATTTTGGAATGCTTGTTGGGTGTAAAGATGCTTTTCAAGCAACATTAGCCAAACACTGGGACTAAAACGAAAGAGTATCTACAAGAATTGTGTCGGGCCTTCTAAGGGCCCATGTAAAATTTGTTGCAATGACTCGGAATGTCAGAGGAATCAACGAAAAGTAAGTTATTTTTATAACTTTGAAGCAACTCAACAACCTGTCTCGCAGACCTTTCTGTGCTTGTGTCTGTATTGCGTCTGCGGATCGGAAATGTCTTCAAGCAACGTCTTAGTAACTGTGAGCATTTTCTAGCTCCATCGCGACCCTTTGCACAAAATAATTCGGAACAGCAAAATATTTATTAAGAAAAACTTTGCAAAGCACTGTTAATTCATGCATCTACATTTTCGTCTTATTTTCACATTTGTTAAAACCAAAAGAAGAATTATCAGTCGGCACAAAAAAATATTCAAATAGCAGCATCTTTTTCTGCACAGACTTGTTTCTTAGAGTGCATAATCAACATCATAACTTCAAAAAACTTTCCCACGTCTTTTGATCAAAGAAATGAATCATTAGTCTCTTGAAAAGGCAACTGCAATGGCACTATGTTGGAAAAAAGCTTTCCTTCACGTAAAAAGCATTCTCAATTTCTTTTATATCGGCTCAGCTCGTTGCAACAATCATTTAGTCTGGATACATATTTTCGACTCTTTTAAGAAGCGAACACCCAAACAATTTCTGAATATCTTATTTGAAAAATTAAGAACAGAATCGAGATTTCACTCTTTGAAGGAGAATAAGTTTATAAAATCTTCAGGCTCAGAATCATTCAAATTTTATGAATGTTATAAGAAAATTGCTCAGCCTCAGCTCGCATATTTGTGTCTCCTTTTTCAGCAGTTGCCTTTTTTGTGATGTTCAAAATAGGAATTCTCGGGACCGACATATCTCGTTTTTCAAAATACGCTTAAGAGCAGACGATGCTGCCCTAAAGCCATATCAGATTCGAAAAAAAGAATACTTTAAGCAGATATTCAGGCTCAAAACGAAAATTTACTAAGAATATCGAGGCTGGAAAAAAAATCAAATATTCTTATAAAAAAGTGAGTATCGCATAAATCAAGATTAATTTAGATTACGCGAATTTAGCCATATACATGTTAAGCTTGAGACCTACTGTAGCATCGAAATGGAAAGCAACAAGACATTTATGCTTGATAGAAAGCAGGTCGAGTTGCTACCTTGCAAATTTGGCCTCTAACTAAGAAACAGTTTCTTTGCAAGTGTAACAAGAAACAAGAGTTTGAGGTGAAAAGATAAATGTGCTCTCCAATTAACGCCAAAAGACTTGCAGGAAAGGTCTTTAAATTCTAAGTCAAAAAACCACTCTTAAGAGTAATAAGTTAGAAGACAGGCATGATGGGAAACAAATATTTTTGCAATTTACTTTGTTAGATATCTGGCCAGACATTTTAATATTCGTCTGAAGTAAATAAGAAAAAAACAGAAGCTTTCTATGTCAGTACACTTTCTAAGTCACTTTCTAAGGTAAAAGCTAAGTTAATTTTTTACTACTTTTCTGTTCATATATAAATAACGATCAAGCCTCAAACCTGGTTTCTATTGCACTTTGGGGGGGGGGCAAGAAATAGTGGTGCTAAGATCGTATGAGACAAACAAACCCTGGCGGCATCTAATACCCTAAGCCGTGTGTTCATTGATGCAATTAATTAAAAGCAAATCAATTAAGTTTGAATTGTGACATCACACTAGCCATAAATTCTGACGCTTTGGTGGATTTTTTATAGCTATTCTATATTTGACAGCATCAAACCAAACAAATTTTAAATTGTAATGACTAGGCACCAGATCAGTTAATAAATGATAAGTGAACACAACGATGAAAAAACATTCTTAGCATGAAAAGTTAGTGTTGTTTAAAAATGTTAAAATTCTGCAGGTCCTAACGAGCTCATTGATTTTGTTGGAACCAGTGAAGCAAAGCGGTGCAAGAATGCAGAACCGGTTCCAGATACCATTGCTGTATAAGACCAGTTAATTCATCATTTAAATTGTTAAGGTTCCAAAAGATTGGACTGATTTCGAGCTTATGATACAAGGTCACGTTAGAAAAAATCCCCCAAAATGTCACCAATGGCTTTACCTAGTACTTTGACGATTGGGCACACAAGTTGATACCATATGAACGAAAACAACACCTCTAACTCAAAGCCATGATGGCTCCTAAACCGGGTTATGTTAGGGTACGCAATAACTCTGTTACAAAATATCTAACACTGTAAATAGGACTTTTCCGGAAACAGACCCTTTTGCCTCTTTGAAAACATTTTTCACAAATTAGTTCCAAGTTCTAACTCTACTTTTTAACATGGCGATACTCTTTTTAACCAAGTTTATTCGCCCTCAATGTCTGTAAAACAGCCTAAAACATTACAAAAATATTTTTTTTACTATAATATAGAAAAGTGCCAATTCAATGTGATACATAAACCTTGATCTAAAAACACTAATTGTAGACATTTAATTTAAACCCTTCCTACTTAATTAAATTCCTGTTCCCTTTATTTGCAGTTCCATTACCTGCAATTGTCTTCATATCAGTTCTTCTGGGATGTATAGTCATTCTTTGTATTATATACCAATTACTAAAACGAGGCAAGTGTTGTCAGGTGCATGGAGCAGAAGTTGGAGACGAGGAGGAGCAGGAAGAACTTATAACGAACGAAGAAGGCGGGAAGGAATCAATAAAAAAGAATACAAAAGACACTGCCTCAGAGCAAGACTCCGGTCTTCCAAATGTGGGTGCCGTGATAGCAAGCTCCTCTGCTCTCGGCGCTGCCTTTGTAGGAGTGACTGTAGAACCAGCAGCTGGTCCAAGTGGGGAAACCCAATCGCCAGGACTAGCAGCTGCAAGCTCTACCTTAATAGATGCCACAGGTAACACAAGCATAGACTTAACAGTGTCGGATGGATCCTTTCCTTTGGTTCACTTATTACCGGTTGAAGATGAACCTGTATCAAATTGTGGGAAGGTTCTTTTAGAGACAACATTTTCACCAGTAGCTAATAAAATGATAATTTCAGTCGTCAGGGCTGCAGACGTACCAGGAGTTGATCGTGGAGGTACAGCTATGGTTGAAGTTCATATAGCAATTTTGCCAAATAAAAGATGGAAATTCCGGACGAGGGCCAGACCGTCGAATAGCCCTGTTTTTAATGAACGATATACATTATATCCAGTAACTTTGAAACTTTTAGAAGACATGAGCATACGCGTGAGGCTTTATGGGAGAAAAAAGCTGGGGAAAAAAGTACTTGGAGAGCTAGAGGTACCAATGACAGACATTGATTTACACGGTGATTTGTGTGATGAGCCAATGTGGAAAACACTGTTGCCTTTTGGGATGGTGGTAAGTTCACTTGAGATACTGCTAATTTAGATTTTCAATCAAAAAAACTTTTCGAACCTCTTTTCCGAATATCTGCAATAAATATGCATCTTTCACCAGAGCGTTAGCGACTGTGCTAGACAAAGCGCCCTTGCTGTGAAGAGGAGGCGGAGAATAGCTTGCCTGAAATTGAATCTCTTCTTTGCATTGATAGAGCTATTTTTATAGAGTTCTTAAGTGTTGACATCACAAAAATCTTTCGCAAAATCAGTTTAAGGTATCACGAATTGGCAGAGATATGACCAGATGAGCACAGGCTCTTGCGTCAACAAACCTCTGTAATTTGGTCTCTGTTCATAACTTTATGAACTGAGCCAAAATAACAGTAATCCGTTAGCAAGCTTAAAATCTTCTTTCGGTCATAGCTCACCCGATTTTTGATCAATTTAACTGATTTTGCATATATGGGGGTATTCCAAATTGTTTTTTTCAGAAATACTTTTTTGCCTGTAAAGTAAGATTTAATTGTTAAAATTGTTTGTACTCCTCTTCACATTTAACTTGCTGGTAAGCTGCAATAGCTGGAAAATCCCAGATAACTTTGTGTTTAATATAGGCGTTTGATTTTGATAATGTTTTCAAACTAGAAAACAATGTATCACGAGTGAAACGACGTGGTACTCTGATAACCTGACCAAGAGAGTTACAAAATGTGGACTGGGATGGGGGAAGAGCGCAAATTAAGCCTAGAGAGTTTTGTTTCACAAACCATTCCATGAATTTTTTAATTTCTAAAAATTTGATCAGGGTTTGCAAAAAGACATCGTTTGACCGACCCAAACTGATAGTCCCTTTTGGTGGAGCGTTTAACAATCAACCCTCACAAAAAGCAACTAAAATCGTTGTTTCATTGTTAGGATGACGGAACAGCATTTGTTCGAAGGTCCATTTGCTTTCAAAACTTTGTTTCATATGCACATGCGCAGTCAAAATCGATGACGTCATTTTCACATCGCATAATTCATTCGTTAGAAACATCATTTAGAGAAGACTCCCCTACGAAGCCCGCTACGCGGGCTTGCCAGTGACCCTACGGTAGAGTACATAGATTAGCCTCGGAAAAGACAAGAATTTTCTTAATACCCCCTATGAATGATAGTAAAATTAGCCTCGGCAAAGACAAGAATTCTGTCGAAGCCCCCTATGAGTTTGCAGATTAGCCTCGGAAAAGACAAGAGGTGTATCAACCTCGATTTGAAAAAAATTGGCTCCGCATAGGTCACGTGATAAAAAAATTACTCGCACTCCTGTGACTATCGCTAGTCAGGGGGTCGCCTGAAATAGAGAAGGGGTAGAGGCTCCCCCCTTCCTAGCGATAGTCACAGGAGTGCGAGTAATTTTTTTATCACGTGACCTATGCGGTGCCAATTTTTTTCAAATCGAGGTTGATACACCTCTTGTCTTTTCCGAGGCTAATCTGCAAACTCATAGGGGGCTTCGACAGAATTCTTGTCTTTGCCGAGGCTAATTTTACTATCATTCATAGGGGGTATTAAGAAAATTCTTGTCTTTTCCGAGGCTAATTTAAGAAAACTGAGAATGAAACTCTGGTCGTAGATGCAATAGATGTAGAATAATTGTCTTCATTAACTAAATGCTATGAAGTACTATGAGGAGGAGATGTTCATATGACATGCCTTTTCATTGGTTCGAAAACATGGGCAAAACAATAGCCTTAAACAATGGGAATCTATACTCATCTTAAACAATGGGAATCTATACTGATCATTCATCATTACTGTAACTTCACGACATGTGGTCTGACAAGAGCTCTGAGAATTTTACTATACTTATTTAATGTGTTATTGAATTTATTAAATGCTTGTAGAGGTGCGTTGTCCAGTTTAGCCGCGGAAAGGTTAACAAATGAAATATTAAATTTCACTGTTAAAAAATCAAAAAGTATAACTGTGAAAAAATCTAAAACCATCAAATTATTTCTACTTGTATTAGGAAGTTTTTCACCAATAATGGTAAGGGTGTTTGAAATATTTTAGGGGCAAATTTCTTCAGCGGCCAAATAGTCAACGCATGTTTACAAATGAAAATGCAATCGAATTCTGATATATCTTGTTGGCTATTCCTAGGCTAAACTGGCTGCACTGCGGGAAACAGGAGAAGACGAAGAATTTGAGATGATGATGAGTGAAGATGAATCATAAAGAACTTGTGTACTATGTAGTTGAAGATTTTGTTTGTTAGATAAAACAAAGGCAGCTCGGGAGGCAAAACTCATCAAACACAGTCAACGATCAGTGTGAACCTGTCAATTCCTGGGTACTAATTTGCTTAGAGAATATACTTGACTAAGAACACCTTATGCTAATAACGAAGGAAGAGAACCTTTTTATAGGGGTGTTGTTTATAGTTACTGTTTTGATTGTCTTACTGTATATCCTCACCGACACAGTATAAACGAATTAAGAATCAATGATTATTGGGAATCTTTTAAAGATTCTCTCAGCGCCAACTGATAGGCACCAAGTTGCAGAGAGCTAATAAAAATCAAAGAGATTGAAGAACAGTTCAACAAACCAAATCCGAATTCAAACTGATACATCTCACAATTCTTACCCAACCAGATTTGGTGAGAACTTTCTTCATAGAGAAGAGTATTGGGGTCCCCTTGAACTTTCCACCTTCCCAACCCCAGTCTAGTATCAATTCAAAACTGAAGGTATTAAGGTTTTGTCAGTGCCTTTCATGTAAATGGAACCGCGGACAAATGTATTACGGCACTACATTTAGTTTGGTTGAATCGAAAGGAAAGGAAAAGAAAGAAAACCTTTTAGTCAGCACGTCTATATCTAACAAAACAATGTTAAACAGTTCCCATTTATACCTTGCATGTTCTTCTTCTAAAGTAAGACATGCTTCTAAAGTAATTTTGAATCATCCTATTAACTCATTATATTGAATCAACATATTGAGATATTCCTCTTTGGGCGCATTGAGAATGCAAAGACAATCGTTGACAACATTTTTCATTATATTATCAACAACTTGTCAAACCTATGAAAATACCAAAAAATAAAAATCAATTTATACAACTTATTTCTTAGAAATGTATTTATAAATATATGTTTGATATTAGTTTTTATTGTTAATTTTTTTATGTAAATAAAGGATTATATCACATACGTTTAGTCTTTAATTGTTTGATACACTCTTTGTTATAACAACAACATACAATACAAGGGCAATTTTATGGAATTAAAATTGAGTCGATGGTACCCATTTTATCGCTAACAGGTAATTTTGTCCCATCACATTTAGCTTTTTCTGTACCAATACCCCATTAAAACAATACATTGAACAACTTCAAACAAGTGTCAGATTTTCAAACAGCTTCATCATCACCAACAACCTTATTTACAGGCAACTGAAATATAATCAAGTGGCTTAAGTCACCTGTTAGTCTATATTAGCCAATCAATAAGCGTATGAGTCGTATAACGCTCACTGATAGGCTAATCGTTGATTGACAGGTGGCTTAATCTACACTTGTATTATTACATGCTGAGCAACAGCATAAATTACCGAGAAACCAATTTTCGATAGGAGGTTTGAATTTATCATATTTGTGGATTATTTGTGGAATTCAGTCAGAATTGATAAATTAGGCTCGCTTGGTAGAGCCAGACAAAAATGAATTATAGTGGATCTCAAAATGTTTAATAGCCTTGAACATGTCAAATTTCAGTGAAATTCAATATCATGGCAAACTAAAACAAATTACATCGAAACGTTAATGGCATATAACAAAACCGAAACCTCCAAACAACGTACAGAAAGTTAAATCAAATAATTTCTTACTTGCTGTGGAAGCTTAATAGAAACAGTCTCTAGGCAACTGGTACCTCGTTGTTTCGCTGTACCGCAAAGGAAAGCAGATGGCTTAAACATAGAGGGTTGAGCTACATAAAGTCCGTCCAATGCAGAAAAATAAAGATCGCATTGAGACTTTGTATTTCATCCAAACATAGGTAAAAGTAACGGTTTTCCAACCACGACAGTTTGATTTCACTCTCTTCTTACTATATGTAGAAAGTTAGGTTGGAAGTCATATTCGAAGCGTATTAAGTCATAGTCAATAGAAGGAAGGACATAATAGTTCCAGACGAAAAAACTTAAATATACTGTTTTTGGCGGCTTTGGAGTTGTTTTATTCAAGTAAGCAAATCACTAAAAGAGTGAAATTCTAAGCCTACCAAGTCCAAGCAATTGAACAACAAGCAAAAACACCAATGTCTGATGGCAGTCTAGCAAACGTTTTCTGCAAGATCAATAAAACGCAGAAAAGAAAGCTCAGCTTAGATTGCTTGTGGGTTTTCGATGTATCAACGCAAAAAGCAATTGCACGCAACTTTTGTAAGCCTAAACATACAGTGACATTACTTTCAGGAACCTCCAATCAGGCCACAATCGTCAGCATCGAAGGGTTCATCGATTGTTAAAGGAGATCCACCAGAGCTGCAAATATCATTGCATTACAAGTCAATGACAGGAAGGCTAGAAGTTGGAGTATTGAAAGGGAGAAGTTTGACAGGAATTTTATCATCACCAAAACAAGGTAAAATGATAATCCTATGCAGTTATCGTTGATTTTAGCAAAGATTTAAGAGATATTGAACATTCGCACGTCTTCTATACAAAACTGATTATTTCTTATAATTGCATTGACATCGAGAAAGGGTAATCTTTATAGCGTAATTTGTTAAACTTATCGCTTATCTGTTCATAGTTTAAGCAGGGAAGATAAACATCGTTATTGATTAAATTAGTATATTCAGTATCTTTTGAATTTTTGATTTATATGCGTGTGATTTGTATACGTTTTAAATAAGTTGCAAATTACTATTAATTATTTAGACTATTTATCCATTTTATTTAGACTATTCATCCATTTATTTAGGCATGAGCGTTGCTGCGATTGATTTTGAAAATACTAACTAGAAATAAACGTTTTTACAGCTTGCTATGTCCATCTACTTTTTCTTGGGCCTGAAGACTTTGCAACACAAGGCACAACGAAAAGGAAGAAAGGTCCAGAACCTGAGTTCGAAGAAACCTTTATATTTACGATGGGCCACGACGAGATTCCCGAAGTCGCTCTCACGCTTTCTTTGAAAACAGGTAACACAGTCATAGGCTGGTTTTCTTTGGGACGAAACTACAGTGGGACAAGAGAAGAAAGAACGTGGAAGGCTTTGTATGAGAATAGTGACGTCACACTGAGGCAGTGGCTGAGACTTCTGAGTGCTAGTTAGTTCAGGTTTCGTGTATAACTAGAATTAACTAACACTCGTTTGAGACACCAGCAATCATCATAGGTCCTATGGCACTACAGAAACTATAGTTGATTTGCGAATTCTCTGCAAAACGTATATGCTCTCACAATTGTCAACCATTTGAGACACTAGCCTACTCTTGGATTCTGTCCACATTGCTATATTAAGTGTCCAAAAAAGAAAATGAATTTAGAAAGCACATTATAGCTCATTATGCAAAAAAGCACCTAAAAAGAATTATATATGTATTCGAAACAAAAAACATATCAATTTTGAACATTTCATATTCTTTCAGAACTCTTATAGGATGCGGAAAATAATTTTTGATTAAGAACGGTAGTAAAAATAATCGATGTGGAAAGCAGGCAAAACAATGTGCTAAGACGCACCAATACAGAAAAAGACCAATGAAGCTACATACGAAATGATGTAAGAAAATCTTACCTATAAAGCAAATTTATCTTTTCGCGGGTGCTTGCTGTAAAACCTTGCTTTAAAATTACATAACTGTTTAGCGAACGCAGGACTAGTGCTTTAAAAAACGATATTTAATGTCAATATAAATGTTTTAAGGACGAAAGCACAACTAAATATGGATTACAGTAGATATAAATCGTGGATAAATGTTCTGTTTTGCAGACAAGTAGTTTGTAGGATTGATCACCAGGAATAAGGATATCATTTTGTACAAAATTCTGGAATTTTCAATTTTCTGGCTATTTATAATTTTGATTTTGTGACATTTTATACGCCGTTTAACATCACATGTACACACCTTGTAATATGTTTTTTATACAAAGTAAACAAATAGACTTTATATTCGATTTGTTCAAGCTTCTCTAAACTTTAAGATACACGGCTTTGCTTTGCAGTAAAACTACAATAACATCTAATCAGGATTCGACTGAATTCTCCCCCCCCCCCATCAGCATTCCCTATGCAGTACTGCCTTTGTAAGGTACACGCAGTGCCACGTCCTCTTCAATTACTTCCGCTTTCTAACTGTTTCAACTGATAGCATCATTTCCTTTCCCAAAATTCCCCTTTTCATGTCTTTATAAATACCTTCGTTACATTCCTATTACAATTCAACAAAACTTTTGATTCGTCGATTCTATTTTTCATCTTTCTCTTTCCCACAACTTTCATAGCAATAACGAAATACTCTTCCACGCATTTCTTTCCGAGTTATTCATTATGCGAAATATGCGCGCCCGACTCATGCTTGTTTGACTGTACAACAGAAACGTCATAAGAAGAGGAAGCCCTCAAAACGCAAACATTTGTTTGGTCTCCATCATTCTTAACAGTAAAAATTTAATCTAACTTAGAAGATGCGTTTATTTTTACGGCTGTTTGCTTTGGTACTGAAAATTTGAGAAAATTTGAGTAGAAAATGAGAGTACAAATGAGCAAAAAGTTTGTTACAGCTGGAGCGTCTTACCAAAAAAGGTGGCTTTCTAAATGAAAAGAAATCAATAAAAAGATCATACCTCTCAACTAACTGTTCTGTTTTAGTTTTCTGAACTAACAAACAACGTAAAAAATGAACAATGTACAACAATGTAAAAATGTACGATTAATCACTATTTTTTCTATCAGTGCGCTAAATTAAGGCGCTTACAGATTCTACCAAGACTTCTGATTTACTTCTATTTACTCTTTGCGCTTTTACCCCTACCGCGACTACGACCCCTACCACGCCCACGTCCTCTCCCTTTCGTCCCTTTTTTACCCTTAGTTTCAATTTTTTCGCTCTCTTCAGAGATGGGTGTGACATCACCAACAGCGTCATCATCCAACTTTGGCAGCTTCGTTTTAACAGTTTCAAGTTCGTCATCTTCATTGACTCTCTTAGGTACAACTGTGGTTGTTCCTCCACCACCGTCTAATGTAGAAGATTTTTCTGGCGCGATTACAAGGTCAGCAGAGGTATCATCTGTATGAACCACCTCCTGCTTATTAATGGTAATGTTTAACGATAACTTCTCAGTTTCGCTGTCTTCTTCACCGGGAAGCACCATGTGACCGTCAGGTTTACTAGTTGTCGATTCATTGACACCCGGCGGCGATGGTTCTGTAGAAAGTTCAGGCAAGCACTTGGCCTCATCTTCCTTCGTAACGGTATCTGAGCCCACAGCTTGTTTGGGTTTCTCAGATTTGTCTAGAAGTACTGTACTTGTTTCTAAATCGCTTAATGTAATAGTAGTGGGCTCTGAAGTACTTGAATTTTCGATATCAATAGCCTTGTTTTCACTTGGCGCATTTTGGTCTGTCTGTAGAATGAGATTGAACGAAAGTCGGACTTAATAATAACAAACGGCATAAGAATCTTAAATAAAAAAGTACTCATTAACAACATCAGGCGTCGGAAGTTGTTGGAAAATTTCATCGATATAATTCACGGTTGATTGTTTCGATACCATGTGAAAAGTGGTATGCGGCATAAAATATCCTTCTGGCTGGCTTTCGGGTGCTGCGATTTCATCGCTTAAAAAAGCTTTATCTTTGATTTAAAATGATTTATTTCAATTATAGAACTTTACTTCGTAGGCCAATAACCCGTATTTTGTGGCTGCGAAGTTAGGCCAATACCAGTATTATCAGTAAACGGCGGAGTACGTAAACATACAATTGCAAAACAAAAACAAGAATCTTTCAAGACAAAACTATACAACAGACAAATCACTCCCTGAACAAACTTTTTCAATTATGCTGGCTTAGTTCCATCTTTTACGTAAAAAGCGCAATTATACATACCTTATCTGCAGCCGTTTTATCCTCCTCCATCTCACTGTGTTGAGCTGCTTCAGTGCTTTCCACTTTCTCTGTATTCTCACCAGCATCATCTTCAGTTTTTGCAGATAAATCTTGTTTAGAGCCTTCCTTTTCTTTTTCAACTTTGGCAACACTTTCTTTTTCAACAGAAACCTTTGCAGCAGCCTCTTTTGCTGGCTGTGCCTTCTGCGGCATTGTTGGATTTCTTATCGAAGTATTTACTTTTCTGTTAAGTCTAAATGGTGATCCTCTGCGGACATTGTGCCTGAAAGATTCTGGTGCCATATGGGGCATGGTCTCCATCGGGTACGGCATGTAGCCGTGATAGCCCATTGGGGGGAAATACCCCGGATGTGGTGCGTAGTATCCTGGGGCAAAGGGCATTGGAGGAAACCCCATCCCAGCATAGAAAGGTGCATTCATCATGGAAGCAGCGTAATAGTTTTGATAGGGTGCACTGTTAGAGAAAATGAAATACTTTGTTTATACAAATGGTGATTAATCAATAGAAAAATTAGCAGTTCACGTGCTGTTATGATTAACTGAAAGGATTTATCCCAGGTAACAATCTAGAAACAGGCAATTTTTAGGTGCTAGTATCTAGCATCGCCAATGTAGGCTACCTAGGCCCGATGAGGTCTTTGTAAGGCTACATTATATGATGTAATCCTTGTTGTAATGGATACGCCATCGTAACCATGTACAATCATATCTTACGTTATCCAAAATTACGTCAAACTTGCCAGGCCTCTTGACAGTATCACGTGGCTTTTTGCGACGTGAACAAATTGATGTACATTGCTTTCGCAGTACCAAGTTAAACAAAACCAATATCAAATGGTGCTTTGTTCATTGTACTGCTATGGATTTTGAAGATTAAATTCCGGTGGTTAACTCTCATTTAAAAGATTGCTGAAATTTGCTGTGAGTATTACGTCTTAGGCAACAACATATCCGTATGGATGTATCACGATGTTAACATTGTTTGCCTCCCTGAACCCCTGCAAACGTTGGAAGATCACTTCCTTAAGCATGGAATATCCGGGTTTTACAAAGAGGCTTAAACGTTCTGCCTACACACTAAAGGCCCTTTTTCGTCAAGATTTTTATAAAAGTATAAAAGGTTCGACAATGGTGTTCTGTCTTCCAATATTTCAATTGTTGAGTACCAGACTAAAACAACTCTTAATACAAGTATAGAATAGCCCGATTTCAGTACGAACATTTTATCAAACGGTCAAAGTGAATAAAGTTGTTAAGGAATTCCTAAAACTGTATGTAACAATGTGAAGCTAAACAAACCTCATTGCTGCTGCACTATGCATTGGATACCCATAGTTCTGATAATCACCGGTACTTTCAGGTTGATAATTATGGGTCGTACTGACGTCACTAGAGCCATTCCCCGTCACAGCAGTGTTCTTTGCTCCCTGTAGCTTTTTGCTGAATATCTTTTCAAGGTCGGTAGATCTCCAGTCAAGGTTAAAACCGTACGTGCATTTCAGGCATTGAAATGAAGGAGGCTCGTTTTCGTCTGGCGAAAAAAGTAAAAAAGGGTTTAAGAAACAGAGGAGAGAATAGAACAAATAAAAAAGGCATCATTCGATCACCCATACCCAGTAGCAGCTTCACTACTGTTTATAATAACGCACACAAAGGTCTTGTTTTACCCATATTAGATTTTGTTATTCATGCCACGTGATAAAATAAATTACGGTATATTCATTTGACTCTAGTTTGAATAAGCAGACTTAACCTTAACCTTTGAAAGATGTAAAGTATGATAAATGTTCATAGACAACTAAAACAAGTTTTTCTAAACAACTACCAATCTACACATGAACGCAATAATGATTGTATCAGCGAAAATTTCACGAGAGAAATAATTTCTTTAATCTGAAACATTTAAAACGTCGTTTAAAACGTCTTTATAATTGAGAAATTTAGTTTTGGCAGCTCGCTTATATCCGTGCTGAGGCGAAGGTGAACATGATCAACCAAAATATGAAGACTCCATGCTCAGAAAATTGTTTGAGGGGGAACGGGAAATCTGCCCTGGTCAAGAAAACTAAAATTCTAAAACAGATATATTTGGGTGCAAGGATGACAACATGGTTTACCAGAAATCTGGTAGTAAGTATGATCGGCCAAAACCAACAGACAATCAGAGCAAATATCTGATCACTAGCATAAGACACGTGTTTGAAAAAGTGTACACGCTTTGGATTGTAGCTTATGCTAGGCAAACAGTTGCTAGAAACGAAGAGTAAAGTTGCTGAGAGTACCGCAAAGCATCTTTTACTTCCAATTCATTACTTCTTTATAGGAGGATGCCTTCAAAAAGTACACCTAGGCAATAATTTGGAGGATCAATGCCCCATCCCAGCCCTGCTTTGAAAGGCCTTGTTCGTGACAAAAACAATTCGTGACATTGGATCCTACAAATGAAGATAAAGTCAATCTACAAATTGACATAAGACACAACAAACAGCTTAAAAATCTAAGGGTTTGAAGTCCCTCGCTTGAGCCCCTGTTGAAAAGTCTTAACAGTATATTCTTTCTTCCAAAAAATAACCAGTCATTCGAACACACCAGAGTCTTTGGTAAATGTTATTTTACACTGAAAATACGAGAATCATTTTAAAAAAATTAGAACAAAACATAGAAATGAGCAGATGTTGAGAACAGTCAGTTAGACTATTAGTTTGAAACGAACATGGATTTGCACACCAACTGTGACATAACAACATGAAAACGCACTATTCTAATTACATGACCACGCTGACACGGATAACTGTGCAGGATACGCCATGGCTATTTAATTTCTTTGCAAGGCTGATAAGAAATATGAAGGTACTGTGAAAATGATATGGATGCGCAGAGTTTTTATTTGAAAAAATGACCAACTTAAAAGCAAAATGACCAGCAAACTAAAGGAAATTTCCGTAGACAATACCGACCTTTTGGCATCTTATACGCAAAATTATACTGAAGCAGTTGCTGTAATATGTCGGGAAGCTCATCTTTCCCATCTTCTTCTCCTTCATTTATAATAATATATACTACTTCCTGAGATTCGCAGTATGGACACCTGCCATCCTTAGAAACGGGGTAATCATCTGCAGTGTAGGTTTTCTTTTCCGTTTCTGACTTGGAACCGGTTTTCTCAACTGCGCTTTCCCCACTAGAACTGCTTTGGGGCAACGCTTCACTGACAGCGGGCGTTTCTTTTGGTGTGACAGACACATCATCAACAGCCTTTGATTCTGATTGGCTTGCAGAATTGCTTACAGTTTCAGTCTCCTGCTCAACATTCTTGTCTTCACTAGCATCCTTGCTTAGCAGTTTAGGAACGTGAGCCTTACCTGTAGCGATCATCAGAAATTTTGACGCAGAAATCTGGCTTTTCTTTTTATCAAAATCAACAGGCGCCCAAGGGTTGCTTCCATAGCTGCTCCAAGAAAATGCAAACGCTTGTTTGCTTGCTTTATCAGGCGCGCTATCTGCTTTGTCAGTACCCTGGTTCTCTTTTATTTGATCTCCATCTTCATCTTCTGACTCTTCGGGCCACAATTTAGCAACACCTTGCTTCCAATCTTCCTTGGCTTTTGACAGTGCCAGCATTGTTTTTATCAAAACGTCTTCCTCTTCATCAGCTAAAATGAATTTTCCATACCAATTAATGCATTACGGCAATACTCACATTTCTATCCCTCTGCGCAAACAAAAACAACGTCTGTAGGAAATAACTATGCTAATCATAACAGGACAACTTAGTTAAACAGCTATTATTCAAATAAACGAAGTGTATAATTCTGAACTCTTTCTGCTAGTGCAGTATATTTCAGTTAAAATATCATTAGGCCTAGTTGGCAAGAAGAGCGAGAGATATCAAAACTAATGTACCCTCTCCATTTGGCTCCGTAAATTCGTCAAGAACAACCCAGGAAACATCCCTCTTGTAATGAACCATATCTACTTGACCCTCGTCAAACTTCAAAGTATCATCAATGTCTTCTCCGTCTGGCTGTGCTGCGACCCCCGTTTCTTGACTTAACGTTTCTGACTCTTCTTGTGTATTAACTTGACAATCTAAAAACAAAATTTTTAAAAACCATTGATGGAAGCACTGCAACAAGACAACAAAATAGCACTTTAATGAGATGCCTAAAACTTTTATATTACTAATTACGGTTTAGTAGAGAGACCAGTGCACGTTAGAAAAAGAACTAAAAAGATACTTTCATTGCAGTGTCACTTCTAGCTATCTTTACTGACAATTCAATGACTTGGATTGATAAGGAACAATAAAATCTCAATAAGAAGGCATACCAATTTCACTGTCTTTTGAACATACCTTGCTCTGCTAAAAGTAGAAAAAATAAAAAAGTAAAAGTTAGTTGTAGAATTCCCGGACTGCATGGCTAAATTACCAAACAATCTTTTATGCCGTCTACTGTTTTAAATGCGTAATTATCTACGTTCCACTAAACCATATTTAAGAATCTGTGTACCTTTTTACAGTGGAATCACACTCAAATGTAAAGACAAACTCTAACGATCAGAAAAAGCCAAAATTCTGCTTCTTTCGAGGTATCCTTGCCAGCCTGTCTTCTGAAACCAAGCAGCCACGATTGAAGTGCCTTCAAACACTTTAACGCTGTGAAGACTCTAGCCTTCCTAGAAACTCATTCCACTACAATAGGCAACCATAAGATGAGTACCAAACCAGATTGGGCAAATATGCCCTTGATATTGAGAAATCCTGCAGTTTTTCAGCCATTCTTGAGCTGGATATTTATTTCTTCGCATTTGCTCGTATCTGCTCCTGACTCTCAATTTCTGTGAACGCTTAGCGATACCATTTGTCTCAATCGATACTTTTCTAAACGCAACCCTGTATACCAATCAGATTTTTAGATAGCTGTGAGGTTGTTAGTCAAAAAAAGATCCGTCGAGCAGTGGCAACTACTGCTAAAAACTTCACGTCGGAAAATAGTTTGGGGACCTTGTCACTCTAGAAGTAAGCTTGAACTGCACATATCTTACCGTTCTCGAGTGAGCCCCCAGGGGCTTATTTCTCATAAATATTTTTGGCTTCGCTTAATTCGCTTAATTCACAAAAGCTTTATTCGAGGGGGGGGGCTTATTCAAAGGTGGGGGCTTGTTTAGCAGCAGCAAAAAAATAGCCAGGGTAAATTTTCTTTCTCTATTTAAGCCCGATCAGTGTGCTTAGAAATTAGATATCTTCAATAAAACTATTCCTGTTGAGGCAATACCTTAGCACATGGGGCATTTTCAAGGGTTAGGGCTTACTTCACAAAAATTACTTTAGACGGGGGGCTTATTCGAGGGGGACATTATTCAAGGAAGGGGGTTTATTCATGCATCCTTTTTCTTCAAGCGCCCTCCTCTTAAAGTGTCATCTTTCTATAAGCACATATGTCAGATAGAGCGCCCAAACCCTTGAGAGCACAATTCTTTGCCAAACAACCAATAAACATAAGCATTCGATTTTAACATATTTGTAAGCGCATAATTCATGTTTTCTAGTTGAAAACTTATTGGTTTTAAATCACCTTTTAAGTAGCCTGCAACAATATATTTGAACTCTATTTTCTGTCCTCCCCGGATCATGAAAATGAGAGAAATAATAAGCGCCAATGAAAATGCGCTGAAAAATATAAGTGGCCCAGCCCCAGACCACTTACTCGAATCATTACGCAACCAATGCTTTTCTAAAGATTGTAAGATTGTAGCCTAGAATTACAAAAACATCATTTTAAAGGTGGATCTTTAGTAGCCGATGCTGTTCGAACAAGACAACCATCTCCACCCCACTCATTATTATCATGAAGGTTTTCTAACATCATAGAAAACACATCACTGTGGCCGCGCCTCGAGCTTCAAATTGAATGGGTTATAGCGTACAAAATTTCATCAATCAGATAGTTATCAGACAGTTATCAATTGCTAACAATACATCTGCAAGTACCGTCCCTGCCTTAAACTCGCCCTTTTTTATCCCCAAAAAGAGGAACGAAATAACTTCTTCGCTGCGAAGAGCAAGAACGCGCCGCTGTGCTTTGCCGAAGCCTCTCACCTCAGCACTCTCCTTTGCAGCAGGCTTGCTGTCCTCTTCATCATCCGGAAAGAAAAATATGCTTTCTAAATCGGTTCGGTTCCAGTTCAAATTGAAACCACATAACGCTGGATCTGCAGGGCATTTACCACGGCACAGAAGTGTTGGTGGATCCTAGAAAATAGATAAAAGAATAGACTAGGTTATAACTTGCTATGAGCTGCAAGAATGCATGCAGCGATAAAATATTTCTACATCATTTAAATTTTGACGGGTGCTGTTACGTTATATCTGTTCAAATGCTAACTTGAAGTACTTGGAGTGTGAAAATTTGTATTGAACAGAAAGAAGAGGAAAACAAATACCTTACAATGGCTGTCGTCTTGACTTGACCAAAGAACAGCTTGACCCTTGGCAATGAGGTAGTTGCATATATCAGGCATATCACCCATAGGAAACAGGCTAGAAGCAGGATAGAAAAATACGTCATTTTATTGTTATATAAACTAGGAGAGTAAGAAATGTGTTAAGAATACTTTATGCTTACATTACAGTGCTAAAATTCATGTGCACTTTAAAAGTTATAATAAAAAATAAATAAATAAATAAATAAACTAATACGTACCGTTAATGGACTACCATGTTTTCCTTTTCCACTTATACCAACTGCCTATACCAAAGCCAAGCACATCCAGTGGTGACAAGAAAAGGCATTCTGTGGCTTCATTTGATAAAAAAGTCTCCTCTACGTTTCGTTTCATTACAGAGAATTTCAAAAGCCTGGTCGTTGAATTTGTGATGTTGATATGTTCAATAATCACATATTATATAGACAAGTTAATCTAGCTTTAAAAGTAAAAGTTATAGGGTTCCAAAATAAACCAGCAGCAGCAGATAAATAATGATATATTTATACATATAACATTATACTCACAAGTCCAAAATGACAAAAACATTCTTTTTGCAGGAACATTTTGGACATCTGCCATCATTTGATACTTTGAATTTCTTTCCCCTTAGCTCTGCAGCAATTATTCTGTCATGCATGTCTGGGCTGAAAAAGCAAGGAATTCAAGCCAACTTCATTTTCTGTTGTCAAGATATTATTTCCAATAGAACATTTGTCTTTAAGGTTGGTAACACCAAGAGAGTAAAAAGAAAATAAAACTTGAAAAATTAAACTCACTCATCTCTGTACACTAACATTGGCTCTAACTCTGCTCTGAGTTTTTCATTTTCAGAAAACATACTCCTTATGTCAGATTTTATTATTTCTGTGTCAGATGTATCCATGACTGTTACTTCTTCTGATGATACAGCTCGTTCAATCTTTAGCGCAGACTCTTCTGCACTTATAGCCTTCAACTGACTAAGCTGATCTTGAGAAATAACATCCTTAGGGGAACCAATGGACTCTTCATCATTGCTTGTGTACCCATGTAGCCTGTGAAGCCATGTGACCTTTGAGGAAAGACAAAAATACATATTGATTAAGATACAAGAATTTATAAAACCCAATTTTCATCTAAAATCTTAGTTTGCAAAAAGTCTTACATCTGGAAACCGTGAAAGCTATTATGCAGGTGTTTTATAATAACAAACAATGTAAAAGGGTTTCCTTTAGATAACTTTTTGCTCACAAGTTAAGACATAACTCTATTATAATGAAATTAGAATATTATAATACTGATTCTGAAACAGTATCATACCTTAAGACAAAAACAAAAAAATAACACTATAAAAAGAGCAGCTGAGTACCTCTGTATGGGTGGCATCATCTTTGACATCTGGAGGTTTGTCACCCTCAACACTGTCCATAACTTCATCTCTACCCATCTCAAATAAGTCATCCTCATTTCCATCTTCACCAGCAAATGGATCTGATCCTAACGGTGGCGGTACATAGTTTGAAGACAACAAATCACCAAATTCCTCCATTGAAAGGGATGTCTGCATCAAAATATTAGAAGTTGGCAATTTCTGGTCCAGAAATATTTTGTTAATCTCATACATGATGCCACTGTACTTTGCTCAAAAGTACTCCTTACAGAGACCTAATTTGGCAAGCACAAAGACAATGGGACTAGCAGTAAAAAAAATCATTAATCCAAAAATATGTTGCATTTTCTTGTGGCTTGTACAGGAAACTTTAAGATACTACATACTGATACAGAAAATCACATACCTGATAATTTTGATTGAAGTGTGAAACTTTTTCCTGTATAACTTCAGTAAGGTTTCTATGGCCAATGGTATGCATAAGCTCCTTCTGCAAAGGCAAACAATATGGACTTTTAGAATAAATAAATAAATATTCTGGTCAAATATGCTAGTATTGTAAGAATATGCAGAATAAGAAGCAAAGCCAAGGTAATGTTTCAGGGTCCTTCAATGACATTGGAGAACACAACTGCATAGCGGCTGTGTAAAGGGGGTTGGAAAACACTACAAATGTTCCAATTAAAATGATCTGATGACTTCAGCCAATACAACAACCAAAGCCTGAGGACCAAACACAAGCAAATTAATTTTAAAGAGATGCAGCACTTAGCAGGTGTTTACAAGTAAAATGTGACATCAAGGAAACAACATAGCACGGCTACAGCTGGCAACTTAGCTGAAATCATAGGAGCCTAACATGTTGCACCTGTACAAAGAATTAAATTGATGTTTATAAATAATATCAAAAATCAGCTGTTGTCAGATGATGGCATTGAGCATGAAGCTCTGATTAGCAACTTAGAACCATCCTGTTCTATACGCAAAACCATGTGCAGCTCTGCCTTTAGGCCACTGAAGGGCACTGAGTATCTGTTGACAGGCAGTAAAACAGTAATGATTATTAAAGGAGAATTATGCTAAAACTAAAATATGTCAAATTTCAGCAAATATTTTTACCATTAATGCTAGGTAAAGCTTTCGGTGTGTTACTCTTTTTTCAGAACGATATTTGTATCCTCTCTTTAGTCTCCATGCTTCTAATAGTCTACGAGTAATTTCCCTAGCAAGTGGTTTATATTGCTCCAAATTTGGGTCCATAATGACTGGCTAAAAAGAAAAAAAAAGGCAAGACAAATCAAAGAATGTCATTAATAGAATCAAGTTTGAAAAGGAGAGAACATATTTTTTAGCTTCGAGATACCATGATCAATAAAAAAATCATTGAAATTTATTTTGTAATAACAAATTAAAATTGAAAAGCACACATGAGAGCTGGACATCCAGGTCCAGCAAAAATCTCATTATCTCTTACAGACAGAATTAATACACTAGTTTGATATTTGGAACAATCTTCGCTTGATCTAAACAAAACTACATTAGTGGACTGCAATATGTCACTAAATAATTAATTGACTTCCACTGTTGTTGTGGCTGGATTAGCAATGCAGCAATGCAGTATGGATCAGTAATTCCAACAAAGATCTAATCTACAGGGGACCCCAAGACTCTCATTAAAGCTTTATTTCATTGAAAAAAGATTTGGTTTGATTAGGTATAGGAATTTTCCTGAAATTTTTACCACATTGTAAAATTTTGGAAGATTTTTCTTTCAAACTTTTGTATGAATATTTTGGCACTTCCATCTAATAACTTGGGCATACATGTACAGAAACTAACAAAGCCTTAGTAGATGACTTCCAAAGTGGGTATTTACTCATATTAAGAAGTTTATTCCCATTTGTTTCCTTTCTGGGCCAGAGTACAGAGTATTATTTGTGCACCAGGAATTATTTTCTGCCTTTTATGCTTGTGAAGGAACAAATCGTGCTGCAAATTAGCAGGTTAAATGCTGCTGGATTTGTTTCAATACCGTTTGATAGCCTTACAGTGAGATGGTGCATGGGATTCACACAAAAATCTGTGCTATAACTGCCTGGATTATTCTAAATTTGAAAAAAATGCATGGATAGGACTTGAGAAAAAGTCGATACCTAAACTATACAGTCTGCTTCATGGGGACACCTAATCTAAGGAAAAACATTTTGGGCTTTTGGTGCATTAGCCCTTGTCTTGCCTGAGCAATGACACAACCTATGGTCGGTGTTTGATTTCGGGGGAAAATGATCTCAGTTTTTACCCCTCACTCGTTTGTTTCATTTACTCTGATGAAGCCCTGTATGCCAGGGCGAAATATTAGCATTCGTTTAATTTCTTTAATTTTGAAAATTCATCTCATAACATTGGATTCTTGTCGTCGTTTTGCTTTGCTTATGAATTTTATCCTTGTATGATAATGTTTACTGCTACAAAACAGATATTATTGACATGGCTCTGAAATGAAATGACCCCTTCGACTAATTGTTTAGCGCAACAAATTGAACAAATCTCTAAAAACCGGTTACCATAATTTTTTGTCGCTCTTTTTCAACTCTATTTAGTTACCCGAGTGCCTACCACGTATAAAGAACTGAATATAAAAAAATCAAAATGAGAGTGCAAGATTTCTCGGTGTGGTTTTTCTATTCTATCCGTCTCGATCCACGGTTAAGATCGATAAATAATTCAAGCATTTGTTTCAGTCTAGGTTAAAAGGCTTTCGAAAAATAGACACATGAACTACACTGTTTCAGGTTTAACACAGTAGATTATTCGCGGCAACAGTTTTACCTGATTTCTTAGGCCACACAGCTAGGGCCGATCCAGCCATGAAAGCAATACCTCCTGTACTCCTTCACAGCGACTGACCCATGTCACAGAGTGCCCATGTGGTTCTATATGTCATCATCAGCATCATAATCGTCAAAAATTAAAAGGGGGCTAGGCTAGGGGGCGCTCTTCTTTATTTTACCCGGCTTGCCACAAAGACCTTTCAGGTATCTAGGACCATGCTTGTTGAAGGGGAACAAAAGGGGTAAACAATGTATTGCGAAGAGAAGTTTATGAAAAATTAAGGGATTTTGTTATCAAAAAGACATATCATCCATAAGATCAAACATAATTTTGCTACATTCGATTAATTTCATTCCTAAAAGAGGGATTCTTTATTTTTTGAGGCCCCCTACACTTCAAGGCCCTCTTGCCCCCTCTCGGAGGCCCTGCTTGTTCAAGGCAATGCGCAGGTGCCTTTTAACAAAAAGGCGGTAAAAAACAAAATGGCGACAGGAGGTACTTTGGACACAATGGTATGAATTTGATTGTGATTCACAATTTAGTATTTATTATTATTAGCCGTCTATCGTATGTGAGGAAAAAATTAAAATTATCACAATTTGGTTAAGCCTATGGATTCTCGCATCAGCAAACGAGCTTCGCGCAGAGGAGATACGTGACAATATGGACTTCTAAAGCCAATATCGTTTAGATACGCAAAAGGCCATCAGCTTACACTTAACATTTATTTAATCCACTAAACTAATCTATTCACCCAAGGCTTATACTAATGGTCATCATGCAGGTATTTCAACATTTTTTCAAGAAAAATAGGCCACGCCAAATCGTTGGTAATGACGTAGGTCCCGGAGGATTCAGCAACGTAAAGCAAGTGTATCTCCGTGTGTAATTTAGAGAGTTGACAGGTCTGAAAATGTAAGAATTCAAATGCCACAACTTTTCCAGAGTGAAATTCGTTACAGAGTGTCTTAACACGTAATAGGAAAATCTTAACACCGGAGATTGATTGCATCATTTAAATAAGAAAGAAGAATATTAATACTTGAGCTCATACAATGGCAACCCATTCACTTAACTGGACGAGTGCTGTTGGTCAGTGATGTGCTGGTCAACTGCTCAGATCTAGCCATAGAAACTAAAGTAACAAATTTTGTATGAAAAGTTAATAGAGAATGACTGGAACACATCTTAAATAGATGTTTCCTGACATAGCTGTCTTTTATTTACTCTCAGGCTGTAATCACAATAAATTATATTTATGACCATGTTCTCAAACCTGACTTTTCAATACTTTCTAAACCACTTTTTGAAATATTTTCATTTAAATGTCTTTCTATTGAATTCATTTTAAAATGTCTTCAACAGGACAGAAAAATGATATCTCAGGATTCCAGCAGGGAAAGTCTGGAAGGTAAGCAAATCTCATTCTTGTCAATATAGGCCAAAAATTTATATCAGTCAAGATTCTTAGACATTTCAAGGCAAAACTTTTAAATTTGAATAGTAAACTACTTTTTCATAAAAAGGTTTGGAGAAAATGTATGAAGAAGATTCAGCGATAGACCTTTCCCAAGAGCTAGATGATAATATCAAAGATTTGTGCAAGCTACGAAAATCAATCCCATCAAAGTGCTGTGAAGTACTTGACCAAATTATGGAGATAAAAACTCCTAAAATGGTAAGACAATTGTTGACATAAAATTTCTTCTTGACAATGTTTGTTGCCTTTGTGAATGTAGAGATAAATTTATTAAGTTTATGTATCTAAATAGTTGAGATCTGTTTATCAAACTAATTAGTTCTGCTGTTTCTATTGTATTTTTCATTGTTCATCCATTCTCAAATGTGATACACTTACGTTCAAAAAGTATTGGGACGAATTCGATAAACGAATTATGGCGTTCCGTTGGATTCGGTTTTGCAACGGAAACTTTTTCAGATTTAGGCAGTCTTTCTACAAATAATCTAGGCCGAAGTTTCCCCAAAATGGAATAAAAAGTTAACAAAATGCTTCAACTTAAGAAGAATAACCAAGAAAACACAGGATTCTTTCGATTTTCCTGATTATAACAGCAAAATATGCAGAAGGGCTGAATGGCCTAACAATGGCAAAGTCACATGACCTTCCAAAAATTTTAGAGCTGTCCAAACAAATACAACTTTTTAATTTCACGTTTGCATAACAAAAGAAATTATTAAATAGATTATAAAATCAAACTTTTAAGCTTCAAAAAAAGTTTACTTCATCGACGAAAATGCTACAAATTTATTAAATTATTGCATTTATTCAAGCTACTTTTAAAATTGCGTAACATTCAAGGAGAAGCCATTGAACTCACCGTCGATGATTAATTTTAACTTTGAGAGAGCATTTGTTTTTCTTATAACGCTGGAAAATTTGTATTTTTCATAACTTTATAGCCATGTTTTTGCTTATGTTCCATTATTTAGCTTCTTTTTACATGACAACACGATGTCTGGTAAGGATTCAAACCTATTACTTCCCAGTTCCCTCAGTAAAGAACTGTCGTCCCTCGGCGTCGTAAACTTCTTTGGTCTGCAAACCCTTGGTAAATTTTTTTCTGTTCTTGTACGGAAAAACTTTTTACACACCAGAAAAGCAGAGAATTGATGCAATATCGCAAAATCCATTTACTTTATTATAGTAGAAAGCACTTTGTAAGCACTTCTCTTAACTCAGTTCTTGAGTTTTCAGAGCTTCCATGTTTTCGTCTCGAGACCTATAGAAATTTTATGGTAGATGAATTTTTAATTTTTTGGCGTACATAAAAGGCTTCAAAATATCAACAATGTCTTGTGAAAATTTCATGGAAATAACTGCCGTACTTTTTTAATGAGAAAGATTTTAAAAAAGTCTTTCCGAATTTGTTGCATAAAATGTCTTCGAAGTTTCGAGGGTGTCCCAATACTTTTTGAACGTAAGTGTAATTTTAGAATGATTGTGCTCAACATAATGTGCTGATTCAAGATCAGTAACATTAGTTAATTGTCAGCAGAGAACTAGGGAGTCAAATATTTTGGCTTTTTAATAAGCCCACTTACCTTTACTTTTTTGTACTTTGAAAGTAATTTTGAAGCCCAAAAGCTTTTCTAGATTTGCAAAGTATTTTAAAATGGCTTTGAAAAAAGCAAACATTTCACAACATATTGCTAAAAGCTTTTTCGTCATGTGCTCGCCTTTTTTTGATTGGCCTATTTCGATCCACAACTGGGTATATATCTTCCTTGGTGTTCTTTCGGAACCTTACTTTGACTTTTTATACTCTGAGGAGTGTCAGATGAAAAAGCTTTTATTAATATCTTGTGAAATGTTTGCTTTTTTCAAAGCCATTTTCAAGTTTCTTTCCACCAAAAAAGTGTTTTAAGTAAAAATCATTGAAGGTCCCTGTTTATAATTTTGATATAATTGAGAGGAAATATATAGTTTTTTGTAAAGACCTGAAATATGACTCTAGAACAACCTTTTTTATGTCATTGTTATGACTTTGTTAAGGAAAATTTGAGCAGTATATCATCATATGAAGCCATCCAGCCTTCAGTTGAAAATGAATGGAAACAATTTCAAAGTGGTATGTTACAAACTTACAAATTGTACAGCTCTGCCTACATGTCATCAAGCTTAATGTAACAACAGACTGGTCAAACAGTTATTTTCTTGATTGGAGTCTAGACACATTATTTTACTCTAGGGTTACTTAAATTTGATTTTTATTAATTTTTTTGATAATAAATTTCTGTTTGCAATAAGTAAGACTTTATTTTCAGTGATACAAAGAAAGCTTGAAAAGTAATGATAGGTAGCAAAGTGTGATTGTATTTATAAATAGAGCTCATTGGAATAAGTTGCATGTTTGGGTCTCAATGTTATGTGACTGTAAATGATAGTGTGCCTGTAAACAAAGTTACTATAAGCAGGGTCAATTGTACTACAATAGCAATTTAATGGAGTTGAATGCAATGTTATTTATTTCTGATCTTGTTTTCTAGATTTTGATAAGATGATGCAAAAATGCAAAGGGTCATATGAGAAAAATTCATTACCCGAGGTTGGTATATTAACTAGTGTTTAATACACATTCCTGGACTTTAAAAATGCTTATCTTTTATGCTTGGTGAAGTATAATACATATATACATAAAGAGACCTGGGATGGAAGAGACATTTGTATAGCATAGGAACAATTGTATCACAGTGACTATAGATAACCATTCATGTGTTTCTTACCCCATAATATCTTAGTAAGAAACAGTATACTTAGCAAACCTTAAGCTGTGTAGGGCATAAATCTCTAAGGTAACAATATATCAAAATGCCCATGAGAAATCTTCCTGCAATCTTTCTCGTAGGACTTTAAACTTCTTGTTAAACATTGTGAAACTTTGATGATGCTTGAAGACGTGCAGAGAGGTATGGGCCTAGATGACACTCAAGAACTGCTGTTTAGTGGAAAGAAAAAACAAAATGACTGCGAGACACCATTGGAAAAGAAAAGAAGCCTTAGAAGATCTGGCCTCAAAGATTTACCATCATTGGCTTCATCAGCTGGCAAAAGGACATCAGAAAGGAAGGCTGGCAGTCTGTCAAAAATTCCAAAACTTAAACAAGGGACCTCAACCCCTAGAACTCCAGTATCAGCATCTACATCATTACGAAAAAAGTTGTTCAGAAAAGCTGCAAAAAGACCTTGAATCATAAAGCACTTAATATAAAACACTCCATTGTGTTAATTATGATTTTTTGGATCATCACTGATACTCTCATGTTACAATATTGTATCACTCCAGTATCTGTCATTGTAAATAAACTTTTGCTTATTGTTGCTGTAAAGTTTAAAATATGGACAACAAATATAGCACTGCATTTTATTTAAGTGCTGATTTTGTGAAGTGCTTTACTGCTCTACTGTTGATATTTTCTAATCTATAAATTAAAAAACCATCATGAAAATCCTAGTCAGTAAAACATTTTGTGAACATGTAGACCTTTGCCAGCACCATTGATTTAACAAAAATTTTATTTTATCCCTTTTAATGTGTACATAATTTCCTTAATCTTTATAAGTTGCTTTTTGAATTACAGTTTGAAATCTCATATGATTTGTAGTGAGTCTCCACCATATTTTAGCAATGAACATTAGATAAAGAAAGTTTCAATTACATGTAAACACAGTCACATTTTGATAATTATAATTATATTGGTTGTAGATTCTATGTGAAAACAAAATTCCTTTATATCCATGCAGCAATGCTGCAGTTGTTTAATTTGATGTTATATTTCCCATCAAATCAATGTTGAGGGAAATCACCCATTCATTTTGCAGCCTCATTTTAGAAATTACTCCAAACTTCATCCTACAACTTTTTGAAATTAGATAAGGACTCTCACCATAGTTAAGTTTTTCTTACTGTTTGTTTGTGTATATTAGATTTGTTGGTGATTCAAAATTTGTAAACTTGTATGGGATTTGAACACATAAATAGTTCCAGGCATACTTTTCACAGTTGTAAATTCAAATGTATTGAAGTATTTTTAACTTTTGATGATTTTTTTCTTCAAGATTGATCTTTTACCACATTTATAAATTTTGTTTATTTGCATTCTTGACTATAAAAGCAGAAACTATGCATGAATTTGGAAATTTCTAGTTCTATATTACACTCCCTTTTTTTTATAAGAACAATTTTATAAAAACATGGACCTCAAAACTGGTCAAAAGTAAAGAACAAATTAAGAACAAGCTGAGGCTGAGCTTCTGCAAAATGCAATTCTGAACAACGTTTTTTCTCAAAATCGAGGATTTTTACAATGTAGGGGTGCTTTTTCGGTGAATATTCAAATTTGTCAGCAAATTGAGGCTGTCTCACTCACTTTGTTGGCAAATGAGGCCTGAACACCTCCTTAGAGCGAAAAAGCTAGCAATAGCACTGCTTACACCCTCTTAATTCAAGAACAAATTAAGAACAATCCAGCCTCAGATTTTCGAAAAAATTAAGAACAGTCAGCCTGAACTTAAATTTACTGGTTCTTATAAAAAAGAGTGTACTCATGTATGTGTGCTACTTCGAACAGATGACATTGCGATTGGTGACCAGACCTCTATAATCTGCAAGAGTGGCACTCCCAGGCAAAAAAGCTCATTCCCACAAATTTTAGCAAGCACATTTCTGAAACGATTTTCAATTACCATTTATTGTATTACAGTCCTGCTTTCTTTATACATCTTTTTTGGTATTGAAATTGAACGGTCAAATAGAATAAAAAGGTAGTATTTGGAAGTCTTTTTTACCAAAATGATAGAAAGTATTATTGTATACCTCTTTTCTCATACATTATGTTATGACTTGTAGGACTTATTCTTGCATTATAGGCTGAAGAAAGCAGACTCCTTTAAGTGAAAGTCGTCATGCTTTTCAATCTGGTAGTTGTGAATTTCTGACGTATTTGAGCAAAAGGTACACTTCCAAAGAATTCACCAAAAACAACAATTTTCGATAATTTGCGACAACACAAACACAAGAGTGAAAGTAAATTTATACTGAAATAATCAAATCTTTCAAGCATGATAAACTCTAAGGTAAAAAAAAGAAAATCCTTATATAAGATCTTATGTTGAATAAGACGAAACAATATTAAAGTTTCTGTTGTCAACAATGAAAGTTATTGGGAATACAAACTTTCATGGCTGTTTTTCATATCTTTGAAATGAGAAAAACCCAGTGTAATGTCGAAATTATTGCAACCTTTGCCAAAGAAGCGAAGCCAAAATCTTAAAATTCACCTTGAAAGATGATGTTATTAACAGAACTGTTCCATTTAAAGTGAAGCGTTATAGACATGGGAAAACGTTTTTGCAGCAGATGTCTTTATTTCATGAAATCGATAATAATGATAGGGCTTCTGGACAACCCAAAACAACCCGTAGATAAAAACGAGATCATTTCCCTTTTTATGTAAATACTATAATGCTAGTAGCATTTACTATGTCATTTGTTCAGTTTTACATGTAGTTACCTGTAGTTAAGTTAATGATGATACTGATATGGTATCTGCTTTTGATTTTTTCATTTTTATACGACTAGGAGAAACTAAAATCGATATGAAAAAGAATAAGAAAATACTGAACAATGGTATTATGATTGCTTTATAATTACTATGGCGTCTCTGCATATTGGAATCATCAGGAGGCCAAACGCCTTTAAAGCTTTTATAGTTAAAGGCTTCTGATATCCAGCGAGTACTTTTAGTTTCAGAATGTGTTAAATGCTTCTGGCAATTAAGATTTGCGAACATTGGAAGTGTCAACAACTTGTGAAGATAATAATGGCCAAGGCTGATTTGACCGTTATTTTTGAAGTGCAGTAAAAAGAACTGTAAACCAACAGTGAAAGACATCAAATTAGCTGGTAGCATAATAACAGAACATGATTAAACGAAAATACAATTTTTTCAAAAGTTAAGCTACATTAGCCCCTGTGAAAAGGCTTTTTCATATCATGTTAATTTACTATTTACAACTTAAAATCGGTATCCTCCTTTTAAGGGTAGTTAAGATATTGGGCACAAATACGTAGACTGTAACAACTGCTCAATAATTGGGAAAGGATTAAACATTTTGGGAGACATTTAATGTGTTGTCAGTGATGTGGTGGGGTTCCTGTGACTAAAATTACCACATAAATACCCAGGTGATATTGGAATAAATATTGTTCATTAAAAAAGGGAAGGGCAGTGATACTTTCATATTATACATCTTATAAACCTCATAGCAATTTCATTATTGTTCATGACTGTAAAGATAATTGTAGATAACTTTACAGAATTTCTTCAATTATTGCCGAAATTGAAAATCCAGCTCTACTTGAGTACAACATATTCACCACTTTTTTCTTCAGATTAAAAAACATGGCCTTAAGGTAATTAGTTTTAGGAGGTATCTAGCCAGGATACCAAAAAGAATACTAGTGTATCATTCCTAAAAAAGAGCTAATCAATTGGAGGAGGTGAAACCATATCATTTACAAAATTGCCATAATCCTCAGTCATTTTTGGTTCCTTCAAAAATGATGAGGTCACAACAAAGGTTTCTTAGCCTGACGCCATTGCTCTTTGCAAGCTCAACAGTTCCATTAATGACTTTTGCCTGTCAGGATCAATTAATCGTCTTTCAAAATCTTTAATTATTCCCTCAAGGACAGACTGGTCGTTGCAATCAGAAACATTCAACAAACGATCGAAAACAGATGCCCAAAATTCTTTGCCTTGTCGTCTGAAAGTGAATCAAATTTACAAGTGGTTAAATAAAGCAGAAAGCAATAATCTCAAGTGTAATTAAAACTCTGAAAATGTTAACATGCACTTAGTCTAGTAAAATATCATGTCGTTTACAAGTTTTAGGTGAATTAAGGTGAATATCAAGCTTCCTTCCAAACAATCGGGTCTCCAATCTGCCATTTCCAGCTTCAACTAGTCTAACTTAATAGTGGTATTTTCAATACAGAATCAGATTGAGCAGTATAAACAATATAGAGGGAAGTTCCGTACAGAAAAATCGGACAATATCTCTTGAATCTATTAACTCGATAAAAGCTGAAATGCAACTGCGATATACCAGAGCAACCTCAAGAAAACGAAGACATTTGAACGTCACTCTGTTCCAGCTGGCATGAACTAAATTTGTGGGATGACATGTAAGAACAGCTTACCGAAAGTCGTCGAAATAGCCCACCACCCCCCCCCACCCACCCAAAAATATTGTTATGCCCCCGGGGGCTTATTCAAGGACTTACGGTACTATGAGTGACTTGATGCACAAAGAAACAAAAGGGACATTAATGTAAAAATACCTGCTTGCAACTTTGACTGGCTTGTACCTGTCACCGAAGAGATAACAGTCCAAATATGTGCCATGAAGGACAACATGGATCGTTCCAGCCACGCCATAGTAGTCGATCTAAAAGCCGATTTGGCATGCAGCGCTTGCTTATTGTTTCCACAGAGGTTATATACCGATTCAATTTTTTATTGTACGACGCATATCAACTGCTGATCAAAACCAACAATATAATCTACCTGTTTTACTTATAAATAGACGTTGTTAAATATATATTTGTTGCAGACTAAAAAAGATTTGGCCAATATAACTGAAGATTATAGTAGAAGTCAATGTTATTTTGACCGAAAGAACATAACAAAAATTAACCGAATTCAAGACCTTTCAAAATTTTAGTCATTTTCCGAAAGCAGATAAGTGACAAAGAGGTGACCAGTTAGGTCTGAACGCTGCTTTCTAGAATCTGAAAGCTATTTTACCGTCTGAAACGAGATTTTTAGATTTTGTAGCAGAAATTTACTTATTCTGGTCCGACTAAGAATTTTCAAGTAGCTTTTTTGAAAAATAAACATTGGGGCAACTGGCAAATTCAATTAAAGAAATATATATTTGTTCCAATCTCTACTATTTTTAAGACAGGGGACCATTTGAAGATTGCAACAAATTTCACTGATATATACCATGAAAGAATGCATGAAAATACAGTTTTAGAGAGTACCTCTTCAGTATGCAAAACTTGGTGTAATGAATCAGCAACTTGCTTTAATGCTATTTTTTCGTATACCTAACTAGCTTCTTCAAATCTAACGATAAAGGGCTGGATCTTTTAGAATTTCAAGGGTCATCAACTTTGCAGTTAGAGTTGGGACAGGGAATCCTTTTGTCAATAATGCTAAATCCTAGAAAATATTTCGCAATAACTGTACACTATTAAGTGTACTTCTAATTTTTTCCGGAAAAGAATTTTCTTTTCTTTTAATACCTGATATTTCCATGGCAAGTTTTTCTTCATCTCGATGCATTCAAATTTGTCTGTATTACAGCTGCCAATAAAGGTCACTGTATTCGAATATAAAGTTAGATCGAGACATCTTCCGAAATCCGCTAAGGTCAGGCAATTGATCTCAGTTGGGTTGTCAACGTTGCCTGTGACTCTGAAACAAGATGAGGAATGAACGTTTACATTCGATGAAGTCAGAAGGTTGAGTCCACTCTTGGAGTCCATTTATAATACGTTGTAGAGGCTAGTGGCAGTAATTGGGCAACCATTTTTATATCTTTTTTCAATCTAATCAGTTTTCTTTGAAATTTTACTGTATTGCTTTGCTATTCATGTAATTTAAATCTGTTTGAAAAAAATGTTTTTTCTAGTGAAAATATTTGAAAACCATTTAATTCAGTGTGAGTCAGGAAATTATTCATGTAAAACTTGTTGGAAGTATAATTGTAATTAGAATAAGATTCAGACAAACAAACAATAGTTTTATCAATATTGTCTTGCTTCTAATCTAGGCCAGTGTTTCTTAGGCTCTTCACACTATTGACCCAAAAAGATTCAACACTTATCGACAAATATTACAGCTAATAGACAGCACTAAATGACTGATAGCAACTCAACTTTTAAACATTAATGATATCTCTTTTGAGTGAAAGCTAAGCGACATACCTATTCAGCAAGAAATTATCAGGTTTGACGTCACCATGTATAATAGAGCAGTCATGCATCGTCTTTACCAGTTTGCAGACATTGAGCCCGTAAAGCAGTGCGAACGTGTCTGTCTGGCCGACTCTCTCTTTCAAATGCTTGTTAACAAGGTCCTGGATAAAACCGTTGGTAAAATCCGTTAATAGAAGGACATATATAAAAACGTGGACAATGTATATATTGATTACTTTAGCTGGAGAATGAATATATCAACATATGTGATCGATAGCTGAAAAAGGTATAAGATTAAGGTGTTCTTAGATGTAACACCTCATCAGGAATGTCTTTCTCTGTATTGTAAAATTACAATCAAAGGATAGCTTTTTTAGATGGCACTCGAAATTTCAAATTACTTACCAACAATGTGCCACCAGGATGATGGGGAAATTGAATGGCTGCTGCATCAGAATATACATAACCGCTCAATGGTTGGATAAAGCAGTCGTGCTGCAAAAAGAATGAATAAGTTATGTTAAATAGATAACGTTAACTCTTCACATAGCTGTTCAGCTATAACTGTTTGTTGATTGCCTAGCTAATTTACTTGCTTTATATTATAAAGCTTTCTCTCTCTGTGTAACTAGGCATTGCCTTTATCTGTTTTCAATTCTGTCAGTTAGTGAAGAGTTGCCCATGCAATAAAAGCATGTCAGACTTTTCACCAATGAAAGGATAGGAAAGAAAAATAGCGATGAAACACTAGAGGAGGGAGCCTTTAATTCTCAAAACCTGATAAATTACAGCATGTTAAACATCCTACATCACGTCTTTAGTGAACTGTTTCTAAATATCCATAGGTTATACTTACTAATTTGGGATCTATGTCATTCTGGACTAGTCTCTTTTGTATTTGTGTGCCAATGTGAAATTCCCATTGACACAGTATCGGAGACTTCATTACCTTAGAAGGAGAAAAAAAAGAAAACGCTTGGTATAAAACATTACAGCCATTATCAGGCAGAAACAACACGTGAACTGCTATTCGTAGTTGGAAAATTTCTAAACGAATGAATTTAGAGCAATAAGCACTGGACATGAATTTAGAGCATTGATCTTGATACTTGTAGCAACAAAATATACCACGGAATACATAATAACAATGATATGATACATAAACCGAGACCTTTCATGAATTGCGAAGGTCCTATCTTTGGCTTTTGTCTACAAATTTCACATTTTTACTTCTTAAAACTATATAGGCTGTAAAGCACTTTTGCCGCGAGCTCCTGATTTAGGCCCAAGACCAGAAACTTATGAGCAAGTATCCTTTATCGCAACATGGGCTATAGCGAGAAGACCCTTGAGGGAGGATTTGTACTCTTGATCATCAAAATATTATTTTTATAATGGTAAGCGAAGGTGATACTTACTTTCAGGGCAGTCTCCTCGCTATCACCACGGCTAAGGTTGTAAGCAGAATAAACCACTGCAAAACCACCAGTAGCTACTTTCTTGACAATCTTGTAGTCGTCATCACCTAATTTAAAAGGAATTCGTAAAGTATGATCTTTCTAAAGAGTTATAGTAAAGCTAAAATTCAGGAACACAGATGCTTATAGTTCAAGTGGAGACGGAGTGACTTTATAGAAGTTTTGAGATTTCGTTGGCCATTCAAATTTTCCATTGGTTAGACTAAACAATAGACCTATTGTTGTGTATCCAATCGGCAATGTGAATAAAGTTAATTCTCAATGTTTTCTCAATCATAAACTTGCTACAAAGCCTAACGAAACATAGTTCCTTTAATGTTGAAAATTAACAAGGAAAAGCAATGTTAAATGGAAAGAAGAAATCGTTTCTTTTCATCCTACACTTTTGAAGCTTGAAAGGTCATGAATAAAAATTCTTAAAACCAAATAGAACATACCTAACAGTACTTTGCTATTTACGAAAAATCTCTCATTGAGCGACTTCTCCGTCTCAAAAGTTAGGTTTGGGTAGATTTCGAATTCCATTGTTTTCACAATGGCCGTTATTGCTTTTGAGCCAGAGACATCTACAGGCTTTGAAGTAAAACTTCTTCCAGAGACTGACACATTGGACAACCCTGCGTTCAATGTAAGTGAATGCAATGCTGCTTCGACGTGACTTGTTTCGGCTTCAGCAAACTTCTTTAAAATGTTGTCTTCGTGAACTGCCGACTTGTTTTCTGGCTTACTGTCTTTGGCAACCTCGTCATTAACAAACACAGGGGGCGTATTATGCAAATGCCTGTTAGTTGTCGAGCAGATCGCATCTATGTTGGATTCACTTCCTTCTGAGAATCCGCGCGAGCTTGAGGACGATGACTTCCTGAAAGTGTCGCTAGAGCTCTCGCCACTTTGTTCCTGTATTGTGCTTAAGTTTTTCGAATCGCAAGCCAGCTGCTGCGTAGCGTCAGCCTGCTGTATCTCTGAATCGTGCAGGTTGCCAATGGCTGTGCAGGAAAAACTCGGGCGCGGTTCAGCTGGAAAGAAGGGCGTAGATGTTTTTGCAGAGACATTCGAAGCTGTATGATCAGAAATCGTGTATTCGAGCCGCCCATGACTTACTGACATGTGCTGCGTATCGACCAACGCGTTAGTGCAGCTCGATTGCTGTCGGGAAATTTTCATGTTATTTCCTGTCACTCCTGTCTCGTCCAATTTAGGCTTCTTTTCCCTGAAAAAAACAACATGGTTTGGAACAGGTACTACACTATCTACTTGAGCTGCGAAAAGAAAAGAAACATTGAAAATAGGTCCTTAGAAAATTTTGAAAAACCATAATCATCAATGTAAAACATTAGACAAGCTAAATCTTAAAATAGAGCAAAGGTAGGAAATATGATTACTCTTTTGGATTTTGGCAATGAAAATTTTTTACCTTTCGCTCCAAAAAGTAAGGAACTAAAAGATTTTGATGCAGTTTATTAAAAGTACAAAAAGGGATTCAGCGTAATATGTTGAAAGGTTTCTGGTATCAAAAACACCAACTTAGTTATGCACTTTCATGAGCAGGGGTGCCCTAATTGCTTTAGAAACTGGAAATTTATGGAACACAGACAATATTCTTTAATATCTGTTTCATTAGTGGCTTTTTAGTCAGACATAAAGCGATAGTTACAGGAACCTGCTTGGCAATGTTGCAAAAATAGTTCATAGCATATACTTGTACGAACATTTACAGGACGATGATTTAAGTTAAACTCAACAATTTAAGATAAAGATATATTCTACCTTGGGCTATTACAGCGAGAAATACGATGCTCTTGAATTCAAACTTTTAAGTGCAACATTTTAATACAACAGAAACGTTTTTCCTATGTAGGAGGTTTCAGAAAGAAAATATTCTTTTCAGTGACCTACACAAGAAAGCGTGGTTTTTCTATCAAACTTTCCTCTATCTAAGTTTCCTCCCCCGATGATTAGCGAACGACTAAAATTTGATGACATTGACGACGACGGAGCAGTTTATGGAATCTATAGAAGTGAGGATTTTCTGCAGAATTACAACTTAAAAAAATCTTTCACTAACCTCGAAACAATTGACTGATTCTCTTCGTTTCCAAAATCACCATTTAATTCATCATCAAATATTTTAAAGCACCCACCAGGAGCTGAAATGAAACATTGCTAAAGGTATCCAAAAACATTTTCTGAGACAGTTAAGTTATTAACGATAGGATTTTTTACACTTGGAATTTCAGAAATCATCAACAGTGGTGCAGCAAAGCGGTTTTGAGACTGGATACTGTCCCAGGTGTTAAAGAATAAGATGGGATCATAATGGCAGATAATCGATACCCAGGTAAATGAATTCTGCAAAAATTCCTAAATTGGTATTAGCAAATAATTCATAGCGGTTTGACTACTGATATCTCCTGAAAATCAAAATGCATTTACCGTTTTATCGAAGTTTGGATATTTTAAGAAAAGCCATACCTAAAGCGGGTTTATCACCAAACTGCTGCTCAAAATCGTTGGACGCTTCAATTGTAGAGTTAATAGTAAAATCATCGGCTCTCCACATCTCATGAATAGCTTGTGTAGCTACTTTGGTGTGAATTGTTGGAGATGGCGCCCAAATGGGACTTTTAGGTGGCACTGGGAAAGCCAGCCCGCTGTTGTAAGGTAAAGATCGCTTGACCTTTGATGCTGGTGTTAATTGCTGCACTGGATGGACTTTTGGCTTTAGTGGATTACCAGAAACTTGTATCCAGCACCCAGTATTTTGTGGATGGTCTCCTCTTGCTGAAGAAACATTCATAGCACTGGGATCAACAGTAGGCAAGCGCACCGTGGAGGTTTCATGTACGACATTCACATTTTTTCCTCCAAGTTCTGGTTTACCAAACTCAATATCTGGACCCAAACACGCAAAACTTGCATCATCCTCTAATTCATCACCCACAAAAATACTATTTTCTGGCATCTTTCTAGGGTTTTCGTTTGATAAATCTTCCTTTGAGGAAATCTGGGAAACTTCAAATCCGGTACCAGGAAACCCATCGCCTTCTTCTCTGAACCTCGGAATGCCATGTACACTGGTACTTTCTGTTGGTCCATAAAACTTCATGCTGTTATAGCCATCAACGGGTTTGGTTCCGATCTCAGTTATTTCCGAATCCCGCATAACATCACGTATTCCCTTGAACTGGTTGGGTAGAGGTAGCCGGGAAATGTTATGCTTACTTGTACTTTCAACAGGCCCTGCCATATAGTCTTCTATATCATCTAAAGAGTCCAGACTAGATTCATCTAAATTATTGGAACATGTTCCGTAAGTAGAAAGATTTGCGACAGACTTCTCTAGACCACCCCCATGTATCTTATCAGTAGCTGATGAGAAATTCAGCCTTTGCCTTGAGGTTCCAGACCTGAAACGACATGAAATAAAATTAGTAGTAGTAGCAGTAGTAAAAGGATTTAGCACAAGACTGACGGGGACCTATCAAGAAAAACGAGGAAGTAAAGGTCTTGGGCAGCTGACCAGCAAGTTAAATGTGAAGAGGAGTACAAGACATTTTAACAATTAAATCTTACTTTACAGGCAAAAAAGTATTTCTGAAAAAAGCAATTTGAAATACCCCAAAATATGCGAAATCAGTTAAATTTTTCAAAAATCGGGCGAGCTATGGCCAAAATAAGATTTTAAGTTTACTAATGGATTATTGTTATTTTGGCTCAGTTCATAAAGTTATGAACTGAGACTAAATTACAGAGGTTTGATGGGGCCCGAGCTTGTGCTAATCTGGTCATATCTCTGCCAATTCGTAATAACTTTAACTGATTTTGCAAATTTAGAGGTATTTCATGATGCTCTTTTAGGAAATGGGAACAAATTTCAGAAATTCTAAAAATAGATTTTTGTGACGTCAACACTTGAGAACTCTATCATAACAAATGCACAAAAACGCTTGTCATTTGACTTGGATTTGTTTTCTTTGCAACAAAGAATAAAGATCTATTCCTTTGAATAACTACCCCAGGCAACCTTTAAATTTTTATATTAATTTAAATTAAGTATTTGTGGTGTGCCCATGCTCTTTTGAGGGAGCATCTAAAGATGATGGCATTTTCTCTACACTAGGTTTAAATAGAGCAAGACAAATTAAACAGCAAAGAACATCGTATAAATTTAAACGAAAAGACGGAATGGTTTTTCGCATTTTGAACATTGTCAAGGGGATGCTCATTCAAGAAACCGTTATAAGATGGCAGTATCTAGTGTATTAAATCTCAATGGCACTTACTTTTCGTCTTTAACCAATGATTGCAACACATCATTTCTAGGAAAAAAAGAGCTTCGCTCCAGACCATCCTGATTTGAGTCTGCTACTTCACTTTGCTGGACCTCAGCTCTATTTTTAGTGTTCAATGCACAGGATCTAGTGCCCTGCTGAATACAGATCTTTACTTCTGTACCCAAAACACAAGTCTCTTCCATGTCAGTTGGAAAGTGAGAGGTGCAGTCATCCCTGATGGGTTGCACAGCATACTTTGGGTTGAGTGCTCGCAACTCTTCCAGTGAAAACTCTTGGTTACCAAGGTACACATCAGATTTGCAGTATCGCTCTACAAATTGACATTCATCAATCTGAAATAAAAACAAGAAGAGCATTTAAAACTTTTGCCAAAAATCGATTTTCAATTCTAATCTGGAAATTTTTAGATTTATCTTAGCTTCTTAGCAAAATTGCTGAAAACAATTTTAAAATGAAAATTTGCTGTTCAAAACTTCCAACATAAATCATCTCCCCCCCCCCATAAAAAATGGCAACATTATTTAAAAATGAATCTAACAAGTTACTTGTTGAAAAAAAAGCTTACATATGATAATAATCTCAGCTTGATTTTAATTTTAAAAATCAAACTATTCTCAGCTCAGCAAATGAATGTCTACATATGCCCAAGGTTCAATTTCCTTATCTGCTGTGAACACATGATTGTTTGACAGATTGGTTTTAGTAAGTCTAAGCTTAAAAGCCATGGTGCATGTGCACCTCCGATGGAATCATTAGAGACTTTGTACATATCAACCCAGAATTTTCCTCTTACCATTTCAGCTTGACCCCCTTTTACTGTTCCCAGATATCAAAGGATCAAGAAGTATCAAATATAGATAACTTTCCAATTGTTATTCTGATAAATTAACAGCTGAAACCTTATTGACAGACTGTTACAAAGCTATTAAAGTTGCCACTAATGGGTACCTTTTTCATAGTATCTAATGGATTGATAATTGGTTCTTTGGCAACTTTCTTCGAACTGAGTGGCTTTCTGTCACTCATGACAATTTGCTTTGGTGTGCGATCTGGTTTCATGTCTGCATCTTCATCTTCATGAATCATAAATCCTGGTTGTGAAAGACAGGTGCTTTGTTTGCTAGAAATCTGGAGATTATAAGAGAATCCTTATAGCTGTTAACAAAGTGGCAATTACTAAGTTGAAAGCCAATGGACATGCAAGATGTTTGGCACTAAGAATTAAATCTAATTTTATTTGAGGGAAGAATTCCATGTGGAAAAGAACCTCTAGTATGAAAAGGAAAAATTAACAAAAAGCAAGATTATATGAAGGGTACAATGTTCTGTAGTCAACTGTTTATGGCTAGCAATAGACCCTGCAACAGCACACTTATGATTGAGAAAACATTAAGAATTTGCATCACTAGCCTATATGAGAATGTGTTTTAAATTTCTATTAGAATGAAACTTGTTTCAAGATGATCAAACCTTGGATGAGGTCCATTTGGCAGGTTTACTGGCATTCTCCTTGATAATTTTGGAATTTATCGGTGGTTCTTTCCATTCACCTCTGGCTGCTGGAACCTTTGATTCTGATGCATTTTCATCTTCATACACCACAATTGGCTGGGCCTGTATCTGTTTTTTACTAGTTTGTATTTTGAGACCTGTTGATGTTTTCCCTTTGAAAAATTAAATAAGACATTCAGTGACTGCTCAAAAGCATACATAATTAAACATATCTTTACACAAATAGTCAGAATTAAACAAATCTGGCATCCAGGTTTTTAGTGACCTATTATCTCAATTGATGAAAAATAACATACCTGATTTGGCTTTTATTCGATCATGATCAACTTTTCCGCTTTTAGCATGTTTTAAGGATGCAAGTGATGCTCTTTCCTCACCATCATGCTGGACAAAATCATCTACATCGCCTTTTATTTTTGCAGCAAGCCTCTGCATAAAGGATCTAAAAAAGGCAGTTTCTTAGTGCTAAATTCAGTAGGCTGTCTGAAATATTAAACTATTAAGGGCTCAGTATTCTACATAATTAAAATATCATCATCAACAATGAAACATGGAAATGTGTCTTGATATTTGACAATGGCTAAAGGAGTCTTGTGCACATGAGATAAGTTAAAAAGAAAGTTAGATGGAATAGTTAATTTTGATCTAATGTGATTAAGCAGCAAAAGTTGATGACAATGTTGATATTATTTATCAGTTTACTACTCTCTTGTGAAACAAAATGGGTGATAGGAAGAATAAATCAGACTTTTAAAACATGTATCACCTTGCTTTTGTGAATATACCACATAAATGAACAGGTTGGGTGTATGTTCTACATGCTTGCTCTGTCAGTCTTTCTGTTGGCAGCATCCTGTATTTTGTTCAAATTTTGATGCCTTTGAGGTGGTGCTTTTTTAAAGAGTTGTGCTTTTTTGTGGATGGGCCCTTTCTCTGATCTTTTTTACATTTCACTTAGTTAGATTGTTGACAAAGAATAATTGTTTTCAAGTCCAACAGGGAAGCATAAGCATAAAGTTAACCTGGTTTTCAAAACTCCAGGTGGGTCTTTTTTAACAGGGATCCTTTTACAAAGGTGGGAAATTTTTAGAGGAAGCATGGTGCAGTTGTGCTACCCTTGAGGCATATTGTAGCACATAAACAAAATCCCTAATGCACTTAAAGGAATGATCAAAAGCACTCCAAAGCTGAACTCTTACAATCAACAAGTGATTTTGGTTGTGTCTAGATGCTGTTATACAAATTAATTATGCAGCTTAAAAGCCAGAAATGATCATGCATTTATACTTCATTGACATAAACTTTCACTATAAGGAAATACTGACTCGTGAAGCCTTTGAAGACGAAGCAGGGGCTGGGCATTTCTTGCAATTCCTAACTGGTACACTTCATCAGCTTTTTGATAATTGCCAACACATTCAAGAGCATCAGCCCAGTTCTCAAAGAATATTGTGTGTGAAGATCCAATGCTTTTGTCATGCATATAGTTGAATAGTTCCAAGGGCTCTCGAATAATATCAGCCTTTGCAAAGAATGAGATGACAAAGTTAGCAAAATTTCACCCAGCAGGCATTATCATACTGTGTAAAGGTTCTAACTAAACAAGAATCCAGAGTTACTGAAAATATTTAAACTGGAAAAAATGATTTTAAGACACAAAATTAAAATAGTATAGCTTAAAGTCAAAATTAGATAGAAGTCACAAGAAATATCTATAATACTTACATATTTTACCCAAATCTTAACATATCTTGAATCACTTTTATACTTGTCCTCTTTTTCAAAATGTTGAATACATCTTTCAAGAATTTGTTTAACTTCTAGACTTCCTCCATCTGGTGAATTTTGTTCTGTCCAGATGATGTACCTATAAACAAATATTGATTTTTTTCATTTAGAAATGTCATCTCAAGTATCAGACAGTATACATATATATATAAAGTTCTATTATCATAGATTGAAGAAAGTAAAACTACATGGTTTATCTCTACAAGCCTGTTTCGTGAGTAACTCACTCTTCAGGAGATGTTCTTTGTTTTTTATAAAGTTCTATTATGTATGTATTTAAGGTTCATCTGACGCATAAGAATAATACCTGTGGCACAGTGTAAGTTATTTTGCCACAAGCAAAAGTAAAAATAATATAGGCTTTTAAACTATGCATGGCTGCAAGTAGTTAGTTTTATTCTGAAGTAGTTAACAGTGCTGTTGTTTCATTCGCTACCAGAGCAAGAAAATGCATATAAGTAGGCACTGCAGTACTGACGCCGGGATAACTTTGAGTTGAGGGTAAACTTTTAATAGAATATACTCACTTGTACCAATTTTCTAATGGGTCAGGTCCATCGTTTTTTCTAATAGCTTGTTCGTATCTCCTGCAAAATTAAAAAAATCCCATACTTACGCAAGTGTTTACAATTTTATCGCTGTCTTGAATAATCCCCAAGAAACATTGCAAAAAGCTGAAGTCATTGCAGTGTCCTTTTGAGAAAATATCATTTATAATTTTCAACACTTTTTTATATTCATATTATCAAATATGAGTAGAAAAGCTAGAAATGGATGACAAAGCAAGAAGAATTGTGCGTAATACCGATAGAAGAAGAGTGCATGGCCTACTTACTGCATCTCGCTTGCTCTCTGAAGCATTGACTCTTTTCGTGGCGTAAGTCCAGCTATCAAACTGTTAAAATCGCGACCATCCTTCCTTGGCTGGATGTTCTCTTTTGACAACTCCCACTCTCCTTCCATCGTTGATTCAGTTCACTTTTAGTGGCAAACAAAGCCACAAACAAGGCCTATGCTCTCTCTATACACACGTTTCCTACCTCACCAACTGACACACTGTTCAAATTTCGGCGCGGCAACTAGTTCCCAGGCTCTATAGTTTGTCGGTCTTCATGTCCAGTAGGACGAAAACAAATGATATTCGCAGCGGTGAAAAATGATATTCCCAAGCTGAGAACGTTAATTCGCTGTTTTTCCTAGAACAATTTTTCTTGAATTTCTAGTTATATTCTATTGTATTGTACAACTCGCAAACTAGTATATTTACGGAAAAATGGTAACTTCAAAAAAATATATTTTCCCCTGCTTACTCAAAACCAGGGCCAGTGTCACAGTTGGGTTGGGGGTCATACAATTAAATTTATATGAAATACTGACTGCGGTACATTTTTAAATTCAGATGCCGCGGAGCAGGGGGGTCTGGGGTGCTTTAATCCCCCTACTTTTTGCAAAAAATGCCAAATATTAAGTAATAGACTACCAGTAAGATAAAAGCCTCTATATATAGTGAGTCTGGTACCCAGGGTATAGCCCCCCCCCACACTTTTTTTAGACCCCAACTTTTCTCAACGCTCCGCGGTGCCTGCAATCAATTTTCCAATTTCTTTGATAGCCATGTTTCTCAAAACGTAAATCTTTCCATGCTGACAGGCGACAGCCCATCGAGATAAAATCGCGATTGCGAATAAACTAATAGTAGATGGGATAATCAAACACAATAAACGTCATATGTAACTTTTTGTTGCTGACCACGTTATACAATCATAATTCACAATTCCATTAACGGTTATACTCTGAATAGTGTAAGACGAGATAGTTCTACGTTTAAAACTGATTCTCCAAAGTTTTAAGCAAATATCTAAAAATAATATATAGCATTCAAAATATTCAGTTCTCCTTCGAGCAAATCTGCAAAATCCTAAAAGAGCACAAAAATATTAAAAACGAGAACATAGCGGTATTCTATGAAATTTCTCTAAATTTTTGTTGAATTCTGTATCTAGAAGCTATCTAGTTTGTTATGTTCTTCATCTTCTCCTTTCAGGTCTTTGTTCTCGAAAACGTGTTTAAACCTAGACCACTTTTCCTTATTCGCAGTAATTCCTGACGCAATAAAACATTCATCCCATGTCCTGAGCCTTATCAGCCAGTGCTTGAAATGTATCATCAGCATGTTTTGCCGATGACAATAATGATTTCCCCCAAGAGAAAGTAAAGATGAACATCGAAAAAAAGTAAATAAAAGTAACAGACGAAAAAGTTATGAAAAGTTCGTTATCTATATCTGGGGTTCGTTATTCTGAGAGAATTTGTAAGGAGTTTGTTATGCAGAATGCAAGGGACTAGACATTTAGTTCGTTACACTGGGAAGTTTGTTTTATCCGGGGCTCGTTATATCTGGATTACACTGTCGTTTGCTTGCAGTCTTTTGATATTATTTGATTTTGCTTGAAATATCAGCAAACGCCCCCCCCCCCGATGTATTGATTTTTGCTCTTTTCTCAGACATCAACTTTCTGAGCATGGGGGGGGGGGCGGCGGCTGCTCTTGCCCCTCACTACGCTACTTCCCACGCCCCCTGTTCAGGTGGTGCGGGCCCTGCCTTCTGCCTTGCTGTGAAGGAGCATCACAGATAGCGGCAGATTTTCGTCGACTTGGCGGGAAAGATACAAGGAGTTGCAAATAAAGAGATCTTATTCCTGAAAGACTAAAGAGCTTGATATTAAAATTAATCTCGAGATGAGTTTGGAAAATATCGAAAAAGAGCTGGAAGAAGAGTTTTGTGAGGTTGGGATTGATATTGAGGGAAATTTGGTGATTCTCGAAAGATGTTTGTATTTTTCATTTCTGTTTAGACTCTCTTACGCTGTTGAACATCTTTTAGGCCCATAAAAATTTGTTATTCAAATCTAAGCAAAATTATTAAAATTTATTTCCCTAAGATCAGGCTTTATCTATATTTTTATTTAGCAACGAGGCTCTCATCTTTAAAAAATAATTATTTGGTTTCGTGAGCTTCAAAATTAGAAATGTTTTCTTTATTATCCTACCTTTACAGGTTACTTGGATTTTTTTATCATAAATAGGCTACAATATATTTTGTGAAAAACTGACTTGTAACAATTGGAATTTTTCGACTAAGATGTAGGCTGATAGAAATTGAAAATTTTCACAATTTATTTCAAATATTTAATCCAACAAAAATCCTTGAAAACGCAACTTTTAAAATGGTTAAAAAGGTTTTTGAATAAAATAGTAACACTTTATTCATTGTTGATATAAAGTTTAACTGAAATTAGTGCCCAAAAAACCACAGTTATTTGATAGCATTGATCAAGAAAGACCTTGACTGATGTGCAGCAGGACCCTTATTTTTGTATGGGGGACTGTTTTAATTCAGTAAAATAATTCTTACTACCTAAAAGCAAAATATTGGAAAAAATAACAGGGAAGTAATTGAGTTTTGGAAACAAATTTTAAAAAACATCTTAGAGCTATTTCAATTCCAGTTTACAATTGAAACCAATCACAACATTTAGCCAAGGTTTTGCAACACAGAAATGATGGTCCCTAAAAATTCTTCCACAGGCTCATTTTCACAGCTGTAACAAAAAAATATTTGTTGAATGCAGAATGCAAGTACTCAAGTTTGCTTACAATAATTATCAGAGAGTGACTTGAATTCAAAATTTTCATTGACTAAGAAAAATCTCAAACAAATGATTAGCTGTTTATTATACTAAATGTAAATCTTTAATTTTAGTGCAATCAATGTGTACCTCATACAATCTCAGTGCATCTGACATGCTGGCAAGATGGTTTACGTATGTTGCTACAAAGAATGATTGTGATTTCACGGTTGATGTTTTAGATGACTTTTGTAAGGTAAGCCATGATCTATCCAATTGCTAAAAGACTTTCTATTAGGGATGTACCGAATTAGTATTTTCAGAATCCAGCCACAACCTGATTTACCAGATCTCTTCATAGAATCTGGCCGGAATATCCAGCCATTACCGGATTTTTCTGTCATAAAATAGCTTTGAGATTCTTTGCAAGGAAATACATAGGAAAAAGAATGAAGAGAAAAATGTTATGAATATACCATCCTGTCATGTTTCCCAATGACAAGCACTTGCAATTCAAATCTTAATCCAGGTTAAATACAGGTTAAGTTAACATTGGTTAAACTCTGTGTGATTCACATGGCAAATTTGCTTTTCATTGTGTAAAGTGGGTCTGGGGTGAGCCTGGGTTAAGATCTGATGCTCCTTAATGTATTAACTGTTATAGCTGCAGAGCCTGAGAGGTATATCAACATGTCATGCATACCATGCAAAGAAAGTCCTTTCCTTTGGTGGAAGCAGCACCAAACTACCTTCCCCCACATAATCAAACAAGCCCAACAATATTTGTCTACTCCAGAATCTAGTGTGTATTCAGAGCGGCTTCTTTTGGAGACTGGAAACATCTTCTAAGAAGAGCGATCAAGGCTTCTTCTAAGGGATGTCGAGAAGTTCCCTTTCTTGCATTCGACCTTGGGCGACTTTAACTTTTGAAAAACTGATGTTAGGGGTGCTTTTAACTTTTAGAATTACATTCAAGTTTGTTCTATTGCTTTTAATTTTTGTCTGTTTGTTGCATTTACTTTTTTATAACCGGTTTCTCTAAAAAATTTCTTTCTTCCAATTAAATTCTTGAAAATCCGGCAAATGGCTGGATTTCGGAGACAGATCTGGCCGGAACCGGATTTTCAAAAAATCAGGGATCCGGCACCAGATTATCCGGGCTACCAGATATCGGATACACCCCTACTTTTTATCTTTTCTGTTCTATCTCATGGATACTGCTAATTTGAGCAAATTAAAGCACCTAAAAGAGCCACAAATAAACATTAACCAGTCTCTAAAATTCAATTCGTTTCTAAAATGACACATTATTTTCTTAGATTCTTTATTTTCTTAGAACTGGATTCAGAATTTAAGTTGTTTCATTCATTGTTTCAGTGTGTGACCTTCAGACATCCTGATAATTTGCAAAATACATATTGAATATTTTATCCCCCTGCTCTCCTTGTGATCTGCTCCTTGATGCTTGTTAGATATACCTCTTCTCCTTGTTTCTAGTATGTTGCAATTATCGGACCCAATTCAACCAAAGAGAAAAAGCAATCAAACAAACAGTCAAATCCATATATGTTTGATAAGAAAACATTACAAGCAAAGTATCCTTTCAATTTGTCTAAAATAGACTCCAATTTAATCATGATGCCTTATAAGTTTTTAAATGGATGTTTGATAAGGAAAAACTTTCATGTATGCCTTTTTGTGGCTGTTGAATATCTCTATGGACAGCTATTTCAACTCAGGCTTAAAAGTACATATTACCTCTTATATGGAAGGAGTAATAGCACCTCAAAGTGAATATGGAAGTTTCTACCTACAGACGATTCAATAGGTGCAAACCTGGCTATCTTGTATGGGAAAGGGAAGAACCCAGGGTGGGTGGGGGCTGGTAGAGAATTTAACTTGGAAAGTGAACACAAAGGATCATAACCTCAATATCACATTTATACTTCATGCAAACAAATTAAGAGATCATCAATTAAAGCCTTGGTTTTTATCGATTTCATTTTAACAAAAGCCTTAACCTAAATTTAAGTTTGATAGAACAAGAAGAAGAAGAGGATATGTTACTAGGGTATGCAAATACACCACAGTCAAAGGTAAAATTATTATTGTTATGCTTTCTGCATCATTCACCCAAAATAGATTTCAATTAGATAAACAGTAATGTTTAGCTGGCAAATCACTTTTGGATTTGAAAGTATATTTTAAGCATATTGCATCTTTGAAAAACTTCCTTTTAAAAGAGTTATGAATTCTACATTTACTATAAAAGTCTATTTCAATAAGCATGTCAATAGTTGAATGGAAAGGGGGATCATTTCCTGCTGACTATCCCTTTTTGTCTCAAGCAAAAAATACTTCAACAAAAGTCTAATAACACTTAAGCATGCACCAATTTCTCTTTGGAAAAGGAGACCCAATCTAAAGAAACCTTGACTGCAACCCGAGAATAAGTGTCCTATAGCATCCGTTAAAGCACCATTGTTGCATTATATTACATTTTTTTTCAAAAATTCAAATCAAATATCAATCAAGTTATTGAAGCTACATAAAAGCTCTTTATACATAGATCTAAAGCAGAGGTGGGCAACCTTTTTGGAGACTGGGCCAGATTTTTCAAACCTTTTCTTTAAGCAGGCCAACGGTAATAAGAAAAAAATGCAATAGTTGTAATAAAATAGTTATGATATTAATAAAAAACTTTCATTTAAATTCAATTACACTACAATAACAAACATCTCTATAACATCATCCTCGGAAAATCATCCTTGCCAACCAAGAAAAATTATGATATAATATTTTGCCCACCCCTGATCTAAAGCTTGGGGTAAAATTTCAGACAAATCTATTAATATTCTTTATCTGTATGCCAATTTTTAGATGTTCTCAGTCAGTATGACCTGAAATGAAGCACGCACATTTTATATCGACGATTTTGACTTATTTCCATTATGTTTCTGCTATTAGCATAAGCAGGCGTGCAACTACAGGGGGGGGGTCCTAAGGTATTACAAATGAAGTTTGACTTTCAAAACATCACCATTTAAATCCACCTGTTTACCAAAGTCACTTCATGTATATTTTTCTTCAAATCTCAGTGAAGGGTGTTCTGTTTTAGGGTTCTGGAAAACGCTCGCATACAACTCCTGAAGAAGCAACAAATAAAAGGATTGTATCGCTTGTGCGGAAATCTAATGTTCCGTTCTCGCCAGGGTCCTTTTCTCCTAATACAGGGTTCGTGACATCTTATCATAGTTTTGAATTTTTGTAGATTGTTTTTGAATTTATCTTAAGAAAATCTAACAAGTCGATCATCTGTTTGCTGACTGATAAGCTTTTTGTACTAAAGATGGCTGAAAAAAGAATTTTAAAGACAGGGCAAATATGACATAAAATAGCTGCTTGCTTGCTGTGATAGCAGAAGTTTAATCAAATCACAGATCACCGATGGAATGGCTACAAACAAGATTAAGATGTACTGCGCATGCATTTTTGCTGCCTTTATCATTTAACTGGGTTTGAACAAGATGGTTCCCAGTTCTGACTTTTGCTGCATGCCTAATGTTTTAAACTGATCATTTCAAACCGGTTAACCAGATTGTATTCAATTTCCTTTTGTAACTATGTGTAATGAATAAGTAATAGAAATACTTAGTAATGTATTTTTCTAGTTTTGCAAAGAGAAGGCTCTAGCAGCTCATCTTGTCTCTTCCGGATTCTGGCCCTTGGCATAAACTTTTCTGTCTTATATCTTCAAATTTAGCAGAACCAAATGCAAAGCATTTTCGTGCCTTCTTCAAAATTTTCCGTTACCACTTGAGGCAAATTTATTTCTGTTGTCTCTGATCACGTCTTTTAGAAACATTCAGACTTTATATTTGACCTGTTTTGACAGCAATTCGTCTTTTAGGGTTGCTGCTTCTCCAAAGTATGAAGGAAGACAAAACAAAGGACAAATTGTCGCATCATGTTATTTTTCAGGAGACAACGTGTCGAAATGGCAAGGCACTCGTAAAGGCGTAGAGATAAAGCCATACTGCGAAGAAGCAAACCTAAAAACACCTTATAAATACATGTTTGAAAAGTTATCTGATCGATCATATGGTACGTTGAAATATTTGTTTTAGTATGCATCACTCATTGTAATTGTTCCCATTTCTGTTGCCGCTATATGTTGATACGCTAAACCCTGAAATTGTAACAGGACGGAGTCAAAATGTGCTTCACAAAAAATTCAATTTTATTCAAAGGTGTTCTTTGTAGGTGTCTTCTCCACAAAGTGCGATGTATTCATAGAGAAATTTATTTAAGTTGGGAAGAAATCTGTGATATTCTAAAAAGTTCTGTGATATTCTAAAAAAATGTGTTCATTTGGATAGTAATTGTTCCTTTCGAAATAGAAAGCGTATCTTGTTGTTTTCAAAGCCAACCAATTTCTTAGTGCCACCGTACGACAATTGGTGCTTTGCAAACACAAGGTTGAAGAGATGTATAGAATTCCACCGAAGTACTCAGACAGAAGTTTCAGGATTTACTCAAAAGTTTTCAACTTCAACATTTCATTATCAGTTTATTTTAAATAATTACAAGTGGAACGATAGTGCTAACATAAACGATTAAAAGATTTAAAAAGCATATTTTACATGAAATTATCAGCAAGGAAGAATTAAATACTGAAGGACACCTAGAAATAACTCAGAGGAGCTTTCGAGCTACGCGCCCTAAAGTGAACCGGGTTTTTCAGGAGAACTTCAACGAGTACAATATTCTCTCTCTTTTTCAGTGCTCGATGGCATCATAAAATCTCTTGGCGATTCCATGTCAACTGCTTTTGGTTTGGATGAATTCAAACGCATCACGCATTCTTTACAGGTAGGCCTTTCCCTCTTTTTGTCATGATGATCATTAAAATTCTTTTGATGGAGATCAACGATAGCGTGGGCAGTTGGAAATCTTGCTTTGCTCATTGTCTAACTTGTCCACAAGGTAAAACAAGACGGCTGCTCTATATTGGTGTTTAGTTCTCTACTTTTGATAAAGATGATTTTCAAGTCTCATTCTTTCATCTCAAGATTTTCTGCCTTTTCCTTTCAACGGCTGTGGAAGACTTGTCGAAGGGCCTGTGATACAGCTCCCATTTTAAAATCTATGTCCCAACATTATATTATTGGTTTGTTTAGTAGGATTAAACGGAGTTATGTAATCTAATATTTATTACCCGTCATTGATGTAAGATGATGCTTTTTTTTCCAGTCTAAAACTGTAGACTTAACATTTCTACGACCAATTTCACCGATGAAAATTTGTCAAAATTTCGTATAATTTGTCCTTGCTGCTGTTTTGCTTTCCTGTATATACGGAAATGAACAAGGACGAGAGTGGTCGCCAAACAGACCTTCTACGTGCCATGTAGTTTTCTTGAGAAGCTGAAATCCTCCGAAAGCTGAGGTCCAATGAATAAAAACCTACGTATTGATCTAAATGTCTTCGAACCTTTCCCGTGCTAGATATACTTTCCTCCAAGGCCCCAACTCGACTGGCATGTGGTAAAGTTTACTGAAAAAGGAAGACTTTCCGATTCATTTGACTATAATTGTATTTTCTCATTGCATTGTTTTCATGCAGGAAGAAATAACTTGTGTTGGGAGAATTTGCTGCGATTCGATGGGGAAATTAAACGCCAAATCAATGCTGATTGAGGGTACAAAACGAATCTCAAATGGGGAGCGCGTGAATTTCGATGTTTCAGAAGTTCGCTCCTTTTCTTCCTTTCCAGGTCAGGTAAGTCCACTGAAAGTCAACTGCCAGTGCTTTGGCGGGGATAATTTGTATCTTGAGAGGGCACCACTTTTGCAAGGACACTTATCATGGTGACCAGTCATCAAGAAGTTTATCATTTAATTAGGTTGCATTCTAAGACAATTTCCATAACACAGTGTGAGATTTTGGAATTTTCAACAACGCAGTCCTATAATGGCTTTTACAACAAGAGGGCCAGTGATGTACTTCTTAGGGATAATAGTTTTTATTGATCAGTAACCTACTTTTCCATTTCCAGTTTGTTGGCCCCATAGACCCTGTGTTCTTATGACAACTACATCCTGCCAACCGACACCCCACTTTTCTCGCCGGCGATACTTGTGTATACTGAATTCAATTATTGGCATATATTTTTAGGTTGTTTGTGCAAAAGGTATCAGATCCACGAACAGATTTGTCGTGAAAGAGATTCATGATGTGAGTACCTCAGTTTTTTATTTAGAATCTTCGAAACAATAAGATTACAGATTTTTGCAGTCATTGAATAGGTAGTGATATCAAGGTGAATATTACTTGATAATTATTGTTCCTTTGTATAAGCAAAAGTTTTTTAAGTGAACGGACAATAACATTTAAAAGCGTTGGATATTTACATAAAATTAATATGAACTAGAAGATTTATAGACCGATTTAAAGAAGATCAATCTGCTTCTATGAAGCTATATTTTTCTGTGAGAAAATATCGTATTCTCGACAGGAAACGTAAAAGTATTAGTAAAAACCTTAACAGTTTAGAATTTGTAGCGTTATAAATAACTAAAGATTCAATCTTATCAAAATTTCTTGTGATATTTCTTAGGGTGTAAGGCTGCCATTCCGCTCAACACTTAACAAAGACCAGCCAATCAATAAAGGTATGATCTCATGTTCGCATACGAATCTTGATATAATGCAAATTACTGTTTACCGGTCTGTCATAAAGTTCTCGATACCGTACAGGCAGAGCTGTACACGCTTTTTTGTGCTTAGTACAGGACAGTTCTAAATTGCTACACTAATTTTCACAATTAATGCGATCATCAGGCAAATGTTGAAACTACTCTCTCTATGGTTATTGTTATATTTAATATTTTTATATTTAATATATATATATATAGATGTCATGTAAACTGTGTGAACTAACAATGCAGTATGCACACCTTTGCCTGATCTTTGAAGCAAATCAACGATTTTTTTGAATTTGCAATTTTTGTTAGTTTCCAACGAGTACCGGATCCTGGCTAGTTAATTTTGTCTCTTTTCAGCTGACTTTACCGTTTACGTTGCTTGTGGGCCGTTTGCGACAAGTGACACTTTATCACATTCACCACTTGGAGACTTTCTAAATATCATCGAAACCGAAAGACCTGATGTCTGCATTATGGTATGAAGGCTACACATTTAGAACTTCGATGTTTACAAAAACAACGAGTAAAATTTTGTGTTACACTTTGTTATGCTTTAAGTCGTCTCAATTGTCCCATGTAGAACTGAAAGTGTTATCAATCTTTTTGAACATGCTAATTTCAAAAGATCAGTTGGTTTTTCCATGAAACCCATGTCAAAGAAATGGTCAAAGAAATATTTTACACAAAACTACATAAAGTCTTTGAAAGTAGAACTTCTTGCGACTCCCTAAAGATAAATACTTTAGACTCGAGTTATGATAGTTGACCGTCATCTTAGAGTCACAAAGTTGATTAAGAGCAAGCAATTTTTCTAGATAACGTTGCCACAAGCAGCTTTTTTTACTATAACATTGAACAGATAGACTTTGAATTATGTTACGAATGTTTGTTTATAAAAGATGTTTATTTTAGACGAATTGAAGAGTTCAGAGTCTTCGTGGAGTTTCCCATGAAATTTGACATAATCTTTTCACATCTTGAAAGTTCTATTAGGGGTATAGGCTTGTACTTAGGCACTAAGGCGATCTTCTAAACAAATTGAACAACTTAGTATGATGGGGTATTCTTTTTCAGCTTGGCCCGTTCATTGACAGCAGAATGCCAGCAATAGAGGTAAGTGTGATATTCTCATTTATTCCCTAAGTTTCACTATTTGAAACTTAAACATTATACCGTTATTTTATACCGTTATTTTTACACAGTACAGTTTTTTGGTAATCTGCTTCCCTGTTTATTCAGCAATATTTATTATACTCCCGTTCCAGCCACCAAATTAATCGAAAAATTTCTTAAGATTTAACGAAAATCATTTTACTGTGATCCTGCTTCAAAATACAGCGAAAGACCACCGTATTATAGATTTTATTAGTATGTTAGTGTCAATGATTTTCTAGAAAGCCGAAGTCGACTTTGCTTTCGATGAAAAATTCAAGGAATACAGAGACCTGATTACGAGTTCTGCGATGAGGTTTGGCAATAATTTTCTTTTATTTAAATTGAATGATTGGAATAGATATTAACTGAGATTTTATGTCTGAGATATCTATTTGATTCAAAATAATGTAGCGTGAACGTTTTGAGACATGTCATTTATTCGGTTGTGCTAAGTCGACCTTAAATAAGTTGTTTTAGGTTAACTGGTTTAAACCGAGTTTGTAGAAGTGCTTACAAAACCCAACTGAATGCCTTTCCGGAAGTAAACATAAATTCCACTTTCTGTTGCCAAACAGTCAGTTTGACATATCTAACGTTCACAATATGCTTCATTTTGTTCCAGTGTTGGATCAAAAGTTGTTTTTGTGCCATCACAAAGAGATGCACACCACCATTATGTTTATCCGCAACCTCCGTTTGAATGTGGGCCTAATTATTTTAAAGAGGTAAAAATATAACATGATATTTTTTATGTTTATATTCTCAATTCTAGTTAGTGCTTAAGATAACGTAAAGGCAAAATATGACGTATTCACAATAACCTACATACCTTTGCAGACAAGTCTGTATAGCAAGCCTTTGTTTACCAATACGGAGTTCAGCTCTATTTCTAAAAAGAAATGATATATAACACAATTTAATATTAACATAATTATAGAGCCTGAAATATTCATATTATACATATTTAAGGGTAGGTTGTGCATCCGTCACCAATATTCAACGCATTGGCAAGGTGACCTAAGGTGGCCTAAGGTGGCCTAAGGTGGCCTAAGGTGGCCTAAGTTGGCCCAAAACGTCCTGTTGTTCACTGTTGCCTCGTTAAACCAAACAGGTCACCGCTGCTTTAAAATACTGTGTTCATTTGTCAATGAATTTGAAAATTAATGGCGTTATTTTTTCAAATTAGCCCTCATACAACAAAATTTGAAATTATCTTCGCTTAACCTTTTTTGTCATTTTCCCACGATTATGCTTGTAAGGAGTGTCCGACAAAAACCAATAGTTTTAAAAAGGAACCCATTGTTTCTTTACCTTGAAATATTTTAATTATTTTTGTTTTATCTTTGGTTTCTCAATTCATATAGAACGTAAACTTTGTATCAGACCCCGCAACGTTAAGTTTCAACGACGTGGTTTTTGGGATCACCTCAACTGACATTCTATTTCATCTTGGCTCAGAGGAAGCTTTCTCTTTGTAAGTGTATTATTTGCTATTGCTACCACATAATGGGTTGATGATTAAGTGATTATTCAAACCATGTGATCATGCTTTTGCTTGCCTCTTTCATTTTTACGAAATATGATGATATCCGATTGGCAAGGATTAGCAACTATTTTTATAGCTTTTTTGAACAACAGCGAAAAAACTCAGTGACTTAGTTAAAAAGTATCAAACCATAAAACACATGAATTACACACAAAAATTCCCCTTAGGAATAATATTTTGCTCGCGAAAAAGCCGAATTGCACCCCAAAATACTGGATAGTTGAATTATCATTTACTCAGTTTTCCAAATATTTATCAACAATAAAGAACCAATCCAGGTATTTTACACATTATCGTTTTTTCCTTGATAAATTTAGATTTTTTTATGCTGAAAATAAATCCGAAATAGTTAGAGGCTCCATATCTCGCGTAGTTTTTTATGGTTTAAAATGAAGAAGGTAGAAATATCTCAGAAGGAAGCCATTTATTTACCACTGCAGAATCCTCAGTTTAATTGTTAACGCCAATTATGAGGACGAGGCGGAAATTAGTTTTTGTTTACTGCTTTTCAGCTCGGCTGGGTCATCAGATCGCCTCGGAAGAATCTGCGATCATCTTCTGAAACAGCAGTCGTGAGTAAATTATGTGGTTATATTTGGCAGTTTCCTGTTTTTACATTGCATACTCTCACAAGCTAAAGTTTTACTTGCGATAGTATTTCTCAAACCAGAATCCCATTCCATCATATTCCTGCGTTTATTTACTTGTAAAAATAAAAAACATTTTAAATCCAGTGTGCAAATATTTATCACGGCCGTATTTTGTTTTTTAAGCTCTGTTTTTTGCGGAAACATTCAACTTGACTTCGCTTCTCATTTGACTTCGATTTCCCTAGCATTTATAAAAAGTACTTGCGAACATGTGAAATGAAAATCACAAAAATAGCTTTTGGGAGGCATCACAACTTAGGGTCTGTTAAGATATATGTTTTGTACAAAAAAATGTGGATCTTGAGGATTTTCAGAATGTTTATCAACATATTCTCCAAAATATCTGACAAAAGGTGGCAAAACTAACGGCTAGTATCTTCAAAACTTTTTCCTGGTTGCATTTTCATTTACTACATGTCTGGTGAAACAGAACTTATGGTTTTTATTTAGATACTACCCGCTTCAACCGCCATCTGAAGAGGTCAACATTGATTACCTACATTTCGAGGAACATGCTTTGATGCAAGTTACCCCTGATGTTCTATAGTGCCAAGTGATCTACGCTTCTTCATCAAGGTTTGTCTTGTATCTGGTATTTGTAATTCTTCGCAGATTTTGCAATGTTTATTTCATGATAGTAAAAGAATTAGATGCAAAGAAACTAGATGAATCTGGGATGACCTTTTGGCTGAAGTTGGTGAAATCCAGGTATAAGTGGGTGGTTAAGGCAAGTTAGCCTTTTTACTGTCCTCAAGAGGTGCACAAATTTTTCGCCAAAGATTTCATCAAAGTAACACAAATTCAGACACTCTGACAAGTGTATTGCTTCAAGGGAAGACCTATAGCCAAAAGCCCACGGCTGTTTTCCCCTTGGGCCAAAGGAGAAACTATATCCACCTCACACTCAACATTGAATACGCTGGAGGTTGTAAGACAGTGTGTTATTTATATCTGCGATTCAACTTAAAGATCAGATTCAGTGTGCTTGGCAAATGTTTCTATTCTTACTAATTAGATTTCTTTACATGATCACTTGTTTCTGTTTCATCATTTATTATCCTTAACTTTTCCATTTGACAATGTTCGTGACAATGTTCGTTATTCCTTGACAGAATGTTAATGGATGTCTGTGCATAAACCCTGGAAGACTGGTAAAAGGCCAGACTGGAGGCACATTTGCAAAACTCTACATTAAGCCACACAAAGTAACTAACGAAGATAGTTCGATTGCAATTAGCGAGAGCTCTGCAGAAATCGTCAAAGTCTAACCTTGTAAATAGCAAATGTATTACAATTATTGGAAGAAAGATCGAAGAAGAAAACTATTTTTGTTATAAGCCAGTGAAATTTTTGTGGGTGTCCTTGCTTCTGTTTTTGCAGTTACAAGCTCAAAGGGTGCGTGACGGATAATTCACTACCATTTATTTTCATACTCTTTTCTGACAAAAATCGTTCATGCAGTGGGCTAAAATTGCAGCATATTTTAGAAATATAGAAACAACTACATCAAAATGAAGTAATAGAATATTTGCGTGAAAAAGACAAGTAGAGTGAACAGATCAGAAATCATTTAAATCTGTGGGAGCGTGGACTATGAGACTTTGGGTCTGCCATTCAACGAGAGGCAACTAACGGTTACTAAAACGCAGCTTTTACTGATAATCTCTTTTATTTAGCCTATGATATTAGAAATTCGCTTTGACACTCACAATTTGATTTATATTATGACCAGATTTATATTTATATTTTTGGCACATTTTCACAAAGTTTCAGTGACGTAGATAGGAAAATTCATACAAGGGGCGAGCAATTTAGACACAATCTGATAAACAGTTTTATCTTGTCCTATATTTGTACATAACATAACGACACCAGTACTGAAATAAACAAGATATAAATTCTTATCATTTATTCAAAATTAAGTGTCATATATCATATGAATTGAAGATTGTTCTTGGCCTCTCCTCAAAAAGGCATTTTTAAGCATCACACCTTACTGAAAGAGATTGCCAATCTGATTAAGAACAGAGAAAGACTTCGTTATATTCCGCTTCAAACTCTTTCCTTTTAAAAAACATATTTAAATAAAGATCTATTATTATTATTATTATTATTATTATTATTCTGCATTCCAAAAATAAACTTCTATTGTACCACAGATATGTATTGTCCAAAGTTTCTTGGCACTTCACTGTTGCAGACCTATCGAAGACCTGGGTCATTGAGAACCTCGATAATCTTGTCTCTAAATACATTCGCCAGTGGCTTGATCTTCCCATAAGTGCTACTTTAACTAGTATAGTTCTTTCTAAAAATCAATTTGGTCTCGATCTTCAGCTACCTTCTGTCAAATTCACTCAAAGCCAAACTGTTTCACGCAATGCCCTCCGAACTTTTCCTAACACAAACATTCAAGCTTTATGGAAAAACACCAGTAGTGGGATGAATCTGCAATACGACATTTACCGTAACACCAAAGATGTACTGAAAGCAGTAAAATCAGACAGTAGAGAGCGCTTGGCACATCAATTACTATCCCAGGGTGCTATTATTTCATTTCTGTTGGACCACTCTCTTAAAAAGCTCAATGGTCTTTGGTCTGTTGTGCAGAGCAACCTACCCACAAACATCTTCAACTTCACCATCAAATACCTGAACAATACTCTCCCTACTCGCAAAAATCTAAGCATTTGGAACCTAAGCCAATCATCTGATTGCGAATTCTGCCTTCTTCCCGAAACTTTACTCCATGTCGTTGCAGGCTGCAAGGTTTATCTCGAACAAGGTCGTTATACCTGGCGTCATAATTCTGCTCTAATTTTTTTGCAACCTCCTTGAAAGCAATAGAGGGATCCTCTCTTTTTGCCGATATACCTGGCTTCTCCTCACCATCCATCATAACTGGAGACAATCTGCGCCCAGATCTACTTCTGCGTACAAAGGAAAACATTCTTTATGTTTTGGAACTAACGATAGGATTTGAAACTAACATTAACTGCAATGCAAAAAGGAAACATTTAAAACATGCTCGCCTTGTCTCAGATCCAAGACTAAGGTTCAAATCTGTCATATTTGTAAATCTCTCCATCAGCTCTCTTGGCATCTTCAGCGACTCATGCAGCTCATTCCTTGAAATGTGCGACTCTCTTTCCATCGATGATCAACACAAACGATATCTCATTTCTAAGCTTTCTACGATATCCATGCGTACCACCTATTACATTTTTTGCTGTAGGAACAAAACATGGACTAACCCAGAGCTACTCCCCTTTTAAATTTTTTTTCTTTTCTCTTTACTACGATTGTAATAGTCTTATTTTGTAAAAACAGGCTAGCCAGTTACAAATTACCTTGTAATAGTGAGATTTGTAATTGTAGTTTTAACTGGATTTCAAAATGAAAAGTTTCCATTATTATTATTATTATTATTATTATTATTATTAATACTTTGATTTAAAGTTGGCTGTTCGAAATAGCTAAAAATAAAAGCTAATTAAGGCCAACTATTTACAAAGGTGTATACAAAGGAAATACATAATAATTACAAGAAACCTAAACCATATATAAAAGTTTTGCAAATCCTACAGTTGCAATGTTTGCATTTTGTTTTCTTAAGATGTTTTTTAAAAACAGTCGGAGACTGAAGTTTTCACTTCTATAGGTAATTTTGCCCATATTCTTTGACCCATGAACCTTACGGTATCTGTACCATAGCATGTGGCTCTCACTTTTGGTAGGTTTAAATTGCTCGAGCTTCTTAGTTGATACGGCATTGCCTTTTCCTCAAAAATTTCCATCATAAACGAGGGATTCAAGTGATTCCTTGTTTTGTAAATTTCAACCATGAGCAACTGTAGGTTCTTCTTATGTATAGATACTGTAATATCATTTTCTAACAATTTCTCGTAAGGAGAAGTGTTGTCTTTGTATGCGATTCGAAGGGCCCTTTCCTGTATCCTGTTATCTTGTTTTTAATATTTTTGTCATGGAACATCCAGATTAATAGGCAGTAGCTGAATTGTGACATTATAAAAGTGTTCATCATCAGTTTCATTTATTATAAAGATATTTATTATAAAGATAGACCAACCCTGTCACATTTCCAACAAGATCAGAAATTTTCCGGCAAAATAGCAGTTAAGCTTTACAGGGGGGTTTCTTGCTACCGTTGACCCCTCTGTTCACTCCTCTGCAAAGCTTTATATCGGAGGAATATCATTATTCTTTAAAAAGTTTTCTTCTCAGACCATGTAATTCTCGTTTATTCGATAAGTCTGACCGTAAAAAGGTAAGACAGAGCTTATCATTCTTCGTTACAGTGTTATATTGTTAATAAAATAAGAACGGTGTAAATATTGAGTGGAAAAACAAGGATAAGAATCTTGTGATAAATCTGGATCAATTTGGCCTAATTGTGTGGGACTGGTATCAAGCCAACGCAAGAGAAGCTAAAGGGTGACAGGGTGTTGCACTGGGCGATGCACGGGGCGTCGTGCGGGGCATTGCATTAACCATGTCACCTAGGGCCAAAGAAGGCAACTTTGTACCCCATGCAACCAAAGGCTAAAAATATTGTTTATGGACTAAGGATTACCCAAGGACCACGAGGAAGATTTCTCGAGATGAGATGATGTCATTTTTGATGCCAACCATCAACATATCTTCGTTCCATTCAGATAGAGATTTAGATCTGGCGCAATCCATGACTCTATTTATCTTGAATTGCGAGGGCCTACACATCAAAGTTGTAAGTACTAGCAAACAGTTTACTTAAAACTCCTGCCAAAAATCTTAGAACACTTGGAATTTGCCGATATCTTGCGCAAATCCACCGGCATCCACCTCCCCCCTTACAACAATTTTGATAAACTACAAATAAGCTAAGAGATTACGAAGAACATTCACTCGTGTGACCCGTCTGATTTTTGCCGAAACTATCAGTTCTTGGGAGAAGGACGCTAGTAGTAGTAGTTTTCGGGCAGATGTAAATTGCTTAATGGTGCAAGTAATTTTAGCAGACTCCTGTGAAGCACTACGTGTAGGGCCCTTTGCGAATATTTGGCAGACACAATATTAACTGACAACGGAATGAATTGAGTTACATCAAAGAAACTGCACTGAGCTGAGCAGATAAGTGTAGATACTGGTCTTCGTATAAACATGTTTACAAAAAAAGGTAAAAGAGAGAGATGTGACGAAACAAATTTTCTATTAAACGAAGTCACGTTGATGCTTCCATTACAAAAATTGAAACAGAAAAAGGAAACACGTGGTGCTTGTAAATTAGCTTTGCCGTAGTTAAAAACGATACAAATAACATAGAAGTGTTTTAAGTCAATCAAGGAATAGTCATAGATAACTTACAATAGACGCTATGAAGCGGATATATGTTGTCCAGCCAGGCCCTTAAAACTTTCCATCGCCGAAATATCTCTACAACCGAATTTTCTAAATGCAGATTACTTTAGAAAGCACGGTAACGTTTCGCGGCTGTATTCAAAAGAAAAGTCACTGAGGAGGCGACTCAAACATTCGGAGGTGTGAAGAAAAGATCGCGCACACTTTTTGTAAAAAGACATTGTGAATGCAAACCAAATACAAAGCAAGCAACAAAGGAAGAGCAGGCATCATTTCAAGTTCTTCTTCCTCAATACAATCAATGCATAGACAAGTTAAGTTGTCAGTCAGAAGGGGTCAATTTTAGGCAATGGCATCTCAACAATAACTTGCGTTACCGATTTGTGAAAGATTAGATAGATCTTTTATACAACTTGAAGCACTGCAAAAAGTACTGCTTAAGCAAGAACACACGACTGAAGAGTGCAAAGAGACTAAACCTCCTCAAACTCATCCGAATGTTGTGGCAAACATCTTGACAGAGTACCGTCCCTTATTTATAATTCTTTCTTTAAAATGGCTTTGAAAAAAGCAAACATTTCAGTATACTAAAGCAAACATATAGTTTTGAAATCTATTTAATAAGCACGAAAAACCGCTTTGTGCAGACAAAAGGAGTTCGTTTTCGCCTTAAGATTCCATTGGTAATATTCTCAATAGGCAAGCGGCACAGATCGGGCAACCTCAACAGTCATCTGATCGCGTTACTGATTCGCCTATTTCGGTCCACAACAGGGTAGATTTGTTTCCTAGCGTAGAGTTTTCGATCTATGTTCTGACGTTTCATACTCTGAATAGTGTCAGACGTAAAGCTTTAGCATACTCAAATGTTTGCTTTTTTTAAAGCCATTTTTAAGTTTTGTACCACCAAAAGATTGTTTGAATTCTTTCTTTCTAATTCTTTCTTTCTAAAACTATTTTCTGATGAATTTAGCAAAGGACACCGTTTCTAAAACCACCCATACCCACTTCTTCCCGGGGATGTACCTAGCTATATTTCTACAAATTAATAATAAAATAGCAACATGTGTCTCGGCTATCCATCTTGCAGCAATTCAAATTTACTGGTCTTTGCCGCCGTTTTCAGCGCGGGTTTCCTCTAATTTCAGATTCTCTACATCCTTATTCATGTTCACATTATCAACATCCTTGCTTTGCTCATCTTCTTTTTTTTCAACAACTAGGATACGCTGTTCCATTTCATCCTCCTTGTCGACCCCCGAACCCAGAGTCTCTTTGCCTTCATCCTTTCGCACAGTCTTGTCACCGTGATCTTCTCTTGAGCTGCGTGTTTCCTGTCTTTTCTCCTCCTTTTTCAAACCAGCACCTTTATCTTTTTCTCTTTTCTCATTACCTGCATGATATCATTCCAAAATAAGCACATAAAAACACAACAGACCAAATATCAATATATGTCTTTTTCTAAAAAATTGAACCTCGGTTGTGATTCGAAATAAATTCAAACAATTATGCAACGGTTAAAGGAAAGATTATTCTTCAGAGCTGAAAAATAATATGCGCCACCTACAAATGTTAATTCTCTTTCATAAATACTTGTGTGTTGTTTGTTTTTGTAAAATTTGTAAATGTGTGTTGTTCATTGTTGTTTATTGTTAAAGGTTGCTTAATAATTAACAAAGCCAACATTGCTATATGTTGTCGTAGCAAATTATTTATTTTAATACATTAGAGTTTTACACATGAAAAACAAATTACACATAAGCGAGCAAGATGTGTACTTTTGTCAAAAGCGTCCAGCATCGAGAACAACCGGGTGCGTGATTCTATGCTTGTCAGCTAGTGTTTTCTAATTGCCTTTTTAATAAAGGGATATTGGGAAGATAATATTTGCAACATTGATGGATTAACAATTTTAGAGGGAAACTGGTTTTAATTAAAAGTTCAACAATAAAATCTTCACAAAACATCATACCTGCTTCAACTTGCTTTGACGCTTCATCATCTTTCTGTGTCCTATCCTTGTTTTCTTCCTGGACCATTGCCAAAAGATCGTCTAAATCTGCATCTGGTACATCTCCTAAATCATCGGTTCCTTCTTTGTCTTTTCGTGCACTCTCTTTATTAGTATCGGCTTTCGATTTGTTTCTTTCTTCCTCTTGGAGGATTTCTTCACAAGGGAAGTAAAACTGCAGATACTCTCCATAAATGTTCCAATCACTATTTAAAAATATGCAGAAAATTACCTTGTCCACCTATAAAGAAAATTGAAGTTTTTAAGAAAAGATTATTGCAGGTGCAATACTTTGTACTCGTAGACAATATATTATTTACTTGGATTTGTAGACAGAGAAACAGAGATGAAACCAACATGTCCCATTTAGGAAAAGGCGTCCTTCTTTTCTTGGTATTTATTTTGCTTTTCTTGTAGGTCGTGTATTTAATGTCTAAGTTTTGATTTTAATCTCTGTGTCAAAATGGCCCCGGAGTAGCCTTCTGCTCGTATAGCTTTTGTATCGTATAGTAATTTTGCAATGTAAATCTGTATTGTAATATTTTCGTGAATATAGAAAAAGAGAAGTAGAGACTTCTGTGTGCCACGAAAACGAAATCTAAAATCAACTCATTAACAGGGGCGTACAGCCTTCCTAGTTTTACTACCTTGTGTCAGTAATTAATAAAGTCTTGCTTTTAAATACCTTGTCAGCATTGTCGTCCACTTCCAACCATTTTCTAACAGTATTCAAAGCCACATGTGCTGCATCGGTTGACGGATAGCCTAAGTAGAACAAAGAAAGCTTTACTTATCCTTGCTTACTTAAACTTTACCAAGCTTTACTTAAAAACTCTACTTAACCTTGGCCAAGCAAACACTTGGAATAATGAGCTGGTTATCAGGCTAAGCAACTGTCCGTTTGCTAACCCAAGTAGCCATGGGGGCTATGTTTAATTAAAGTTAAGTTTAAAGAAAGTAAAGCAAATGTATTGTATTTTCTTACCATAAACCCCAGTAGAAATGCAAGGGAAGGCCTAAAAAATTACAGAAAGTAAAATCAGATTTGCATTTCGATGCGAACTTTGAAAAAAAATTTTAAGAAAAAATGATAGCCCAAAACGTGGTTCAACTTCTTTAAAAATATGCTGGGCAGAAAGATCACATATAATTATCTAACAGAACATTAGGCATTAAACAAAACGTTGACCAAATAGATCAGAACCAACAAATATTTATTATCAAGCACCATATGATTTTTACGCTACATAAATATCTGAAAGAGTTTAGAGCTAAAGATGGACTTGAATATTACTTTTTCATTATTCAAATTTGTTACAACTTGAATATATTTCTCATAATACATACAATTGTTCTGATGTTGAATTTTAGGGCCATGTCCAAACAGTTCTGATAACATCTTTCAAGAAATACTGGCTGTTTACCAACTGGGCCAACAGTATGTATGATATCTGAAACACCGTAACAGCTATGATTACAAAAATTTGCTAACTGCTTTCATATTTAATCAGTGGTAGACGTTAATCATAGGGCAAAAATTAGCTGAATTGGACTTTTAAAATGTTTTGTCATTGACCAAATAAACATCAACAAAATATGAGAAAACTACTTACATCTTGCTGGTAAGCGATGACCTAAAAGAAAAGAAAAAATGTTAAACTTGCTTGAACAAATAATATGGTAATATAACAAAATAGTTTGAAGCTAATGAAAATTGAGAAGTAAATATTCAAGAATGGCTTGCTGGAAAAATGTTCTTTTACTGTTTACTTTAAAAAACCAACACTAAGACTAGCATGTAAGTAATTGCAGAAAAACAATTTTGAGAAATTAATGGTCTATGAAAGTTTAAAAACAAAAATGGTGAGATAGTTCTAAACAACTATACTACTGATAAAATTACCTTTGGTCTGCTTAATCTGGTCTACATAACCAAAATATGAGCATGGTCAATACTATCTAATATATACAAACATCTGAGAAATGAATTACAATGTAAACAGCATGTTGCAGAATGAACGTCTTCTAAGCTACAGCTATGCACTTTGCCTGTAAATATTTATTGGCAAACCTGAAGTTATTTTTGCATCACCAGTGTTGCAGCCTTTTAGAGGAATACACTCATTACGAAGGGAGGATCCAGCAGCCCGGTGGATTGCCCCATCAACTAAGAGCAAAAATAAAGATATTGAAATGCAAAATCTGAGTAAAAAATATGACTCTATTCAAGAAACATAAAAAGAGAATCAGAAACAAGACAAAAAATGTTTATTATGTTCAATATTTTATATGTATTTCTTGTTAATACAATAGAAGATGCCAGATTCTTACCTCCTCCTCCACCAAGTAAAGACGAATTAGCTAGGGTGATAGAGCAAAAATGTATTAGATACATTACAAGAAAAACATTTTGTAAAGCGCATCAAAAGTATTCATAAAAAATAGTAAATAGACTAATGCCACAAAAGTCATGATTGGTGAAAAGAACAATATATCATTGAGTTTTAAAAGAGACTCTTAAACCTATCATTGTCCGGTACACTTTATGCCTTGCCTTCTTACCGCCATTAATGGGCAAAAAAATAGTTTTGACTGAAAAAAAGCCACAACATAGAATGGGAAGCATAATAACAAACAATGGTTCACTTTGATTTTGATATAAACAAAATAATAATTAATGGGTACTATGTGATATTCATATATTAAATTTATGGAAATAAATGCACTGTTGATCTCTTTTTTGCTACTTCTCTGATTAGCAATTATAAGACAAAGATTCCCTCCATTAAAAAAGGCAGACAGAAGTTACTTCTTTCAATTCAATGTAGCTAGGGAGGCTTTGCAAATTGCATTATAACAGAAGTGTTCATAAAATAAAAACTTTTGACTTTGTGGCAATAGAAAAACGAGGACAAAGACTTGAAACAATATAACTTACCCGCATTGACTATAGCATCAATTTCAAGAGTTGTAATGTCACCTTGCTTGATTGCTATTTTGTTGTTGAATGATTTGTTGACAGGATAGACAACCTGAGATGCTGGAATCTTTCCTTTCATAAAAGATGGTAAATAGGTACTTCTTTAATCTTATTAAGCATTTGTAAACATCAGCACTTGATGACAAGTATTGCTCTACATAAAGCCCATACAAATCAGCTGATGATTTACAATTGAAAAAACTCGAACTCAACTATTTACACTCTTCAAACTTTTTAAACAACAAATTAACACCAATTCACAATATTAGTGCTTAAAATAACAATTATGATGATAAGTTAAAAGTAGAATTCTTGAAGAGAACTCACAATAATAAGAAGTGCCCCCCCTTTATATCTGCTTAAGGTCCCCTGTATACCATTATGTCAGCTTAAGGTTACTTTCATATTAACATTTTGCAAGTAGAAAAATAATTTTCTTCAATCAGCTTCAAAAATCAGCCCATGACGTACAATAATATTGCCAGAACTTCATAGATGGGGTTCTCATTATATTTGAAAATGCAATCCTAGTGAACTGAGCATTGAATTTCATTGCTGGGAATGCAATGTTTCCAATATCTATATGCTCCAAATTTACTTACAAAACAACATAAAAAGTTACAATGTTAAGGTTGGGAGGGTGCAGCAAATTGCTGCAACAAAAATTTATGCCAAATGGTGTAGCATGATTCAATGGCAAATCATAAATATGTTCTGTTAAGGAAAGCAATTTAACTTTCTATCGATTACTGTCAAAGGCCAAAATACAACCTTTTTTTGCAGGGCCAACCCTGATAAACTAGGGAAAACAGCCATATTTTTCACATTAAAGGTATTTTATTTATAACACTTAATGTTTCGGTATACCCCTGGTATCTCGGTCCTTGATTGCTGTGTAAGAATCTGATATAAGATGAATAAGCACAATACCCCAGGTTGTATTTCATGTTAACTATATGCCGAAGGCAAACTGGGGAATTTGTTTAGGTAGGCCGAAGATAGGAGCAGTTAATAAAGCTGTAAATATTGTATGCCAGGCAAAGAAATTTTGTTAATAGAGAAACTGTTAAAGCAATTTAACTTTCTATCGATTACTGTCAAAGGCCAAAATACAACCTTTTTTTGCAGGGCCAACCCTGATAAACTAGGGAAAACAGCCATATTTTTCACATTAAAGGTATTTTATTTATAACACTTAATGTTTCGGTATACCCCTGGTATCTCGGTCCTTGATTGCTGTGTAAGAATCTGATATAAGATGAATAAGCACAATACCCCAGGTTGTATTTCATGTTAACTATATGCCGAAGGCAAACTGGGGAATTTGTTTAGGTAGGCCGAAGATAGGAGCAGTTAATAAAGCTGTAAATATTGTATGCCAGGCAAAGAAATTTTGTTAATAGAGAAACTGTGGTGTATGTGGTGTAGTCTTTATTTTATTCTTTCTCATGTTTAGTGGCTTCCTGTTTTACGTACACCAAAAACTTTTGTTTTGGTTTGCACAGCAAATGCCAAAAAACCCTCAGTGTACGCCAAAAATTTCTACAGGCCCAAGTCCAATGAAATTCACCCAGGAAAATACCACACTGCAGAATTTGAAGAAATATTTCATGCATTTTCATCAGCTATCAAAAATTAGAAGAAAAACAAAAAAAAATTCATCACTGCAAAACTAAATTTATCTCTAACAAAACTCTTTCAGGGAAACATTACCAAACTAGTCATCACTGTTCTTTATAGAAACCTTTGCAAAGCAGCAAACATCACTCTTACACATTTACCAATGAAGCAAAAGTCAGCGTTCTTTAGCTACAATGGAGATAGTTCTAGCAGCATGGTTTACTTACCTTTGAACCTGAAATGTTCTTTCCGAACCTGCCAAATGGCAGGCCAAACAACTAGCTCATCAGCTTTTTCAAAATTTTTCCCACACCTGTACAACTTTCTTTTCTCATTGATTGGCATTTCTAAGTACATTTTACCATATTCTTCATTGTCTGGGTCACCATAAAACTCTGCAAAAATAGAAGTCAGATTTCTGTTAAAAATAATTGAAGCATCATAATCAAATTAATGCCATTAAAATAAACTACCCTCATAGAACAGGTTTTCCAATCCTAAAACAAATTTTAAAAATAAACTATTATTGTAAATGAAACCAAAGCTAGAGCAATCATTGAATATTGTAGCTGAAAAAGCAGAATTGCAGTCAGTACTGGTGCTTGGTGAGTAGTTAAGAAAAAATTTCAGTGGTGGTTAATAAATTTTAAGAAAATTAAACTTTACAATCATCAGTGAACATAAATCTTGGAAGAAAACATGCCCTATTAAAGGGACAACTAATTTATATGCACAATATATATATAGTATTCAAACTCAGCTGGTATATAAATGTGTTTGTTGGGATATTAAGATTTGCAGTTTATTTGCTGCGAATCTATTAAACAACAGAAAAATTGTATTAAAGTCAATATGCTGTTAAAATCTATTATGCTGTCCTTAGATATTCTCAAGTGTCGACCCCGAACATGGTGGGTGGGTGATTAATCCAACCCTCAGAACCCTAATATTTTTAAATAAACTTGTTAAAAAGGATGAATTACACGGGGATCCAACATTTATTTTGTAAAAAACGGTTTTATTTTGGTTGAAATCTTGCTGTTTTTGACGTTACTTGCTCGTTGCTAGAACAGAGGGAATCCCCATATTCGAAGCCACCTTAGGTCGACACTTAGCCGTGGGAGCCATTATTTGTTTGCGAATCGCAAGATGTCGTGGAAGTATTCTTGAAAATTCTTAGGTAGTTGTGCGATTAAACTGTTCGAAAAACGTTGGAAATTATTCTTGAAAGATAGGAGAACATTTTGATGCATTAATATTGTGCATTGGTTACGGTTTTGTGTTTGCTTATCGATTTTGAAAATTCGACAGGAGCCGTACATATTTGACATGAGCCGTACAGCTCCGGCCCACTATGGCTGATTTGTCCAGCCTTGGCCTCAGCTGTGAACTGGTGTTGTAAAGAAATGACAACAATTTTCATTAGTTTCTTGTTACCTTCTCTAGATTTGACCCTGTCACTTCCCTTCAAAGGAGGCTCTGACTTCGTTCTTGGAATGTTCGGTTTTTTGGAAGTTGCTCTGCTTTCACGTTCATCCATCGTTAAACTTCGTTTCATTCCATAAACACCTTGGACTTCCTCTTCAATTCTTGGAGATACAAGAACAACAGTCCCAATGAAAGCTGCGCGCGCAACCGTACTCGTTTTGGTGAAGGGAAAGTACGTCACCAAAATGTGACGTCACCAAGAACCTTCTTTTAGAATATTTGAATTTTAACCACATATACCACATATCATAAAAGATAATCATGAAATAATTAAAAATATGCAAATTCAGTCAAATATGTCTAAATTCGGTTGAGATATTATTGCCAATAAACGATTTGGAGTTTGCTACGAATCACTGTTATTATGACACAGAAGTTTGATGGGGAAAGAGCCGATATTTATCTCAGCCAATTTGTAACACATTTGACTGATTTTGCACATTTAGAGGTATTTCACGATGCTCTTTCAGGCTATGTGATTCTAATTCAAATTTTTGCGACATCAACACTTAAGAACTCTGTACCTCGTCTGCCCGTTTAACGCCGGCCTTTTTTTAAAGGCGTTAATTTTTTATGACGTAGCGCTTTTAGAAAAGGATTCCAAAACATGCCTTTCTAATCTAGAGAAAGTAGAATGCATCAAAACAGCGAACAGTTACGGCCGCTCAAATTCGTTCGTTTTATCTTTTGTTCCTCTTATATCAAATTCTGTGTCAAAAAGAATCATTTGTGAATTATAACTGAAAAATTACCCTGTTCCGATTACCACATCATCAAGAACGAGCTACAAACTATTTCTATAAGAATACCTAGTTTTTTGCAGAGCCTCAATTTTCGTAAAAAATTCGATCTTGAACCTAAGATTATTCTTAAACAATTCTTGCCGAAAACAAGATTTAAATTCGCCTTGAAAAAAAGATCTAAGAAAAAATGTCAGATACCTCTTGATGTGTTGCTTCGTCATTAACCTAAACCTTAACCTTAACAATAACAGAACAGAAAAATAAATATGGTATTGAAAGATCAAATCTAGTCACAGAGTCACACTGAGTTGATAGCTCACAGAAAGGACGATTTTATTTCATATCATATATAACTAACACGTGAAAGTAACAGTTGTTTTGCTTTGTTAGAAAACCAAGATAAATAAAAATTAAGCCTTGATGAAGCTTGAGCCTGACATTATTCTTCAATTATTCTTCAATTCTAGCGATTTAGAGCCTAAATATTGTTATAGACTATATTCCTAAAAAATGTGTAATTACAAAAATAAAAAATAAAATGAACAAATAGTGATATGAGATCTAATAGCCAAGATTGCATTGTGGTGAAGAATGCCAGCTAAGCGGAATTTTGTTCTCGTCCAGTAGGATGCTTTGTTTGCAAATCTTTTCAGCCAATTAAAGCTGGCCGATGCCAACATGTCCCGGTTTGTTTACCACTTTCTTAATTGCACCCCTAGCAGTGGGGGAATAGCACTAGTTGACTTTAAGGTCACCACGAAAATATACGTAAGATAAATTCAATCAAAGTTAAAAATTTATAATGTTCATAAAAGATTACCGCTGCTTTTGAATGAACAGTGCCTTCATTTTCTTCTGCGCGTAATACAATAGTGCGTAGAACAGTGCGTAATACAGTGCCTTCATTTTCTTCTTGCTTGGTCCGTCAAAAAATACAGTCTCTTTATTTCCGCATCGCAGCACTGATTCTTTGTGATCAGTCGAGAACATTTACACAATATGCGCGTAAGAACGTACGGATCTTCTTGCGTCAAGCTCCAGCAGCTTATTACCTAACTGATGTTTCTTTTGAGAAACTATGTCGTGTATCGATATGAGCATGTCGTGAAATCTTCAAAGTAAAATATGTTATACAAATCATGGCCTAAACGTTACATAATTTCTGATTTCAGGAATCAGAACCTTAGGAAATTTCTCCTATGTTTGTTCTGCTTGACTGTGGAGAAGGGCAATTAAAATGAGATGGAAGAAAGAGCAGCTCGCATAACTGATGAGGATCAACTCAAATGGGACATTGTAATATAACAGATACCTTTGCTTTTTCTTTTTGCGTTACAAGAGTGACAAGTTGGAAATTGAGGAGGCCCAAATTAGTTGCACTGACTAAACTGGGCACCTGTGCAGAAACTCATGAGACGAATCGATCTCATCTAATATTTGTCTAAAATCACGACAGGAAGGAGCTAAGGTTCCCAGATCATACGAAGATGAATATTAGAGAACAGTCCAGGATTCTATTAGGAAGAAACAATTCGAAAAGGATGAGACTGGTAAAAGTCAAGGACATGAACTGAAAAGTGGTTATTGCTTTTGCCCTTCTTGTTCCATGTTGTATCAGCAAAAAGTGTTGATAAAGAAATTAGAAACTCATTCTTTTAACTGCACCTATTCTGTCTAACAAAATTAAATAGGCGAACAAAACAACAACAAACACAATTCAAAATGCTGAATTCCTCCCTTTTATACTAGTTTTAGAATGTAAAAAATAGTCTTAAATAGCGACATTCACTAAATTTGAGACAATTTCCAGTATTTGGTTGATTAATTACTAATAGAATATCTAGGTAAATGTTGAAATTAACAAGAATTTTTTACTGATAAATAATTTTCCAATACCGTATTTACCCAGATAAACATATAGTCAGAGGATACAAAGGATCTAGGCTAAAGGATTCAAGTAAATGATTTAAGGGTCTGTCATATGAAAATCCATCCTTTATGTTGAATATTTTCGAGCGTAATGAACTAACTTATAATCTACGATCAGGTTCACTATTACAACTGCCAAAACCACAACCTACGGCACCAGTTCGTTTGCTTTCAGGGGCAGCATCCTCTGGAACAACCTGCCTGATACTATAAAAGACTCACCGTCTGTTGATAAATTCAAAATACTGATAAAGGAATGGAAGGGTGATAATTGTAAATGTAAAAATTTTCGGTAGAATAACATCAGTGGAAACCCCCTTCGAAGTTTTATTTATGTAAATATTTAATTTTAGTACTAGTATTACTCTGTAAATTTTTCTTTTGTAGATAGATGGTTTAAATTAGCTGTTGTATTTAGCTATTGGGAATACCAACTTTAAATAATGTAATAACGATAATGTAATAGCAGGGTCCAGACTAAAGAAGTGGTCAGCGGGATGATACAGTAAAAATGTAAACGTGCAGCGTTTAGTGGCATGAGGAGAGGTTTTAGGCAATAACCTTATTCTGTTCGAGAACAGACAAACCGAGAAGGATACTACTATTACCAAACGTTAGTTGAATGTATAAGTTCATAAAATGGCCATGCCAATTTCCTGAATAAATCTAGGATGCATTCATCGCATCATTGTTTTCGCTGTAACTTAGGTAGACAGGATAGCCCTACTTTTTGCGAACCTTGTTTCAAATAGAAGATACAATTAATATAAACAATTTCAAACTCTAATTATCCCAGTTTGCGATCAAAACTACCCATAATCATTGCAGTTGCTGATAAAACTACGTATTTATCTGCCGATATTAAAACGTGAATATCTCAATTTTGTTATCATCTGTCATAAGATATTCAATTTATTGATTGCAACTATAAAAATAATGGAATTGCAGCTACCATTCAAATCACCTTTTCGGTAACTTATTATCAACATCATGTAGTTTTCTGTTACGTATTTCTCTAACCATAGTCCAAAGTTCGTCAAACTTTCGCCCAATATCGTTCATCCCTGAACAGTGTTTGACACTCTCAGCAAAAAACGCAATATCGGAAGTTACAAGCCTGCAAGGGAAGTGACAGCTAATAAATGAATGAATGTAGAAAAAAAGATACGTCATGGCAGATGAAAATTCCAACATGCAAAGACCGCGGAGCATATTTCAAATTGAGGGAGCTAAAACGTTTTGGGGGGTTCAAACATGCTAAAAACCAAGAGCAGGACGATATTTGGTATGATTTTAAGTACATTTTGAAAATTACTGGGGGGTCTTGAGGTAGCCCCCCTCCGCTTCCACGGTCCCTGCCAACATGTCAATACTTTTTGTAAACATGGCTCAATCTCTCTTCCAAGGAAAAGAAACCAAGTGGCTTCTCTAATGAGGCCAACCAATAACTGTACAAAAAAATAAGGCCAACAAATGCCAATTCATTGCTAATAACTGGCTTTCAAAAGCAACAAGCGTAGATTTACGATTGCTATCAAAAGCTTTTCATACGCATGAAAAATAGATCACAAAATGTTCTCACGTTCTCACAAAATGTATTAGTAACACAAAACCGAAGTTGCTAGTTGGCACTTACCCACTTTGTGGACTGCCATCGTTCACAATTCCTATAGATGCTAGTTTTTCAGCAAGCATACTCCTGAAAGATCTCCGAATTTCACGAAAAATGGGCTAGAAAAATAAGCACTGCTCCTTAGCCAAGAAGACAAAATTAAGCTAAGCTGCTTAAAATGAAAATATCACAATCAACATGGAAGATAGAAAAAGGCCTCCTTGTTTAAAATAGAAAGGTTGTTTTACCTCCAACTGCTGTTCTTGGAAAACAGATGACAATGTTTCATGTAATTTGAGGATTTGTTTCACAATGGCTCGCATACCGCTGGAAGGCATTGGAGGCCTGGCTTCATACTAAAAAGAAGAACAAAAATCAAAAGACTGAGCTGTTATTGCAAAACTACAGTGGCAATGACAAAGATGATAATGGCGAACTCTGTAACGAAAAGAATGAAAATACACACCTTTTGAAGATGAGCAGAAAAAACCTCTTCCATAAGATTAACAAGTTTGCAAACAATTTCATGTCTGTGATTTCGATAATCCTATCAAAGTAAAGGAGGAAGTTATCTTATTTTTCTGTCGCAGACTCATTATAAAAAGCAAAAATAAAAAACATCATCAACCACTGCTAGTGAATGAAACTGATTTAACTGCAAAGAACAATCGATGAATTTTTCGCTTGCATAATCGATGTACATAGATTGAAATAAAGATAAATTGGAATACAGTTTTCTAATAAAGTAGTCTAGATTTTGCCATATTTTGAAACATGGGATGACCAATGGTTCGTCGATAATTTTGGTCCACCTCTCCTTATCAATTCCACCATGTCACTGGTGAGGCTTCAAAAGTAAAATGAAACTTCGATAACAATGAAGAAAGAAATCAGACCAAGGGTTTAAAGAAAAGTGCAAAAAAGTCGAAAAATCATTCTTAAGAATTAACGCTTATCATTAGTGTTTAAGACTCAGTTGAAAAAGATGAATTGCTTGCCTTCAGGATTTGATCAAACTGCGACAGTAAAACATACTGTTTCGGTGGAACCCTGACTTCGAAATGTGATTTGAAGATAGGAATATGGATTATTATAACTTCTAAACACTGCGCAGCCAAGCCTAAAAATCAAATAAAACCAAAATCAACCAGAACCAAAACTTGACACTTCAAAAATCTAGATTACATTCTATTTTGAGATCGAATCTTTATCTGATTAGCTACTGACATGTTTATCACAAATAAAATGCACTTTCCTACCAGGTCTAGGATTTTTTGCAATTTCTTAGCTCATTGCAACATTTTTTGCTCATTGCAACATTCCTTGCAAAATTTGTTTGTAATATCATCTAGATCCTCTGATACTCCCTTTATCAACCCCTACAAATTCTTCTCGATGCTAAAGTTGGATACGAAATTTTTCCGTAAAGGCTGATGGAAAACACAGAGTAAAGTGGGATCATGTACCTAAATGTTTTGCTGTAATCGTCTTCAGACCGACCGTCTTCAAGGCACCGGCCCCAAGAACCAACTGGCATAATCTTGAATTATAACTCTGTTAGAGAAAGTATAATCATTTAAGTTACCATCAAGCGTAGCTGACACACTCGCAAAGGAAGTTTTTAGAAGACTCTTGCTTAATGAAACCAGGATGGTATCACAATGATGTTTACAAATTTATGCCTGAACAATCTTCAAGAATAAAAGATATAAAACAAATAGTAGATGAATAAAACCTATTCAACGGCAAAGTTCTGGGTACTGCAGTTCAATAGCCAATGTCAAAACAAAAATTAAGCTTCAAAATAGGGTCTCAAGATTCATTTGCTCAGACAATGTTCGAAAATACAATGTTGATAACAACTTGCCTTAAGTATTTCACACAATTTTGTCAGGATTTCAGCAGTCAGAACGGGGGTATCATCGACACATTGACAATATTCTACCACCATCTTCATTACAAGGAGCAAAGTTCTGCAATATTAAATATTAAAATTAAGGAATAGCTGTATTGTTTGTGTTTTGAATTATAGAATTGGCGGAGCAGGTTGGCAGAGACACCTCAAACGCTGCCATCACCAATATCGTTTACATTTGATGATAAAATAATTTACATATTCTGATAAAACCTATATAATGTAATCATCGTCCACTAAGCCAAATATAAACTTTATGATAAAGTCGACTAATTTCCTTGAACACCGAAACCACGTTTGGAGCAACATACTGCACTTGATGCCTGCCAAACAATATACAATAATAAATGCAAAAATTGTCCTTGTATCAATATAAATTCTGTGGCATGTCGTTGGAGCCATTCTACTTTGCAAGGTATAACTTTAAGCTTAAAATAATATTTATAAAATTCTATACAAAGTTAAGAAAGAGCAAAAAGAACAACTAGAAACATTTTGTAATGGAAAATCGTCAGAAAAAAAATACTATACATCGAGCACAACGATGTCACCCTTTGAGTCTATAATCAAAATTTTTACTTTAGCTTTGGGGTGTTGGACGCCTCGTAAAACCTGCAGTAACAATAAACCTCAAGCTATTTCCTTAAATAATGCTCGTCATCAGTTTACTAGCAGCGGAAACAGACGGGAAAATTGTACTGCCCAAAATAACCACAGGGAACCTAGACACACACACACAGAGGATATTTGTTCATTGCAACAACCCGCCATCATGAGACGTTTCTGCCCTGATGAAATTATATCGAGTAAGCATGAATAAGCAAATTAGCAGGAGATTGTTTACTAGTACTTCAGCTGATCACAGAGGTTTGAAGCAGAAAAACGAATGACCTACCCTACGACTACGTAACGTTGATTTTGAGCAACCAAATAACCAGTAGCTTTACCGCTTGCTGTCTGATCTAAAAAACAGAATTCAACCCAATTTTACACATTGATGTTTATAAAAAAACCCAAAAACGAAACTGAACAAATGATTGATGTGAATCAACATCTACGAATCAATCAATACACTGATCTTTCATGCAAACAATTTTTTACTGAAGAATCTCTGGCAACCCTTTCTACTAGTTCCCTCTGGATCAGATCTTTACAAATTGCCTCTGTCTCTACCTCAATATCCTTATTCCTTTCGTTATTCTCAGATAAATTTCACTTTTCTATGGGTTCTCTCCTTTTCATCAGTGCTTTTCACCAATGGGGTTCGGGGCGAAGCACCGGAAAATTTTGCGCTTTTTGCAATTTATTTTTTAATATGGGCCATTTTGGGAACATCTGAGCTAGATATTGATCGTATGTTACGCTTGAACTACGTGCATGGAAATCAAATAAATACACAGGGTATCATGAAAAACAGAACCACATCGAATAGGATGGGGCGGGTGCGGGCAAAACGCACGAGGACAAAATGTCACCGGACAATTGGTCACGGACAAAACTCAATTGACAAAATGCCACTAAGACAAAATATCCTGTCGGTTTTTTCCATAAATCATGCCAGTGTCTCGTCGGTGTTTTTCATTTCCCCGTCGGCTTTCACCGATCACCGGCCGTTATTTCGACCACTGTTCATATAGCCAAACCACCTAAATCCGGCCTCTTCTATTATTCATAATGTTTATAATGTACTGGCTACTCTTGAGAAAGTTATTTTCCGCTTTTGCTCTTGAATTTGCAAGGCATACACCTTTTCATTGCAAATTAGGTACTGGGGTCGTTTATCTTAGAACCGATGTGATTTTACTTGTCGTCTTCTATACTGTCAGCAAATGACCTCTGCTCACTGTATTTACTTTCGGCCTCCTCTTTCCATGGACCCTTGTCACAAAGCATCCTTTCTTTCTTCTTTTCTCCCTATCTCGCTTAACAGTCAATAAATGTCTCTACAATTGGTAGCCTCGTTCTACATTATCTTGAATCGTTACTAAAAGCCTCCTTGATCATGGTCAATGATTAATTCCCGATTAACTTGCGAGCATTGTAACAATGAGCAATTAGTAACAATGTTTGTATGTAAAGATTAGGTGATAATATTCGCAGCAAATGACGATTAATGAAACGATAATTATTGCGATTTTGTCTCTTACTTTTCTTTTGTTGCTTTGGTGATGCTGAGTTTGACTCCATGCCTGTGAACATTGAACAAAAGCACGACATTAAAGAAAGGTACAAGATATTGGAACGTTTATATAAGATGAAATGAAGCACCTTCCAGTGCAAAATATAGACAAACAATCTGCTTTCTTTGAGTACTTACGCCAATTTTGGCAATAGCAAAAACTAATTGATTTCTGTCACATACTGTAGGCGAATTACAAAGCAAAATGAAATAATTACAAAGCAAATAATCAACTAATGAAGAAAACGCACACGTTTCATATTATTAAGCAAGTTTCACTTGCAATAAAGTATCTCTCCCGAATACAGCTGGCGTAACTTGAGCGACATGCCAAATGTATTTTTCAATACTCTGACTTTCACTAAAGCCCTTAGACCTTCACCAAGACCCTGCGAAGGGCCTGTTTATACTGAGTCAAAATACCCGGCTCACCGAGTTACTTCGTATGACAGGGTAGAAACTAAGGCTTTATTATAGGGAGTCGAGTAACTCGCGTCTGACCGAGAGAGCTGGAAGACTCTTGCACGTTGAATTCTTTACTGGATTGTCTACCCATGTAAACACAAGAGTAGTTACGATTTGTATCTCGTGAAAAAGGAAAAACTTTAGCAATATTGAGACTAGCATTTTCATACCTTTAGTTATAGAATCAACAAGTGTCTGAAATTCTACTGGAACATCTGCTTGTTTCCACCTTTCATTGTCTAAAATTAACCTGCAACGATAGTGCAAGAAATTTAGCATGGCTGAACTCCTTAACTTTCCTGGTCTTGAGCTTCTACGATAAAACTTGGGGGGGGGGATGGTTGTCAATGGGCCATGGTTGCGATAGAGTAAAAATTATAAACAAACTTACAGCATGATGTCATTGTGTTTAATGAATTGATGGGGTTAAATTGGACATATATTGAATGTCACGAGCATGCTACTTGATTAAAAGAATGGTTATCGGCTCAAATGACAGAGAACTTATTATTTGTATCCCCAGCAATAACAGTGCAACGAAACACATTATCAGTAGTTTCTTTCTTGTCTCAAGTTACCTGGGGCCTTCCTCGCCCCTAACCTTATTTAAATTTTACACAAAGTGAGGCTAAAACGACATCCACATTTCTACATCTATGATTTTGGGTAAAAATGACAGAGCCTTTTGATTACTATACAATAACATCAAAGGGGGTATAAAGCTCAACAGAATGGGTAACTAAGCTCTGTGTAACTAAGAAATTATGTGCAATCATAACATCGTTTTGGGACAGGTTCAGATGTGAGTTGATAATTTTTTAGCTACAACACCAAAGTCAACATGCTCATAATGAATAAATTTTACCCTAATTTGTTCTTTCTTTCTTCATGAAATTTCTCTACAAATCTCTTTGCTTGAGATAAGAGTGTTCCCCTCAAATTATGACTCTGTCTTCCACAAACTTTTTCGCAGTCTGTCACAAATCCTTCAACAGCCCTCGCCAGTAACACAAAGTCACTGGACGACAATTGGTCTAGAGCGCCACCCTTGGAATAAAATTTGTCAGCTTGATTACAACAAATGATAGTAGGAAAACAATCGTATAGTAGAATATATACCGTACAATTTTGCACATCCAAGAATTTGGTATAAACATCGAAATATAAGAATAATTAATTATTACTTCAGTAAGAGCTTTCGTCCGCTCTGATTTCCTTTGATTTTAATTTATCGCCGAATTTTCAATGGAGCATTTGATCTACTGCAGTTGGTCTCTTCATTTTAAATATCCTAAATTCATGATGCATGGTATAAACCTTTCAAAAAGGGTATTCACCGCAGAAGCATCGATTTTCAAAATCTTCCAGCTAATATCAAAAACAGATGATACAAATATTTGCATACAAAAACCACAGAATTATTGACAACTCATAATTTGCATCAACTCATCTAATAAACAATAGTAACAACACTTAAAGTCTTCAGGTAGGAACATAAGGTAATAGATAGCCGAAAGTATAGATTGTTCTTCTATAAATACCTTTGACCGCATTGTAATTAATTTTGAGCATCGTATTTGGGCCAGCTCACAAGCAGACCATATAAGCTCTTTACTTTCAGTTGAAAGCCTGTTGTATTCTGATGTGGTTATCAAAGTGCAGTCATCGCTGAAAAAGTAAATGACAATTTTTTTATCGAAAGAGAAATAAAACGAATTATCATCAAAATTCTCCTTCCCTTTCTCGCAAAAATTATTAAACAAAGATGATACTTTTACGAGCAGCATAAAATTAAATATGATTATAATCATTTGTTAAAATATGCTAATTCTATCTTATGACATAGCCTATAAATCGTGATTTCAGTGAATATATGGTGGCTATACTTCTGGGCCAAAGAAGATGGGAAAAATGTAAGTTTAAGGAGGTATGATGGGAAAGAGAGATGAAACGGGAAAACAGGTAGAGGATCAAAGAAAAAAAAATTGTAGATGAGTTTAGCAGACAGATGGAGCGTGAGTCGTTAAAACAAACACACATAAAAGAAAATAAGGATAAATTGGCAAAACTGGTAATGATAAAAGCAAGTGAACTATTATTACAGAGATAGCAAACACAGGTACTAGCGGCATTTGTAAGGAATAACTTGCAAATGTAGCGGAGATCGAAGGATAGTAAAACTTGAGTCGCACTTTGTAAGGTTATTAGTTGCAACTGGTACTTCTTGGGATTTCCATCGTTTTAAGAAAAAATATGGGTGGAGCTGATTCTAAGGCTAAATAGTGAGGGTTGAATAAAGAATCTATACCTGGTTGGTACTGTTTCGATGTCATCGAGACTTGCCTCTAGGTCATCCAAATTATGCCCAACAGCAATTGTTAAAACTTTGCAGAGACTTTCGTGAATAAGCTATGTAAAGATAACGTCTTTGGTTAATTATGCACAGAGATTGTATTTTACTCAGAAAATTACTTGTTTAACGCCGCTTATAGAATAAGGAGGGTCGTTAAATAGGATGAGATGAAAAAGAGGGGGCCTAAAACAAGATAAAACACTATTTAGACAGTTTATGTTTATGGTTGAATGTCCCGAATGTCATAGAAATCGAAGCAATCAACGTCTTTCTTACTCAATAGGTATTCTACCTTCTGTTAATAATTTTGAATCCTATTTTTTCTAATTAGCACTCCTATATGCCTCACTTAGCTTAAAGAGAGAGAAACTACCAAGTGATTTGTAAAAAGCATACTCGATTCCGATAATTAGTATCAAGAATCGTAAACCGGCGTACATCGACCTCAAGGCGAAAACTACAGAGCGTCAGCTTTCTTCTTGCTAATGTGACAAATTCTAATAAAGACAGAAAATAAAAAGTCTTGCAGTTGTAGTTGAAATAACTTTTGCCATGCTAAAGACAACTTTTCTAGAGAATGCTGCAATGAATCACTCTGGACTATGCTACAAAGTGCCCTTAAGGTTATACAATGAAAAACTTCGAAGTTCGTTTGTCTAAGCTGCATGGCTACTAAGCTGCAAAAAATTAATCAAAGTTTACCTAGCGTCATGCAGATGACGCGAGTGCAAGTAAAAAGAATAAAATAATTATTTTCATAACGCGATAAACTAAGCTAGAAAATTTGCATAATACTTAAGACTTCTTTAAACAGTTTCTATATAGGGCCAGCATATCACCTTGAAAATGAAAACTATGACAAATTTCTACTTAAAGTATCAAATAGACAACTTTTATAACCAAATGCAAAGCTAAGAAAACCAAGAACGTAAATTTTGCGACCAAATACCTTTATTCTTTTCAACAGCTTTAACGAAACCTCAAACACTTTCTCCATCATAGCGACCCATTCCTGATGCGTGACTGCTCTGATAGCCTCCCCAACTTTCGGACTGAAAGCAAACATCAAAATCAATTTTAATGTTATAAATTTGATATCAGTAACGGATAGATGAAATTTCTTCCAAATCAAACTAAGACTTCTTCCAATGAATTTCCATTCTATTTCAAACAAGTGATTGAAGTTTGCTCAAGACACAGTTGAAATTTGCAATTGAAATGAAGAAATGGTGATGGAAAGTCGAATGAAAATTTATGACAATGAAATAGTTCCAAAAACAAATCAGCTCTCAGATGATGTAGCAGAAACAATTAAGCCGCAACAATGTATATTTTTAAAACTCGCTATGCATTACATAATCCTCATCCGACTCAATTTGTGTTCATTCTTTTCCCCTAACCATCTTTCCCCCCCCCCCCCATTCCTCTTTCTTGACCCAATTGGGATTTTGCAACCACCTCCTTCAAGCTTTCTTTAGTCTTTATGCCAGTTTCTTTTTTTCACCTACCATTCATACACATTCACATTTCCTTCTTTCTCTCCCTTTCTCATTCTTTCCCGCTTTTACTTAACCTTGCCTCAAACTTCACTTTACAATATCTTCTAAATGCCCTCTAAATCCATCTTTCTCAACTCTCTCGGTCCTTTCTATTCCAAATTCATATATCCTTTTCAACATTTTTGTCAGCAAACCCCTCTCAAGTCTTAACTTTCTTCCACCTTTGCAAAAAATTCACATATAAGGCAATTTTACCCTTACCTTTCTTCTTCATTGTCAGGTAGAGTACTTTTACCATACAGACTAGAATATACCTCCTGAAAAGAATAAAAGAAACGACTTTAATTTCTTCTGACTTGGTGAAAGTCCCGCAAACAAAATTCAAGTTAAATTGAAATATTTATATAAAGGCAAAAGGCAAGTCAAAGAGTGAAAACGTACCTCTTTTATCGTTGATTTTATCATAGAATATACCTCGTCCTTATACAAATGCAAGAAACGAAACCGTTTCTGGCGAAGAAGGCCAAGCACAACCGAAAGCAACCGTTCCTGAAAGACAGACAGAAAGAGCTGAATCATCTCAACCCTATAACGAGATAGCGATAGCGAGACTTGGATTATATGGGTTCTTAAAGCAAGTGAAAATGTTGAAAGAGGAAATTAAGAGTTTTTATGATTCTGTACTTAAACTAAAAAATTGACATCGAAAGTTCAACCAACAACAATATCGTCCACCATGCGAGCATCAGTTGCGCCCAGAAGTATTTCTTTCTCGTCTCGTGCACTCTTATTTTGAAGGTAGCAGGAAGGCTTGGTAGGATCTGGATACATCAATGTAAGCCGCCAACCTTTATAAACCGCCCTTGAACACAGCTAAACGTGACAGCAAATAACTTTAAGCCGCGGCTTATAATCGAATAAATACGGTACTCTAATGACCAAGCCAAATTTTTAGATTTCTAAGTTACCGAACGAAACATCATCATGAGGGATTATTAAAAATACCTCTTCATAAAGTCCATTGCCTCCATCAGATCTTGATGGTATGTTGAGATTCGCTGAGGCAAAATCAATAAAATCGGCTTCCATCATTCTTTCAATAACATTTTTCATTTCTGAAAGTTGCGATCCAAGGTGCCTATAAAATAATTGAATGTTGCAAATAACTTCTTCAGATGAATAAAAAGAGATTAAAGACTGCTAGATAAACACATCTAAAATAAAGGTCCCATTTTAGGTAAAATGTAAGCAAATCTTAAAAGTCTAAACAGTTGACGTCATAAATTTGGATTAATGTTGTCTTGGCCTGATTCATAGATTCTAGAACCAAAACTAAATTTAAATAATTTGAAGGGAAAAGAGCATGTGCTCATGAGGCAAGATCTCAGCCAGTTTGTAATATAGTAACTGGTTTTGCACATTTCGGGATATTTTAAAATGCCAATTTAAGTTATTGGGCTCGAACTGAAATTTTTAGCAGCAGATTTCTATGTCGTAATAATTTTCGTAATCTGCATTTATGTGTGCGGTATTGCTCAAAGAAAGAAAAAAATGAAAGATATATCATAAGTCCTCCAATAAGCTACCATAAGCCCTACCTTCAAATAAGCCCACCCCCTGTGGAATAGGCCCCCGCCCTAAAGCAATTCTTGCGAAATAAGATACCACCCTTGAATAGGCCCTTATGGACTGAGGTATTGCCTCCACAACAAAAGGTTTATCCCAATACATATGCATTTTTAAGCATATCAACCAGCCTCGAATAAAGGGAGAAAATTTACCCTTGTACTATTTTTGGCTGCTGCAAAATAGGTCCCAACTTCGAATAAGCACTCCTTGAATAAGCCCCCATTCAAAAACTTTTTTGCGAAATAATAGTAGTACAAATTCACACAGATCATTTTCCAGGATTCTGGGATATTTTTATAAATCAAACAGTAATATCGTGTACAGAATTGTTAAATCTGCTTCGGTGAATCTAATTTTTATCGCAGATTCTATAAACTGTATTGTCTTGTACACTTTCAAAAACATTCACAACTGTCAAAAGGATTGGAAATTATCAAAAAATTTAGGCGTCAACCACCTCTCATAGCAATAGTCGAGGGATATTTTTTCTAGTTATTACTTCTGGGTGGTTCAAAGTTAGATTAGAGAAGAAAACTGCTTACCTGAAACACTGCACCCCTGCTAGCTCTTGCTGCAAAATCTCCAGCGAAGTGTCAATCAAATCTAAGGCACTAAGATAGTCTGATGTCGAGAGCAACACTTGTATTGTTGGTTGTGTCTGGTGAATAGTCGCCATTAACTTCAACTGAAACAGTTTAAGAAAAGAGAGAACTGATTTCTGATTTATAAAAAGGTTAAAACTATGTCAAGGTTAATGCCTCGCCTTTCGAATACCCTTGAGCCTATGCTCCAGATTCTTACCAAATATTAACTTAAATTACAAAGCGTTATTTAAAAAATTATTTTCTGCATTAGGCCGCATCTAAAGAAAGTTTACAATTAACAAAGTAAAGTAGCATTCTGGTATAGTTTAATGAAGTCGTTCTCTTTGAAGAGCAAACTGCTACAAGAGAATTGCCTTATATTCAGGTTTGCTGCAAGTTTTGGTAACATAAAAATACCAAGGCCAAGATTTTAAAACAGTCTTAAGCTCTTTACCTTTTCTTGCACAGCGATACACCTCGATCGAAGTCGAAACAGTCGCATCACACTTAAAGTCTTTTTAATTAATATGTCTTCTATCTTGGTCATTTGAACTCTACAACAAAAAGACAGGAAATAGGATCAACATTATGTGGATATTACACAAATATGCTTAAAAAGGATTATAATGCCATAGGCTTAAACGTGCAAGGAAATAAGTTAACGTAGCAAAGTTGTTTCAGCTTAACGGTAGGGATGCACAATGACAATGTCTGAGAATTGATAGTATATTTGGAAAACTGTCATTGTCGTAAATATCAACCCGATTTGCCATCATTTCTTCGCTTCAGCGTTTAGCTGTATGCTACTCTGGTATTTGTTAATATGACATCTAAGCTAACGCTCAAAATTTCACTGAAAAATTCTATTATTGATTGTAAAACTCTTATGACAACTCTTTGGCGTAAAAAATAAAAAATTCAACCTGGACTGGATCGGAAGCAAATGTCAAGCGTACGTTTTGAAAATCGAATTACCTAAGATGCTGAATGTCAGTGCATGTCTTTGAGACGTCTACTTCGAGTTTGTCATGTGAGGACATGGTTCTAAAGAAATCATCAGAGCGTGATGCAATCTGCTGCGCTAATCTTACTTCCGTCATATCGAGGTAATGAGAAAGCTAGGTAATGAAGAAAAAAAGAATTATTGGTGACAAAGATTTAATAACACAACGCTGTAAACATTATGCATCAACAGGTACATAAAAAACTAAATTCAGTTAACTCTTACTGGGCCTTGCATAGCCTTGTCTGTATGTAAAGAGCTGAGATCAAACAAGAATGGCTTCAGTGGATGTCGCCTTCTGTCACTATAAACAACCGACCACATGATTAAGAGGGCAATGTTTAAACGTTTATAAGTATAGTAACATTTCACATTTAATTTATCAGGCTGGTATAATCAACTTGACTTGATGCTAGAAAAAAAACGCCACAGAAATTTCCACCCATCATACTAATTCTTCGACCGAATAGGTAAATGGTACGACAAACAAATTGGCATAATTACAGTGTTAGACGGCGTGTGGGATGTTTGAAAACAGCTTCCAACACTCACAAGCAGACATCTGAATTAGCACTTATGCATCAGATGATATGTATACCTAGCCTATAAAATTTCATAGGTTCCTCAGTTGCACAAATTGAATGAGCTTTTATGCAACAGACCTTTTCTTGCAGTAGTTTTCTTGACTTCTTTGGTGACATTGGCCTACTTGGATCTTCGTTCTTCCCACTATTTACACTGGACCAGGGAAGAACCTTATGAAAAGTTGAAGGATCTTCAAGTGTAAAATTGGCTTGAAGAAAAATCTAGACAAAGGAGAAGTGGATCAAAACAATGACCAAATTATGAAAACATTAAAGTTCTTAGAGGAGTTTATCTACAACTTGTAACTTACTTCAGTTGAAAGTGTTTTGGTTTAGAAAAAATTTCCCTAAATGATGAAAAGTAACATTTTAGGAATTTGATTTATACACATAAAGAATGCAAATAGGCACACAATTAATAATAACATTTGGGCAGATCTGTGGGACATAATTTTCAAGCATACTAAAAATATTTTGAGACTGCTTTATGGAAATGCTTGTACTTTGCTTAACTAACTCCCAACGTAACTAACTATTTGCTGATACCCTTCAAAGCTATGTTTAGGAGTGCAAGTATAAGAGCAAAATTCAAAACATGGTAAAATTCTTACTTCAGGTATTGCTTCTAAGTCAGTCTGAGGTCCATCTGTGGATACAAAAAGCAGGGATTACACTTTTTTGAGTGCTGAGGCATAAACTTACATTCCTCAACAGATCAGCGGTACATAGCCAGCCGCTGAAACATTGTTGCTATTACAACTCATTTGAAAATCATATCAGCCCAGGTCCCGAGACAATTTACCCTCTGACCCTCCCTCTGTCAACTTCCTTTGGTTCGTCTCCAGGGTATGTGGGTTCTTCTTACCCCCATTTACCCACATCCTGCACCCTATGTTTTATAACCTGCCTTCTTTCAAAACTAAAATCAACAAACTCGACCTCTTTGTCCTCTTTCCTTAGCCCTCCCTTCATAACAGAAAATGTGAGCAAGGGAAATGATCCCCATTACACAAAACTGCGTCCAATGAATGCATGTTGTTACTACCCAGTGACATTTTCCTAAACTACCGTCCTACTGCGTCCTACTTACTAAACTACCCAATGAACCCAAAGGCATGCCACTCACACAATGCCCTTTTTCTGGATGTTCACAAGAGTTATGCAGAATTCATCATAACGGCCACTAAACTAGCTACAAGTTCCCATACATATCACAAAAAGTCTGTCAGTGAAAAATAATTCATTCTTTGGAGGATATTTAAAAAAAAGTCCTTACCAAGATTCTGTTTTCTTGCTAATGATGATGCTGCATAACTAAACCCAACATCTCCTGGATGTATTGTTGGTGACAATATATCTCCTGTTTGCATAAGAGTTCTCTTCAACTTTTGATGCCCCATAAATTTCTTGAAGGAAATATTTGATATAAATGGTTTATCAGAATAAAGAATAAAAATTAAACAAAGTAAAACAGAATGATATTTAAGCAAAATCAAGGCTGCTCACTGTAATTCAGGAAATGATAACATGGAGCAACATGCCTAAAATGGAAAACTTCAACATACCAGGCTTTCGTGGGAAAATTACAGCAGGCGTGCTAACCACTGCACCCCTGAAAACATCCAGGCGTGTGATGGCGTGTGACATTTTTTCACAAAACTTTTTGGTAATTATGATAGATCTACAGAGAAATTGCCAACACGAAAATGATGACAGTAATAATTTGATGAAATTTATTTTGCTGAATTCATACCATGACTACTTACATTATAGCAACTGAGCAATTTTCTAAACAAGTATAAACTGAGCTTATTCAATACATCAACAAAAAACGGCACTACAAGTACAGCAATATGTTTGCCATGTCGTAAGCAGGTTTCATTCGTAGGAGCCAAATTCATATTGGGGGGCTGCCGATTGTTTCCTTTCTAATTCAGTACACTGTTATAAAGGAAACATACAACAGTTTGACAATTATTGGGGGGGTCCAGCCCCCCAGCCCCCGGTTCCGACGGGCCTGTAGAGTCATTGATGCTGTGGCGTTCATCTGGTTCTAATGGCCGTTTTTGCGTGTAAATCCTTGCACCGAGGGCCCTCTATTATCAAGCATGACAGCTATTTTACGAATCTCACTGGCCAGATGCATGAAAGATAATGATGGCCCATTTTTCATTAAACCAAATTTCGCTAAATCTAGATTTAAAGCATGGCGATATCTAAAGAGGGGGCTGTAGGAGGAAGCGAAATCCGCTAATAATCTGCTATTTTTTATCGCATCATTGGCAAATCGGCCAATTTTTATCACATAATCGGCTGCTTTCGCTAAAATTGTGATCGAAAATGAAAATCTTGTTCAAAACACTAAATGTTCATCTTAAAATTCGGGGATAAAAATGTCTGTTATAGTCTTCTGCGTTTGAATTTGTTCAATGAAATGCCATTAAGCCTTGAAAAGGTGCAAACGTTCGCACAAATCTCTTCTCCTTTTTTGCATCATTAAAAGTGCATGTTTGCCAATGTATGTTTTGTCGCTGACAATAATGATTCCACCGAGAAGGTTCGTTAATATACGAAAATTCGTTATATACGGGAGTAGTTATACCGAGAGAAGTTGTGCGGAGGCAGAAATCAAGGGGCATATATCTCTTGTCATGCCGGAAAATTAATTATACTTGTAACCAGGTCAGGTTTCATAATATCGGGATTCCACTGTAGATTAGTCCTATGGTTATTCAAAATTTTTTATTCAATCTGCAATCCTGATAAGGTGTTATAAGCCTTTTTGAAGTGGCATGAAGTAATTGTACCAAGGAAGGATAAATATATTAACTCATCTCAAAAACACACAAAACCAATAATTATGAATTTTGCTCCGATAATAAAAGAAGGCGTGCGATGTTTTGCACTCCTGGAAAGCGGTAGGCGTGCGCCAGGGCGTGTGCGTGCGATCGCACGCCTTTCCGACGAAAGCCTGCATACCAAAACTTTGATAAAAATATTTTCTGCTCTGTGATAAGAAGACTAAATATGTTTTCCACTGAATTATTGAGAATTATTACATAATGATACATTGCATTAAACTGAAAATATAATATTTCCACTGTTTTAAAGATGAGCTTAAATTGTGCTTTGAAGCAGATCAAAGCACAGAATATACATTTCTAGATCATAGTGTATGCTGTCTTTTAAAATGCTTAGCTCTTTTTCTCACCTTCTTCCAATGCGATAACAATGGTTGTGTTATATTTTTTGCTCTGAAAGCCCCATATGCAGGTGCAAAATATTAGCCATAAGTGATTTATGTGTTTGTTGTTTTTCATTCTTGTTGCTCATCAGTGTTACTTATTCACTATGTTATAACACTGGTTGTTTGGTGGGATTAATTTTTAATATAAAATGTGGCAATGCTTCAGAATGGTGCATAGAGACAGAGATGCATTGTAAATATTAGACAAATAGAGACAAAGTGACAGAAAAGTGCAAAAACAAAAAGTTCAAAATTAACCTGCCATAAATAAATGAAACTTACCACCATTTAAATAAACAGATTTGGTTAGTGCAAATTCATTACCTAGGATCATTGATAACTACAGTGTACAAAAAATTGAGATTTACATCCCTTACTGTATTCAATGCAAAAAAATGATTTAATATGTGAGAAAAATCACTTACAAATTCCATTCTTTTGATATAGCCATCAAAGTACACTTTTGGGATGTTTGGCAACAATGTAAGTGGAACAACCTCCTGTGGGACAAAGCTCTCTCCCCATAATTGTGTAAAAAGATATATGTGGCGACCATGCCTTCTTGGGTCATTCAGTGCACTTGAAAGGTTTTGTGAGGAATATTTTGTCCATGTCTTTACATCATCCACTTTAAACTTTGGTATTTTTGGCTTTGCAATCATTGAGCTTGACTGTTGAGTTTGAACTTGACTTGGATCCACTCGACCTTCAAAGAGACAGATGTTATTATTGAATACTTCTAAAAAAAACATTAAACTTTATCAAAACATATTTGTAGTTTAATTGGTAACTGGAAGAGTCAAGTGGTCGTGACTGGAAGAGGCATGGTGTGAATTTTGATTTGATACGAAGCATTGAACGACCAATGAATAAAATGAAAATCTCTGTTTTTTGTCAAGTTTACTTATTTTAGCATCAGTGAAAATTTGGGGGGGGCTAAATTGAGAGAGGGGCTAATTAAATTTTTTATTCTGAAAAGGAGGGCTTATAAGAGAAGGGGCTTAATTGGGAGGGGGGCTTATTTGGGAGGGGGGCTAGAATGAGAATTTACGGTATACTAAAAAAATTAGCCCTATTTACATGATTGGACAATTTCACAATAACATGGTTGCAAATTGTTATACCAGGGTGTTGCTTTATTTTTCAGAGATTAAAATATAACTATTTGTGAGTTTCAAACATCTTACCATCTAGATAAACATGGACCTTTTCAACATGATCTTCGTAGTCTTTGCTGTTCACACCCTCTAATGGAAGTGACTGACAAACCCCATGTTTTCCATAGTGACAAACAAAAGATCCTCCTTCCTTTGAACAGTGGAATTGCCTGAGATGCCTTCTAAATTCGGCAGTAGTGCTGAAAATATACTTATCTTGGCAGACAAGGCAAAATTGCCAAGGATTATTTGCAACAGCATCTGCCATTCGCAACATGGTTGGCAATTTGATTAAATTCCTCTCACATGTCAGTTCACTTTATATAAACTGTGCCCACAGAAATTCACCAGCTTCGTCCGAAATGTTTTTGAAATTCACTTACATAATACATAATAGGCTATTAAATAGCGTGTTGTTCTTTTCGAACAGTCTTGAATCATACCTGGCAAACGGACTTATCAAAAACATTTATGCCAAGTTAACTTCTAGATTTATAAATTGTCCATGTCAAGTGCTTTTGGCTTCGGTTATAACTGGCTTTTAATACGGGCTTTATCGAGCAAAACAAAATCCTTCCTGGGGTCAATTTGAAATAAGATTTAGTAGCTTGATGTGTAATATATCTTGAATATTATAGATAAATCAAAGCATTTAAATGCATGAAAAAGTTCCTGTTCTTTTCCTTTCCAAATGTTCAAAGTAAGCACTTCAGTGACCACCAAATCAGTTGCTTCTTGGATTACAAAATCAAACCATGTTGACACCATTTGGAAATGGCCAACTAAACAAATCCATACCTGGTTTGATTACGAGGTCTTCATCCGAACGAGACAGCTTGGCCTGAGAGAAGTCGAAGATAGAACATCGTTTATAAATTTGATGTATATTGTCACCTTTTGAAGGACTTTTTAAGTTTTTAACAAACAATGGCTAAGCAGCTTTCTGGGGTGCTGAAAATGTACATTGCAGCCGGAAAGGCGGCACCTTCACCGCCACTTGGGCCTGCATTAGGACAGGTAAACCTTTTCCACTCTACTTGGCTTTTCACATCATCGTCATAATCTAAATAGGCTGGAAAAAATATAGCTTATTTACAGCCAATTTTATATTTTATTAAAATAACAATCTGATTGAAATTGAAAATTATTAGCCTCCAGTTTCCAGATAATAGAGTATGTATGGCTAATTTTGTCACAAACGTTTGTGCACCAACAGGCCTGCACCTCAGGTATTTTTGTGCAAAATCCACACGAAGATGCCAGGTGTGTCAGCACAATAAATCTTTCCAGAATTATATTCAATTTTATACTTTTAGGTGCGCCCTGGAAGCTACTGCCCCTGCATCTTCGGTGCATCATTATTGTCATGCTCTGGAATTTTTATTTGTAGCTGTGTATTTAGGAGCTTTTTAATGAACTGATAAAACTAGCAAAAACCAATGCAACCGTATTTCATTTTTTCATAGAGAGGAGTAAACATTATGCAATTTTGTAAAGACTTCAATGAAAAGACTAAAGATATCAAGCCAGGGATTCCCATACCAACAAAAATAATATACAAGGTAACTTTTTGCTTGAAAGTACGGCTCCTGTTGTGATTTATAAAACCAGATGGCTACAACGGTAAACCAGGTGCCTATCATATCAAGTGTAACAATATGTCAATCATGTGCTGTATTGAATCAATTTCAGCTAGTTTGATCCTTGTGTTTTTCATTTCAGCTTCTGCATTTTCATGTGCCATTCTGCAAGAAATATGAGATGTTAACCCAATTAAAATCTAAAAAAATTTTTTTCCATAAAAAGTTTTCTTTGAAAAAAATTAAACAGAAAACAATTGCGCACTTGGTTTGTTTTGTTCTCAGGTTTCAACTCTGAAGTTTACCGTTGTCAAAATGGATTTCATACTTCTAGATTTATATTTGCACTATATTTATTGATGATATTTTAAATTAGTTGTTTTTAATAAGCTTGAGTATGCATAGCTAAAAATTGTACCTGACATTGTAGAAAAAAATCTGACAATTGTTCAAAAATCTTTCAAGGGAGTCACAGCTGATCTTGTTTCAAATAGATTGTTATTAGTTGATATTCTATTTGTCAAGCTCAAAAGGACCCCTTAGACAATCTTTGAAGTAACCTCACTAAATCAGATGACTTTGATTGAGAGGCCTACCCTTGGTTTCGCGATTTAAGGTTTTTTGATGTCTCACATTATATTCAACAGGATAGAAACTACACATTTGAAACTTCAACACCACCAACAAGCTATTTTCTGAAGAAGGCTGCAAATATTGAAAAGGGTGCTGGTAAGCCAGGTATGTTGTTCAAGTTGCATGACTCAAAAAAAATGATAAACAAATTGAACCTTTTAATTTGATTTCATTGTCACATACCATTAAACTAGGCACAGTGTTATATTTGTTGATACACTATTATATTTCAATGTTATATTTTGATCCAAAGAGCCAGTAAATGTTAATACCATATAAATTTGATTGTAGGAAAAGAAGTTGCTGGAGAAGTCACATTAAAGCACATATATGAAATTGCTTGTGTCAAGAAAAAGGACAATGCCATGAAAAATTTTCCTTTAGAGGCAGTGTGTAGAATAATAATTGGATCTGCAAGAAGTATAGGAATTAAAGTTGTTCCAGGAAGAACAGAAAATTGACCCGTACAAAGGAAAATATTTTTTTATTGTTATGTTTGGAGTATAAGTTTTAGGTGTGAATAAAACCAAGGTGCAAAACCTGCGTTTAACGTCCAGATAAACTTATTTCCGTTTATTAGGGTATTGTCCAAATCTATGTTGCTTGGAAACTGTTTGCTACATAGATAACTTTTAATCAAAAAGCATTGTTTTGGTTGGACAATATTTTCTTATTAGCCTCAGAAAGAAACAAACCTAAGATGCCAACCAATGTGAAAATATCAACATGAAAAATCTGAACACAGCATAATATTTTGTTTCACTTTTACATTCTAGAGAAACATGTAGAGAAATACTGTTTGAATAGGTAACAAGTTTGCTGGGACCAGCATATCAATTGTTTTGGACCGCGAAGCACCATTAAGTCTTCATCAACCCCATTTATATGCTTTAGTGTGTAGATCACTTGAACTCACAGACCAAAGTTGATGCAACTCTGTTAATGCAGTATCAAACACTATACAACAGACTAGTTAGAAGTATATTTCATTAGATAAAAAATAATTCATTTTGGTGTTTCGATAGCTACAATTTTAAAATCGTCTGCTGCAATAACTTCAGTAGCAAAGTTTTCTTTGGCTTGTTGCAGTAGTTTGGAAACTGAAACTTCATCTCCTTTCAACACAGAGTCTATGGGTCTATACCTCTGACTAAAGTGACTAATAATAAGCTTCTTTGCTCCAATTCTGGTAGCAAACTTGCCAGCCATACCTAAAAAAATGAAAATAAGTGCAAAAATTACATTATCCACTAAAATTCCTCTAGAAATATTGGATTGAGATATTGTCTTTATGAACTATGAGATTCTTGGCATGACTAAAAAAGATATATTGTGCTGGAGTCTCAGAGTTAAAATATTCCCTTCAAGGGTGGTACATATTAGCCTTTAGAGGATGAAAAGTCAATTTGTTCAGGGAATTATACCTTCTCACTTGCCTTTTATTACCCCTGCTTGAGCATTTAGTAGCAAACAAATTTAATGTTTTATACCTGGTGTTGAGTGTCCTCTTTCAATAGCTAGATCCTCCATCTCATTTTCAACAGTTGTTTCGTGTACTAATACATCTACTTTGTCAATTTTGCCAATCAGGCTATCTGAATTTGCAGTATCTCCAAGAAGTATTATAATTCTACCCTTCCTGGGAGGCCCAAGAAGACTTGAAGGTTCCAAAACTGTACCATCTTCCAAAGTAACACTTTCCCCCTTCTTTATTTTACCATAAATGGGCCCTGGAGCAACTCCTTTTGATTTTAATAAAGCTGGATCCAGTTTCCCAGGTAGATCGTCTTCAGTAATAACATAGCCAACAGAAAAAATTGCGTGTACTAATGGAAATGCCTCCACAGAAAAGTTGCCTGATTTACAAACTCTCCAGCTTCCTCTGTCAGAATTTTTTGAGATGACTTCTGGCGTGTCCTTTTCGTTCGGATGGAGAGTAGTATGTACTGGAGTACCAGTGTCCCCATGTTCCAAAATTTCGTGTACAAAGTACTTATATCCAAGCTGAGAGCACGAAACATTTAAAGATATCCTGAGATATTCTGCAAGCCCTTTTGGACCATAAATATCTATTACTTTGTCTTCTGGGATATTGTTTTGACTGATCGTACACATAAGCCCCGGGAGTCCAAACAAGTGGTCCCCATGCAAATGAGTGATAAAAATCTTTGTAATCCTTCCAGGTTTAATCTCGCTTCTTTGTAATTGTATTTGCGACCCTTCTCCACAATCAAATAGCCAAACACCTGCGGTTTCACTTCTAAAAGCTACACAAGAAGCCCCTCGTTTTGGACTTGGATAACATGATCCAGTTCCTAGAAAATGAAGCTCCATCGTCATTGTCAATCGTAGCCCCCATGAACTGGTGGTGTTTATTGTTTATTGCAGCCTGCCGGGTTTACATTCTAAGATGCACCCATTATACAAGAACCTCTCTTTGAAACAGAAATTATGCTTCCCTCTGCTGATTTGTAAAATATTACTTCCGCGACTGCTAAACATGGCACAAGAAGAATTTCAAGAATTTTTTTTCTTTTCCAAGAAATCGAACAAAAGGATCCGTATCCCTGAAGGTGAAACTGTAATTGGGCGGGGCACATTTCTAAATGTAAGTGACTCATTCTGAATATTTTCGAATGGGCCGAAATGAATCTAAATACAATATTAGGATTTGACAATCAGTCAATTAAATCCCACAAAGTTGTTTAAGCAATCAGTATAAAGTGTTACCAAATGCGGTAAAAACATTAAATGAGCCATTAAACTTTTTTTCACAAGCAAAAGTTCATTGTTAAATTTTATTGAGCATGTAAAACATGCCATCACGTCGCCATGTTAAACAAATTTATAACATAACACAATATTAAACAATCAGTATAAATAACAAACACTATAGGCCTTTTGATTGAAAATGATGAATCGTCAATTAAAAATAGTCTACTAACACAATGTTTTGAAATAAATTTGATCAAATATAGCTAATCTCAATAGACCATAAATCTTTGGTGTATATACCACAAATTTTTGATGTATTCACTGTATAATTTCAAAAGAGAAACATTTGAAAACACATTTTGGAAAAACATCAACTTGAAAAACATTTGCTTTACTTTTTTTCTCCTAGCTCCCCTAAGAACAATTAAGAGTAGGCCAAGTATTGAGTAAGAAGTATTTTAATAATAAACTGCCCACAAACTGGGAAATTATTGATGATTCTTTTACATCAAAAACATCATATTTTATACTCAAAAGCAAGAGCCTACTCCCAGTTTTTAAATAACCCAATTTGCTGACTTTTTATTTCAGCTATTCAATATGATTTTAATTTTTCAGATAAAAGATATGAAAGTGTCAAGGTCACATGCCATAATCTCTCTTCATGAGAAAAAGCTGAAGATCAAGCCTGTAAGCTGGAGCTTGATACCTTCTAATTTTCTTATGCTTTGTAGCCTGCACATGATCTTGAACCAAAACGCTCAGTAGTTTTTTGAATTTCATATTAGTGGTGATAGAATGGAGTTACCTTCTTGGAATGCTAGTTATTAGAAATATTTGCTTTTCTAATATATTTTCAGCCAGTATATTATTTTTTCTTTATTTCATTAACACATTGAAAATATTCTTTTTTTTGATTCTGTGTGAAAAAGTGTATTGCTTGGAGGGCTTTGGCACTAAACATGGATTGGTATTACCAAAAGGTGACAAATTTGAACTTCTTGGTATTGTCTTGAAATATTTTATGAGAGCTTCTTGCTCTTTCCACAGGACTTCATTTCTGCTCATATATAAAGTTAAAGCAATCTTTTCTGAATATCACTGATAAGATTGGTGTAGTTTGAAATTCAGTCTAAAAGGGGGAATCATAAAAATCAAAATCTACTATGTGCAATCCTTGACCCCTGACTTCTATTTCTATTTACATAATAGACTTGTGATTTGTCTAATTGTAGATATTATTTAGTAAGTTAGTTCTATTGTTTTCTTAGATGTCCTCAAACCCTACATTTTATTGGAATGACAACAAAAAACTACAACTTCAGAAAGATACTTGGAAAACTCTAGACTGTGGTGATATCATATCATTCCTTCCAGAAGATTTCATCTTTACGATTGAGGGAGATAACACCACGAAAAGATGCAATGGTAATGATGTGACAATAAACTCTGAAATTAATCAAGATGTATCTCTTGAGAGTAATAGTGATGAGAAAGAAAGTAAAGATGGACAGCTAACTTGCAAACAAGTACCAGATGAGCCCAATGACCCAAAATCAGTTGATGTTTCAGACTCAGAGGAATTTTACAAAATACCTGAGATGAGGTTAACATGCTTATTATTATGTCTGGTTTGGTATTGTTATGAGAATCGTAACCAAACTGTATGCTCTTTAATGACAGATTGTCAATATGAAAAAGAATTTGATCAAAGGCAACAGTTCATTTGCCTAAGTTTAGGTTTAGCTGCACACCACCACTCCCTTTGCCATCGTTGTTCTCCCTTATTATTTCTGTTGTCTATGTTATACTTTCTATTGATCACCCCTTCTCAAATCTATGGAATCACACAAAATATTTCTAGGATTTGTAAGTCTGGCCATATTCTAGATGCCCACCATCGATTATTATGCACATCTGTCCACAAAACCAAAGTTTTAAAAAGTGTTTATTTTCTTTATAGCATGAACAAATACTCTAGATGTACAGACTACAAATTATTGAATAGCAGCACTGTCTGCTAGTACAATTGACTTTATTTTTATTCTTATAACACATGTTTTCTTCTTCAAAGGTGTGATAGTTTAAAATCAAACAATGATGATTTAATAGATGAAGAAGGAGTAGCTGACAACATCACCTTTGAAGCAAAGACTCCAACGAAAGATGAAGAACCACAAGAACAAGAGAAAAGTATCTAGCTTCAATTCCTCTCATTTTTGAAAAGTGATGGATACTATCAAGATGCCTTGCCTGACAACTGTGCCATTATGGAGTGAAATGTGAATGCACCAGAAATATATGAAGCAGAAGCACCCCCTTCCACCCCAATAAATTCCCAAATAATACTGTTACACACCTACTAAGTTATTTTTGCACTTAGCTTTCTTTCTCTGGGTGTATTCCCAGAGGCTGAATATTTCCCATCCCTAATGGCATGCAGCATTTTTATCCTTCTTCTTTCCTTTGCCCCTTTACAATTTATTCTGACATCCATTACTATTTTCAACCAGTTCTCATTTCAACATGCCCCCTCCCCCTGTTCTCGGCAGGATCAGTTTTGTACTTCGTCTAAATTCGATGAGAAAATATTGGGGTAGGTGCAATATTTTGGCAACATAGTTTTGTGATGTAATCTTATGACTTGAAGCTGCCTTAAAGTAACCAAAGTTGGTAAATAGCGTTTCCTTTTGGTAAAATTGGTGCTCCTTATTGGTTAAGGGGCGTTTTCCGACAGTAAAAAGGGCGTGGGCAAAAAGTTTTTGTTTTGTCCCTCCCAGAGCCTAGTGGCTGGCGCCGCCCCTGGCAGCAGGTATCCCTTGCGTACTCCTCGTCCGACTATGCTGAATTCCAGTCCACATCTTGCTACTTCGATTCGCCGATTCTGGCCTTTGATTTATTGCAGACCTTAGCATGTGATCATATTCAGTGAGTGTGTAATGTGAAATTAGGTCATTTTTTGCAAGGAATAGCCAGCCTGATAGTTCCATCGTTGCTCTCCTTTGCAGTGGAAATTAAAGTCTACACGCTGGCTAGAACAGACTAACTATGCCATTTCAAATTAACAATGACAAATGGAGGTATCGAGGAAGTTACATTGCGGCCTTTATAAGAAGATAGTTACATTCAAAAGGGTTTATAAGAAACTTGAACTTTTTAAAGATGAAATGTAGAGTTCTCCTTGATAGAGTTCGCTGAAAGATTTACTACATAGCTTCATACCCTGAAATTTAGAAAACATTCTCTCATCAAAGCGAAGCCAACAATTTTATAATTACGACTTACATACTTGTTGGATTTTCACTCAGCCCCTCTCAAGGGCTAATTAATTTGATCCGCGCTCCCCTCATGTCAGCAGACGTTTGTACCGTACACGTCGACGAAAGATTGTGGTTGCGATGCTAACACAACGCAGCACGAACATTTCGTCCAATGCTCGGATATTTTGCATTCTATACTGGGAGCCACTTCATATTGGAAAAACTGATGTTAATGGTGCAAGTTAGAAGCTATTTACCTACATTTTCGATCCTCTTGGTACTCTTCATACCCTCGAAAACTTCTCTATAGAAAATTTAGGGAATCTAATTTGGTTTCTCAAGCTTTTAATTGAGTAAAATGTTTCATCACATTTCTTTCTGTATTTCTCATTACGTTTATACCAGCAACTTCATTTCAGCATATTCTGCATAGTCGTCTATCTGCCTAGAAGAACCGTTTACTTTGCTTTTCTCCATGAAGAACCAGTTATTGCCTTTTTTACCTTATTTTTTACATTCAACAATAAAGGCCGCTTTGTTTCAAGGCCACCAGAATCGGAGTTATTTGAAGCCTAGATTTCTTGTCTGGACTCTAATCTTGTCCACCGTTCCAGATCAAAACTGGATTATAAAAATTCGCCAAAGCTTTACGATTTATTCACACAAGATAATCTCTGCACTGCTTGGATTAAACTATGCGGGTAAGAAAGATTTCGGCTGCATCTTATTTACAGGACCGTCCCCATCTCTTGGAATCTGATTGATTCAGTCATGACACGCAATAATCTTGAATAGTTTTATGAGTATCTGTTGACTCGTGTTCTGTTCTCCAAAAAAGGGAAGAGAGGCCTCTTTTGCAAGTAACAAGGATATTGCTTTGGTATATGCCATACTTGCCTGTTGCCCCTGCCGTTGTGTCTGGTGTGTGCGTCAACCCTGGATATCCATATCCGTTGTCAACCCCTGCTTTGCCCTGTCGCAAAAACATTTTGAAATCCATCGCAGACAATCATTTCTCAATTCCGAACTTTTCTTTCTTTGCTATTTTTAAACATCAACAAAATCATTCTTAAGATAAGGTCTAAACTACGTGGTATATGAAAGGTGTTGATTTTATGCATTTGTTACCTTTGCATTGGCAACAGCGTTTAGTACAATGAAATTTTTACAGCACCAGTGTGTAAATTATATAAGGATATTTTTCGTAATCACTATCAAATATTCTTATTCTCTTTCTCAAGCAAATTCAAATACAACTTTGCCATTGGCTGACAAAAAAAGGGTGTTACCATGCTGGATGACGGCAGTGCTGCAACAAAACACTTCTCCAAAGAAAACAGGCGGAAAACCAAAGGATGCTAGAACTCCTTCAAAGAATCAAAAGCAAAGATCAAGCACAGCGAAAAGTCAATGTACGAGGCGTTTTCATTGAAAATGATAATAGAGAGTAACTGTACAATTTCATAAAGGGCAAAAGAATGAAGTACAATATAGAGCAGTACCTTGTCGTACAATACAATGTAGTACTGTACAGTAAAGTACAGTACAGTTCAGAACTGTGCAGTACAGTCCAGTCCAGTACAGTCCAGTACAGTGGAGTGTAGTGCAGGACAGTGCGGTACAGTAAATTGTACTACCATTGGCTCTGTAAAATCCTAAAATTTGACTCTAAAGTAACTGTGTTGATCTTTCGTTGGCCATGAGTTTTATTGATGATCACCATTTAGCTTCAGCTTCTCTTCGATTCTCTTGGCTTTAGCTTTTTTTGTATTGGCTGATATTTATTTTGAACTTTTTAGTGGTGGGCGCGTTGCCAACCAATGTTATCGCCTTCTAAGATATTTTGAATGAATGATTGAATGAATCATTGAATGAATAAATGAATAAATGGATTAATTTATTAATGAAATAATTGTCTTTGTTTTCATAACGTTGTTATCATTTTAGTCTCACCAAAGGCAAAAACACTTGCAGACAAAAACTCAGATGTTGAGTCACCGACTCAGGTTGAGAATAGAAAGAGAACATTATCAGAGAGAGAAACCAACGCCAATCCAATTTCTGACACAAAACGTCTAAAAATTTTGACCGAAGATTGCAAGGATGAACCTGTGAAGTCAAATCAGATTTTGAAGGAGTCTAACAATGAGCAAAATGTCATGGATTCTGGAGGTTCAAATATAATGCTTGACGATCGTAAAGAATTAAGTATTGCATGTGACAAAAATCTTGGAAGTATAGCAGCAGATATTGACTACCAAAAATCAGCAAAAAACACAGTAAAACATGGTGAGGGGTCAAAGAACAAAATATCAAAGGATGAAAGTTCACAAATTAAAAAGGCAAAAGATGGAAAGAATATATCTCAGTGCGTTTCAAGCGAAAATGAATCTATAGATAAACTACCAAAATGCAAATATGGCAGGTCATGTTACAGGTATAGGAATTGCTCTATATAAATTACTCATTTTTCAACATACTGTAATATAGTTCAAAGATAACATCGAAGTGCAATGCATCAGCATGTTTCTCAAAGGCTTCTTTTCATTTTCATCTTCTCGGAGTTTTCGTGCAAAAGAGAAATGATATTTAAAAAATGCAAACATTTTAAAAAATGCAAGACATACTCAAGCTTTTCGTCTTACAATCTTCAGAGTATAAAACGTTGGAACATTGATGGAAAGAGCACATGTTAAGCTTTCTTAAGACCTAAAATGTTTTTTCTTTTCAAATCCATTTATGAATTCTGTACCGCAAAAAAGAATTTTTTAAAATAATTTCGTAACAGTTACTCAATGTAACAAGCTTCGCTTTTTGACAAGTTCAACCCTGCCCTTATTGTCCCTGCTAGCCAAAAACTTGAGGAAATTGATGCTTGTTTGTTTTTGTTAAATTTGCTTGAATCTATAAACTCCTAGCTATAGACAATATTATTATACGATTTCTTTGTACCCAAGGTGCGATACATTGACATTTTTTCCTGCTACCTTTTCAGAAAAAATCCGGCGCATTTCAAGGAATTTTCCCACAGTGACAATAGTGATGATGACAAAGATGAGTCTTCAGAGCAAACTGATGACAGGCCAGAATGTCCGTATGGAACTAGCTGTTACAGGTAATTGTATGCAATTTTATCATTGGTCAATATTCATAAAAAATGTTCCATCAGATATTGCTTATTCTGAATAAAAAAGGCCCTTAATAAAAAGGTCTATGTATGGGACAATGAAGCATATGCTTCTCTTGGCTAGCAGAGCTTTGATGAATACAATGTAGCTTAAGCTATTTAGTTGATCTGACACCATAAATCCAAACGAAAAGTATTGCTTACTGCATCCTATGCTGACCATGCTTTCCTTGTCAAAAAACGACAATGATTTCATTTTGATGAAGTATTTATCGAAGTTTATAGTAATCTATTCAAAACCTGATAGTATCTTACAGCAGTATTTTGCATTTTTGTTAGCCGATTTACATGAGAATAGGGAATTCAATAAAGTTCCAGATTTTTATCCGATATAATTATTTTATATTTTTTATGTTCTTAAAGCAGAGGTATGCTTAGACGAGAGAAATGACTCGTTTTCATTTTCATTTTTTTGTTCTATTTTTAGGAAGAACCCACAACACAAGCTGGAGTACAAACACACACAACACCTTGCTGGTAAAGTTTATATATTATTGAGATTAAAGAAATGAATTGATTTTTACCCAGTTATTAAAACATTTACAAGACTTCTTAATAGAGCTTTTGTCAACCAGTTTGAGAAAAGGAAAAACAAAATTGTTATTTTTTCCAATCAAATCGCAATCTGTGTGAAGAATAAAGACAGTTTACCCCAGTTGTGGACAAGCATTATCTATTTGCAACCATTCGAGTGTTTTTCTTGTGACATAAAGACTGTATCTCTTTTGTCTGTGAGCAATTGAAAATGCGCGCGCAGACAACTGATTCTCTTATTCTTTTCTCAATTGGCTCAGGTGACCTGCCGTCGACAAGGAAGTCAGCCAGGACCAGAAAACAACCGAAAAAGTCAGTTATTGCAGGAGACAGCGATGATGATGCCGATGACAACGATTATGATTATGATGACAGTTTTATTGACGATAACATGGATGCCGAGAGCGAATCTTCTAGTTATGATGACGATAATTGCGAAGATGAAGACTGGTCTCCAGATGAATTGAAATAATTCATGTGTCCTTGTTTTGATGTGAATGTCTATCGTTAATTTGCTTGCACGTTGTTAGGGGTAACGGAAGCATTCAGGTATCTTTTTGTTGTATTGTAGAAGCCTGGCCTTGACCCCCACCTGAATAGAGCCTTATTTTTGTTAAGAGGATCGTATGAAGATGCGGTGAACCTAAAATATGTACATGCTTTTTGTAACGGTGATAGTCAACCGTCTTCTTGAAAAAATGAATTTAAGTTAAAGCAATGCTTGTTTGAAATGTAAGCTGCTCTTGCTTAGATTTCTTGCTGCAGAGCTAGAAAACGTTAAAGGTTCCTTTCAAGGTTATGTTCCTCAACCTGGATAAACATTGACTCTACTTTGCACTTGTTCTTTTTATTTGGATAATTTCAACCATGACGCGGTTATTTTCTGTGAAGCTTCTTCTTTGACTCTCTCTTTGACATGTCTCCTACGTTTTGTTTGATGGCCTTTGGTACCTTAATGTATATTTTGCTTTTTCAAAACGAGGTAATATATTTAACGAAATCTTTTAACCATCATGCAATTCAGTCATTTTTGGAACATCAATGCTGGCCTTTCCTGGTGATGTTTTGCTTTTCCAAGTCTTTTTAATGTCTTTATTTGCATGTAATTGCAAGTAAACAGCTCTTACAATACGGTCAATGCTTTGTCTTAAAATGACGCACCTTTGTATGATGTTTTATTTTGCATATTTATGCGTGTATGATTTTGAACTCCGTTTCAAAGACTCTTGATTTAGTCTACATGCCTTTATTTGTGAGTATGTGAGTAATGAGGGACTGGAACGAGAGTTACTGTTGTTGTTGTTAGTGAGCGAGAAAGAAGATAAAGTTTAAGTTGAGATATAGGGTGGATAGGTAGCAGAAGAGGTTGTACATTTCAGTAGGGGAATATTGAAGAAGAGAAACTGAATTATGGTTTTTATTTGTCTTCTTTCTTACTTGCTTCCTTACACTATAAACGATTCTACTTTGGTTTACGTCTCTGCCCTTGTTTATCAAACTAAGCCATTAAGGTCATACAGTATTCGATTTTTGTATAGACGGGACGAGTTCAGGGGCAGCATTTTTACCTAATTTTGGCTACCTAAACCCCCTAAAAAATAAATATAACACAGTCCCGAAAGCTCCTCATTAAAAAACGTCTCCTTCCTCTTTATACCTTCAGACACTGCTGCAAAACGCTTTCACTGTGTTTTGAAAATATCAATCAAATGCACACCCTTAACTTGAAACGTAAGCCGAAGAATCAATTGAAGTGAATACATTATAAACCTGAGAAAACAACAAGAAGTTACAGGAACAAGTATAGATTTAATCTGCGAATCGATTCCTTACGATTGGCTGTTGTAGAAATTTAGTATACTGATCATTTCGTTGCATGCTCTGATTATTCAAACAATCTTTTGGTGGTACAAAACTTGTAAATGGCTTTGAAAAAAGCAAACATTTAGTAAACTAAAGCTTTTCGTCTGACACTCTTCAGAGTTTGAAACGTCAGAACATAGATCGAAAACTCTACGCTAAGAAATATATATACCCAGTTGTGGATCGAAATAGGCCAATCAGAAACACGAGCACATGACTGTAAAGGTTGACCAATCAGTGCCGCTTGCCTATTAGAATGTTACCAGTGGAGTCCTAAGGTGAAAACGAACTCCTTTTGTCTACACAGCAGCGGTTTTTTCGTGCTTATGTAGATAGATTCTAAAACTGCTAGGTGGAACGACGATCGGGCTTTACCAATAATCCGAAACATGTCGCCATTATAGTTTTTTGCACAATCTGGGTTCTCTAGCAAATGCTGCCCGATAGCAGAATCGCAGGTTTTAGTTGTAATTTTAGATTTGCAAGACCGAGGTGGCTGTTCTCTTTGGGGATGGGTTTTGTTTCTAATATTAGATGGAACATGTTGTTCTATCCTATCCTCCAATCTTTGGGTGGTGCGTCCTACGTAGCCAGAATCACACTGGCACGTAAATTCATAAACAACAAAACTTTTTTTGTGGCAGGAACGCAGTCCTTTTGAATGGACGGAAGGGCCTTTTTTGTACTATAAATAACACGTGGGTTGACCGCGAAGAAACAATTTGTTATGGCCTGTTTTATTTGGCTTTCAAAACGAAGGGAGTTGTTACCGATCCAGGGTAGTTTTAGATAGACCGGGCACTTTTGAGGACCAAATTTTACGTCAGCCGAGAAATTTCCTATCTTCTCCTTAATGTAAACTGAAATGACATCCTCTGGATAGCCGTTCTCCAGAAAGATCTTAGTTAGTTTTTCAAGTTCCGAGTCAAGTTTAGACTTGGAACAAATTATCAGTGTCCTATGTGTAAGCGTTTTGATGAGGCTGATTTTTCTTTGTTTTGGGCAAAACGAACTCCATCGAGTGTATAACCCCGAAAATGTGGGTTTACGGTAAACACTAGTGAGAAATCCAGTGTCAGATTTTTCAACCAAAACATCCAGAAATGGCAAGGAGTTATTTTCTTCCTTTTCAAATGTAAAATGTAGGGCTGTGTGAAGGCCATTAAGGCGTTATAGGAAAGTATCACACTCAGCCTCTGTTTTGAAAATAGTATATGTGTCATCCACATACCGAAAATAGACACCTGGCTTTTGGTCGCAGTCAAACAAACGCTCTTCATGAAAGCCAACAAAGATATTGGCCAAGGCCGGTCCCAGAGGGCTACCCATAGCGACACCATCCTTTTGTTAGTACATTTCATTGTTAAAGCTGAATTCAACTGAACGTGTTGCAGTTTCCATCAGTTCAATGAATACTTCCTCTGGGAATGGTGGGCTATTAAGCTCGCTTCGGTACATATTTTGCGTCGGCACATATTTTGATGGTCTCATTCAAAGGGACATTAGTGAAAAGACTGCTAATGTCAAAAGAACACATGAAAGATGTTTCGTTTTCGATGATCAAATTTTGCATGAACTCAGCGAACGTAAAAGAGTCCTTGATACAATGTTTTGAATATTTTTGAAGAACAGGGTCCAAAACTTCAGAAAGCCACTTAGGCCCCGTTCACACGGGAACGCAATCGTTCCGTTCCGTTCTTTTCCGTTCCGAAAAGCGGAACGCTCAGGGGTTGTGTTCACACGGGAACGCTTCAAACGACATCGTTCCGTTCCAAAAAGTGGAACGATAAAATAAGTGATACGAAAAGTGGAACGGTACGCAATTGTTCCGTTCCGTTCCCATGTGAACGCGCAGAACTAGTCCAGAAAATGGAACGATAAGAGTTTTGCCCCTGGCGCATGATGAGGGAAGGAAAAGGTGACAATAATAAACTCAACGAAGAAAATGGAGAATTTCAAAAACACCATTGACTGAATCTCGCCATTAGTCCATTTAAAAGATTCAACACCATTCTGCAAACATTGAAATTCCTTCCTTTTAGGGTTGGCTTCAATTTTCCCACGAGCTTGCTTATTTTGGGGCGCTTTTGTATTCTCCATTTTTTCAAATTGTTTAAAAAATTCAGAGATGGCTCAGAGATAAATCGAAATGATGAAATCTATCTCCATTATGGACATGCGCATTAAAAATCATTCGCTTATTTTGGCGCGCAAATTGCAGAACGGAACGATTGCGTTCCCGTCTGAACATAAACAAAAATCGATACGCGATCGTTCCGTTACCGTGTGAACAGTATACCTTTTCGTTTCAGAAACTGGAACAAAAATGGAACGGAACGATTGCGTTCCCGTGTGAGCTTAGCCAATTCGTGTTGTGCTGAACCAATCATAGACAAAATGGGTCTAAGTGGAACATTCGGCTTGTGTATTTTAGGGAGGCCATACATTTGTGGACGTTGTGAACCATCATAAACTTCGTTGGTCAACACTTTTGAAATAACCAGCTCCAAAAGGCGTTTTTGAAGTTTCCGCTCTAGCTTGGCAGTTTTATCCTGTGTTTCGACGTCACCCAATTTTTCGAACTTTTCTTTGTCGAGGAGAATATTCTCCATTTTTTGGATGTAGTCCTTTTTGTTCAAAATAACCACTCCTGAACCTTTATCAGGCTTAGTAATAAAGATGTCATTATTAGACCGTAGAGATTTTAATGCTTGAAAATGTTCTCTATGCAAAAGAAAATCGAGTGGTCGATGGGAGAGCCGCTGTAAGCGTACGCCAAATCGCTTAGTCGTGCTCGTAATTTGTTAAATTCCAAAGCATCAGAAATATCGTGTCTGGCAAGTTGAGCGTGTAAAATTTCGAATTTATTTCTTAGCGTAGAGTTTTCGATCTATGTTCTGACGTTTTAAACTCTGAAGAGTGTCAGACGAAAAGCTTTAGTTTACTAAATGTTTGCTTTTTTCAAAGCCATTTACAAGTTCTGATTATTCTTCAGAAACTCCCAGTAGCACGTTTTCAATACTAATGGCCTAGGCAAGGCAAAGTATGCAACTACTATGTACCATTCTGTTTTGTGAAAAAGATGGAAGATTTAGTTCCCTTACCTAAACAGTCCTTGTTGACTATTAAGAAGGAAAAAAGATCATCGAGATAATGGAGAGAGCCAAGCTTTACCATTTTACCTCGTCGACATCGTGGTTTTCGCTGCTCTGATGATAATTGATGAGGACAGGGCAAAATCTCAAGAGAGTATCGAAAACCCTGCTAATCAAATGGTTCAATGAACTTTGTTCACTAGGACAGCCACAAGAGATTTCTAAAAACCATTCCGAACACGATTCTTTGAGTTTTCGATCAACTTAAGACATCGGACCTGATTGACTTTTAGCTCACGGTGAATAATGACCTAGCGAGTCTGATTCTTGTGCCTTGAGGATAGAGCAGAAGCTCTCTCAGCTTACCTTCATCAAGATATTTGAGGCTACTGGAAAAGAAATATAATATCGGTGCTTCGTAACTCTTTAATTAATTAGACAACGCTTCAGATGTTACATCTATCTTTCGATTACAAGTTTACGTAATAATTTAAATACTGCATACTTTGTCACTTAACAAGCATTCTCTCTAGACAATAATGTTATTAGTACTACATACTTAAATTCTACACAAAAAGTGTTCCGTTACAAAAATATATATATTTTAATCTGGGAAACATTGGTATTTTGCTTGAATTAGTAAATATAGGGCTATTGTATCTGATACTTTTATTAAGCAACTGGCTCTTTTTTCGATGGATCATTCAACTCGAAAGGGTACTGTCTCGCAGAAATTTACTAGGCCTGTTACTGGCATGCAAAGACTGCTTTATTAACTACCATCTTATTCACTTTATATTTACACGCTTTCAACAAGGGAACGCTTAAGGTATGTACACGGAAATTGCAATTTTTTGATTTTAGTATAAGATAGATAATTACTGAAAAATATTCATTGAAATGATAGAGAAACGTCAAATGACAGAAGTGGACTGACAAGGGATGCTGGGAAACGATCGCATTCTATACAGAGTCTCTTCATTGTATTCTAAATTTTACAAATCCACTTTTTCGGACCCCCATAATATCAGCACCAGCATCCCTGGGAAAGTGCTGCCTGTCCGCCCCTGTAAAATTGATAAGTCCAATTGATATCATCCTGGTTGCAACCAAGGAAAAAATTAATGATAAGATATGCTCTAAACATTTAGGGTTTTACTAATCAAAATACGAACCATTGTCATATAAGCATATTCCCAAGCTATATATTGTCCTTTGTGTAGCCTACAAGTTTTGTGTCTACTCCAATTCGGGTATTGATTTAAAATGACTTAAAAGTTAACTTCAAATTCAATTCAAAGAGTGTTTCAAAATAGCACTATGAAACCCTAAAACTCTGTGTCAAACTGCCCTGTGGCGATTTAATACTGCAAATGATGTTTTCGATTTTCTGACACCAATTTTTTTTTAAATATCATTTCCTTGAAAAGTGTTTCTTGATTGTCGCATCTTTGATAAAGTAGCTTTCTCATCTTACTTCAATAGAGTGCTAAAGTGACGGCACCATCAAATTACCGTCTTCAAATTTTGATGTTCGTCTCGTTATATCTCAGACAATCCGTAAAACATTAAACCAATCTGATACATATATAGGTATTTCATAATGCACTTCCAGGTGATATGATTAAAAGCAAATACTAGATATTTTTGACGTGATCTCTTTGCCAGTCTACTTGCCATTTTACTTGAACTAAAAATGCTCCTTACTAAAATGTACCCTTTTAGTGCTAGATATGATCAATGACATTGGTTGAAACAATTGCTCTGTGGATTTGAATACTCGTTTGTACATTTCGATACTTATCTCCATGGCTTTGTTTTCAATTATAATCTACAAGACCTTTTGTTATTAGAATAGGCCTGGTAATGAGAATGGATCCCGGATGTCGATCGTTGCACGTCGTCTGCGACTTTTACAACAAATGCGTTGCACTTTCAATCGACTTTGTTAACTATACTGTTCAATTCAGCGATTCTTCTTTTCCAGTTCAGAAGACTTTTGTGTAAACGGTCAACGCAATGCCTATAGCTGTCAATGAAAGGAGGCAAATTCTCGTTTCTTCAGTCTACGGTCATCGATTGACGGGGGTCTACTGGAAACGCAAATCCCTCGGACGGGCTGCTGCGCTTTTGTTTTGAATTTTACCACTATCTACAGCCACAGCCTTGGACAACTGTGTCAGAGTAAGTTTTCATGACTATTTGGTTCCCCATATCGATGTATAAAATGTTCGTATCCCCTAGCGATGAAGGTACGCAGCACGGAGGAGGAACCAAAGATGGGTCGAAACTGTTCATTTGGTTTTGTATCACAGCGTGATTTGTTGTATTCATATGGGGTCCAAGGGGCTTGGGGCATGTGCCCTGACAGTAGTACATATCGAAACCCATGGGATGGACTATCTGCTTGTGCCAACCAATGCTTTCAAAATCAAGGTAGTAAGGTCTTCTTCGGCACATTTCTTTCTTCGCCTTTTCGTGCAACTTTCTTGCTCGGTGTCTGCTGCTGTGGCGGTTCGAGTCCCGGCCGCGCGGATTTCCTCGTACCGCGCGGCGTTCTCGCTTCATACCGGCTATTGAACTCTCAACAACAAGAAACGGCCTTTGTCGTTCCCAATCCATGACAGTAACCATGGATGGTTCGACCTTGCTCAGTACCATTGCTTCCCAGGGTAGAGTCAATCCATTCTTTGCATTTTGCACTTCAATTGTAAACATATGTTTCTTTACACGGTTATCCAGCCAATTTTGAACGACAGTTGTCACATCAAATTTCTCCCATTTGGGTTCTGATGTATTTATATGCCGCTCCTCCACAAGAGATCTCCGAAGCCTTGACGTTCCTTTGTTGTGAGTGTGAGCATGGAGATATGCCTTTGCTCCATCTCTAAACGAATCTTTAGCCGTCTTGAAAACATGCAGCTCAACCTTTCGAATCTTCTCGTTGTTTGGAAAATCATTCAGGTTGAACAATATAGATTCCTTGCCAAACTGAAGTTTCGAGTCTGAAACATTAAAAATATTCTTTAACTGGTAAAACATTTCAAATTTCTTTAATATATATCCGGAGCATTCGAAATAAAGTTACGACGGATCTTTAATTTATGTCAAGTGAAAGGAAACTTAGCTCGTTTAGCTTAGACCCCAGTTTACACACAGTCGATCCAGGAAATAAATTAGCAACCTGAAGCACCAAGAAGCAAAAGTTGTAAATAATTTATTGCTACCTAAGAACTGTCAGTGTTATTTTGACCGAAAAAATCTGTGGGACCTACTTGACATGCGCTCTAAAGTTCAAGCTTGGTTCGTTCAAATAGTATCAGTTTCATTAGCTATTGTTAGCAAATCGCCAATGTTGTGAAGTTAAGAATTCAAAGCAAATTACCAGGAAAGAAAAGGTAAAGTCGGGTCAATCATAATTCGCATAAAAAATTCTCTATTCTTTGATGGCAAAATTAAAGTTAAGAGTGAAAATTTTAAGGCTTTTGATCATTTAAATCGAAATTTTTATGTAGGAAAGACAGACGTAATTTTTTGGGAGATTTGTTAACTGACAATCTTGTGGATGTATCGTAGTGGGTTTTAAAAACCAAACTACCGCAAAAGTATTATCAGGAGTCTGGAATTGCTGAAAAACTCAAACAAATCGTCTTACAGCGGAAGCCAGGGAAATATCCAAGCTTTTAAAGACCTGCTGTTACATAGCGTGTCGCTTAACAGAACGGCCAAACAGAAAAAAGCTGAAAATAAAGTTTCTAAATGAATATATAGTTAATTGAATTTGATAATGATGCTACATTCCCTTTTCGGTAAAAACAAACAAGAGGTAATCATGCTTTGTCTGCTGCAAGAAATACCATCAGCAGTGTAGCCTTAGCAACGGCAGCAAATTCGTACAGCCTCGACCAATTACTGCATCACAAAGCAGCACATTCAAAAATAACTTTGTGAGGATTTGGGGAATGCACTTTTCTGCTTTGAAAGTTGCAACTCGTTACTTTGAAAAGTTTCAAAAGCTACAAAGATTTTTCTTCATAAAAAGTATGTTTGAAGTGAGCTATTGTCAAAGAAATCTGTCACCGATAAAATGTGGTCAAATTGTAAGCAATTGGCCAGCGTCGTAGCCTCTGTACATATTCAAAGTAGAAGAGAGATAAGGAAGCGTTTAATGTATGACACACTAAAGGGGAAATTCACAGCGTCATAATTTCGTTGTATCATTGTTTGATTTAAATCAAATATTTCGTAGTTTAAACTCACCGTCATGGTGCAGTATTCTGACAACATTCGTCATCTTGTCTGTGTCATCGTGAACTTCGCCATTCCATTTGCGGTACATCGTCCACAGATGGTCGGGTACATGCAACGTGTTTCGGGGAACAACCTTCTTACTGAAGCCAAACAGTGCAGAGAGCTGTTTCTCTACGTATTCCTTTATTTTGCGTTCTTGGTGGGGTCTTGGCATCATGTTTTTAACAGCCAGTAGCTCATCACCGGCTTGACTCTGCCCCAAAACCGAAATGGCTGCTGCAACGACAATTGTCAACCTGGCCATCCAAGTTCGGTCCATCTTGTTGTACTGCTTTCTAGAATACCAGTAAGACACTGATAAGCTCGACCGGTTTAAGCAAATCGGGGTTGCAATCATCGACGAATTCAAAGAAATGCCAACTAATCTTCACTAAAAGCAAATGCAAACATCTAGGCCACAGCGAAGTAAGACGTGATATGAGGTCACTCGGAAGATCTTGAAATATCACACTTACTGGAATACAAAGATTCAACGAGCGACTGTTGAATGGGACTTGGTGATCTCAACAGCTCTTGACTCTAAATCTCGAAATTCAAATTTCATACAGAAAAACGTGTATTTCATAATGTATATCTACACGAACTAGAACTAATGCTGCGTTTGTTACTGAATTTGGCCAAAGCCACTGGGCTCTAACATCCTGCTCCATGTATCCTTAAACGGAGTTAGCGCGGTCTTGCCCCCGCTAACAGTTGCCGAGAATATTCCTTAGCAGTTCTTTTGGAAATGTCAATAATTTCATTTTATTGCTCGGCTACTTGAGTTCTTCAAAAGCATTATGAATTATCATAGAAAAGTCAGTATTTGTGTCTGAACAACAAAATTAACAAGATCGTTTGATCTTTTTATATGTTAGATTCCAAAAAGACCCTTTCAAGTAACATTTATTGGCCTTTATCTAAACTTTTTACACTCGATAACTCTCAGAGAATTTCAAGTTCTGATCAGAAGTTCGTTGTGGTGCATCATTTCAACATTTTTGTTTGGAATGTATTCTCTTGAAATTCGTATAAATTGCCTCGCTGTTTTTTGCAGAAGGAATACAATTTTTCCTGGCCTTCAAGCCAACACCTTTTCCTATGCGTAGCGTAGCTCTAGATGTAATCCAGAAATGTTCTTGGCGCATTTTTAAGGCATATGACATGCTCTTTGTGCAATGACATGAAATGTCTACAGCTTTCCAGGTTTCAACAATCGCAAGACAACAAAATACTAGCGGCATTATTTTCCCGTACCCGGAAATCTCGTAGGATCACTTCAGGTCGCTCTGCTATTTTTTATTGATTTACCCACTCCCTAATTTTTAATAGTTTTTGAGACCTTTGATAGAGAGTTGCTTGTTAATTATGATTTTAGATCTGCGCTACATAACCTGTCCGCTAGCAACCTCCCTAACTATACAACAGCTGCAAAAGAGATGGATAAAAAGGTCACTGTCAGCTGCAAAACAAATCATAGTTCTATTATAGAAGATATGATATGGATCTTAAGGATTGGCTGTTTAGATGCTCCAAGGCATTTCAAGGGTGCCAGGCAGACCTATATGCCATACCACACATACTAACTGGTGGACTGGTACAGAGTGATGGGTCTTAGTGTATATAAGTTTACCATCTTAGCACGTATTAGCAAATCTCTAAATGCTGTTATTCGAAACGGCGTACCACGTTATAGATATTAAGCATTAGCTCAAAAGATAAAAAAGAGCATTTGGAATGGGTTTATTTAGGAATTCGCGGGTCTTCACCGGAATACAAATTAAATATTATAAAATCCATGCTAAATCTCGAGCATATTAAATAATGATCAATAAGAACTGTGGTCAATCATAGAAGAAAGAAGTAAAGACTATTTCATAATGCAAGGACTATGGACGGAATCTAGCCTATTAGCCACCAATTTGACGATTGTCTCTAGTGAGATATTGCATATTTAAAAATAACATGGAGCAAACAACTGTGTTTGACTGGCGAGACATTGTCCAAAAATATAATAGGTCAGTGGTAACGTTATACTATGGAAAAAAATAAACACATGAAGAAACTAGGGCGAATATGAATACATTCATTTTTTTTAAAAAGATGTTGAGTACTCCAGTTTCTTAATGTTCTGGAAATTTCAATACTCACTGTTTCTTAAGAATTTCTTAATTATGATGTCATGAATGATGTTATATGAACAGAGTCAAGAAAGCATTATGGTCGCACGGCCACTGACCAGAAGAGGGTCCACGAAAAACAATAGAAGCTCCTACGACACACCCACGCCACGCCCACTTTTCTATTATTTTGAAAGGAAGGTTTGCTTTCTAGGATATTTTTGTCTGGAGGAAGGTTGAAAACTTTTCTGGACTCTGGTTATGAAATGTTCGTGACCTTTTTTTCACGTCAAGAGATTCGCTTCCGTTCTGACGCTGTATTTAGACGTGGGAAGTATATTTTTATTTCTTGCGTCTTAATTTCTAGGCCGTCAGGGCAATCATGTTCTTGGATTTTATAAAATTTCGTTGTTCTTAGTTTTATCACGATTTAATAGTTTCCTAATTTTTTTGCCTCGAATACTGAAGTTTCTTAATTTTTTCTGATTGTCCAATACTCGTTTCTTATAGCCAGTTTCTTATAAAAAAATGAGTGTATTGCAGCAGTAACTGAAATAGCCATGTAATGCAAATTGGAACGTGTGAGCATACTAGATTGTGGTGAAGGTTACTGTGCTTTAAATGGCATGACTCTATATCTCCAGCTGCTCAACTGAAATCTGCTATGACACCCTTTTCTTGTGCTTCAACTAGCTGATGTGGTAAGGAGATTGGAAACATAATTTCATGTCGTATGGTTGGATAAAAAGAACAAACCAAGAAATGGTTAACCTTATAAACGAGGGTTGTAAAAAAATAATTTATCGCAACCGCGAAATCAAGATCATCTATGCGCTGAAAGTTACGGTGAATCTGGTGCTCAAGGCGTTTGGTCCGTTTGTTTTGCGAAAATTTGGTATGATCCACCGATTCGGATGGATGTTAGTAACTGTTTAGAGAATCTCTTAAAAATCTTTGAGACCTAAGAGATACAGAAAAAACTGCGAATATGATTTTTCACCGCTTGTGACGCCAAGTTGCTTGCCGTGGAGTTTGCGCAAAAAGCTGTCCACTACACCAAAATAGAATGTTGCTGAGAATTGATTACAAAAATCACCCCAAGTTTATCGATGGTACGATGGCCAGTTTGAATCAGTAGTCGTATTGAAATGGTCGTTTCCTAAAAGTAGTCATTTACTGAATTTAGTCATTTTCTGAAGGTGGTTATGTATCGTGGTTGGTTATTTCCTTAACGACTAGACATTTGCACTGGTCATGCACTGGACATTGTTTACTTTGTTCAGTGTGTGGACATCCAGAAAATTTTGGTGGTGGCAAAACGAATGAACATTGTCCAGTGAACTTTTGCACTGTGGAAGAGTGCGCGCGGGAATACTGCGTCTGAAGAAGAGTTAGGCCTTTGAGGGGTTCATCACAATCACCGTATTCGTACTATCTGTCATCGCTTTCTTAATCAGAACTAAAGCTAATCTCTTCAGAAGACTCGTCGTTACTAATGAATTGAATGTTAATGCTCTCCGTCGAATTGAATGTTAATGTTGAATTTCAATGTAGGAAAAAAATTCGCGCCAAATCAAATCGATTACATCAATTGCACGTGCGCCAACTGGGCAATTTTCAGTAGAATTGCAAAACGACTCGACATTTCTCTACAACATCTATGAAGAAAAGACATTTAATCCTGTCCACTGAACATTTTTGACTGCCTTCAAAAATCGAGGCTGAACATCGCTGAACAAAACTGGACATAACAAGGTGGTAAAACGACACAACATCTACCCTGGACATTTCTCCAGTGCATATTCAGCGAAAATGTCCAGTCGTTTTCCCGGGGCTTAGGAACACGAAGGTCGTCAACACCAACAGCAATAACATGTCGCATCCTGGTGCAAAGATAGGCTTGCCAAAATCTAGTATGCCAACAAAAATTGGTCAAAGTTGAGGGCTTGTTGCCCTGTGTTTGCGGATAGGCATTGCCTTTAAATGGCGAGGCTTTAGGTGCAGTTTTTAGATTGAGGGGGTTGTGACGTAAACAAAACAACTGATCAACAGCTTTTCCAATCAATTCGTGAATCAAAACTTAAGAAAATCATCTAACAAAAATCGTACAGTTTCTTAAACATCCTGTTGGCCAAAAAAAGAGACTAAGCATGATCGATTTGGGACAACATGACCGTGCCGTCAACAATTTTGTTTTTTATTCAGTTGACCTTGTATCTTATCCTTACTCCCTCCCAAGTTGCATACATTTTAATTGACTTACTGTCTCTTTACCTAATCCGTTAGAGACGAAATTTTCGAAATCCTTTCACATATGAAGAACTTTCAGATTAACTTTGTCATGCTAAATTAGATATTCGAAACGTAAGCAAAGCCAAGTGGATTATGTTCTAACCAGAGGTGGTAGGAAGGTTCGGATGGTTAGGAGGCAGGAGCCTAAAAAAAGTGACAAGACACTTTTCTTTTTGGTCAAGAATCTTAGATACGAGGTAAGTCAAAAAGTTTGAGCATGATTTGAAATAATTTTCTCGTTTTTATATCAAAGCACACATTTGTGAATTTGGTGGCATTTGTTTCGATACAGTTGAACAAATTCAGAGTTTGGTCAACGAAATCTTTGCAACAATACTGAGAAACGAACATTTAGCTCTCACCAATTCTAAATTAGAGAGGAGGTCAACAGTTGTTACACGAGAACAGAAGCCAACAAGACGAGTTTTTACCTATTTTCCAAGTACAAGCGAATTACCAGGGTTCAACATATAAGACCACCGGTTGTCCCTTAGAGCTAAGAAAATAACAAGAGATTGACAGCAAAACCACCATTGAATGATGTGCCCGCCCTACACAGCTACACTTCTTCTGCTTTCTGCTGTGATGTGTGACCACTGCATTTGTGCGTATCAGCGCAAAGCTACGTAACATTACACGTAGAGAAACCTGATTAAACCTTCCCTAAAGCTGACAATGAAGCAACTATGTCACCTTTAGCCTCGATTTCGTAGTCATCATTAAATAGAGGCCATTTTATAGTGTTCGTAGCAGGTTTTTTGAATGTAGCATGCTTCTTTTGGGAATATTTCCAGGAAGATAATTGGGTACAAAAGAGACCCAGCAACAGTGCTCTCGACTTAATAGTCTAGGAATCAATTTTCCTTGGCTATAATGCTAAGCAT